CAATCTTTGTCGGCGAGGGGGTGGCATGGTACGACACGCTCATTAATTTCCACCACTTGCTCAGGCAATACTCCGGGTCTAGCCATTGAGAGATCGAAGATATTTGGTCGTGATTGGTCGCCAATTTTCAGCAGGTCACGGAAGCCTTTGGTGGTGAGGAGCACGGACCGCGCTCCCTTACGCTCCAGCAGCGCATTTGTAGCGACTGTGGTTCCCATACGTAAGCTTCCAATGCGATCGAGTTTCAACGGCTGGCCTCGCGGGTGTGGCTCGCCCGTGACGAGCTCAAGAATCTGGCGAATTCCCTCCGTCGGAGCATCTTGGTAGTGACCAGGGTCGACGGAGAGCAGTTTGAGGATGATGTCGGGGCGACCCGGGACCACGGCGTGGACGTCAGTGAAGGTACCACCGCGATCGATGGAGATGGTGATCTTGTCTGACCCGGGCATGATGAAGGGGAGGATAAAGAGGGATGGAGAGGAAAGAGGGAGGATGAAGAAAGACGAGAAGGAAAGGAAAAGGGGTATCAATGGCTGTTTTCAACTCCAGCATGGGATTGAGGGGCATTCCCCAGGTTAAAATAACTGGGGGATGCGATAAGCCATTCCGCTGTCGTCACCGGACCTCCCACTATGTCCGCAATCGTTCATTGGTCGTGAGTCACGTGTCGGCCCGATGCAACCCCGGATCGGGGCTGCCGGACCGATCAGGCCGAATGCGATAACGGATGCTGATAACATTCCAGATAAGCATGGGAGTAGAGGGATTATTCTTGTCGGACATGTATTATAGTGGATATTAGATCAGATAGTCATATTCACAATGCATTTGTGAGTGAAATTCGACCCTTTACTGAAAGGGTCATTTTTCTGCTGTTCAAAGTGGAACGCTCTCCATTGAAATAAGTTACTTCGTACGTTGCGGGTACTACTGAGTAGTAGTAGAACAACTGCCAGGTAGTGATGATATATATTTCAACACGAGCAAATTCAGGCACCACACACCACGCTGACTCGACTACGAATACAGAAGATAAAGGACGAGTAATGTCAGAATTATTCAACTTGTTCACTGTATATACTAGAGGGTATTTCATTTCTTTAAAGTATTCTCAATCCAATCAGTATCCATATCAATGTCAATCTGGCCTAGAACCTCCTCCCACAGTCCGGGATCGTCGTTGACATCAAAGTTAAACGAGATCTCCTGCATCGAAGGTATTTCTTGCTGTGGGGTCCAAGAAGCCTCCCCCGTCGGGTGATCGACTGCGTTCTGTGACGGCGTTGGCTGCTGTGTGCTATTGGGCGTAACGGGCACTCCCGCAGCGTCTCCTTGCTTGCAGCTCTTCTGACCAATAGAAGATCGTAATTCAAGAAGAAGGGAGTGACGAGCAGCCAGGTTGGTGTTGCCTCGGTCAGCCATGCTGCGAAGCAAGTTTATCGATATCTCCATCGCTCGTGCATTAGCAGAGTTGTATGGGAATGCGGCATTGACCATCACAAGTAAAAGGGCGGCGGAAAAGATGTACTCTCCGTCTAGGTAGCCGTACGTAGCTAAACACAGTATTAGAAAAGGAGCCTGAAGATGAGTTTAAGCAATTGGCGAGATAGACATACCGACCAAGTTGTGTTTCGCTGCTGCATCCATTATAAGGGTGGTGGCCCGAGCTGCTGCCACGCAGCTCTCAATCACCGCTACGGTGTTTTGCGATAGCCCTTCTTTCCAGTCCCGGGTTGCAGAGCCCCCTTCTTCAGCATCGAGCCGACGTTGAATGACGTAGAAGACCAAAGGCCGTGCGGTCATATTGACACAGGAATAAAAGTGTAAAAATATCGAGACCGACTCCCGATTGATGTGAGTACCCAGTGTGGAGAAGTCGATACGGAGACGATCAGGTATACGTCGCAGCCAGTCGGAAAGCTCATCCGTAATACTTTGCACAGACGCTAGCAAGTTCGAGCCAGATCGTGGCTTCTTGCGATATATTTCTTCGTAACATGTCAACGGAGTCTCTGTTTGAGGCAATGATGAGTCGGTCACAAACCTTCGCCTATCCTACCCAAAATCCGAGACAATTGTGTATAGTAGGTAAGAACCACTGATGGCCAAGGGACCACCTCAGTTGCGCTCTAATTAATGTTAGAAGAAATTAGGTGATAAAATTCCTCATTACTTACTGCAGGCTGCGGCCATGTTGTACCAATATCCTCATCGTGGATCGTGATCGGATTACCAGATTTCACAGACAGAAGTCTATTACGGGTTAGTAGGTACTATGGGCGAGAGGGACGTGAGAGTAACCGATCCAGACTATACACCGACCACCAAGCCCGCCGCCGACGATTCCGATCTTCTTCATTAACGTCTGGGTCAAGGACCTCTTGATGAAGTCCCAGTGAAATGGCCATGCGAAGAGCAAGACCGATCTATATGCCCTGCATTAGCGGTTGAAGTTATCGCGTGGAGGGGAACTCACATAAAGGAACGCAGCATCTCGACGATTGAGATTCTGCATATAGTACGCAACGTAGCAAAGAACCTCCACGAAGAAGATAGAGCCTTCCTCGTGAATGTCGGGTAAGAAGCGTAGTGCATGTTTAAAATACTTGAATCCCGGAGGCCCGTCATCTCCAGACCATTGGTTCACCGAATACATCAGGCCGAAGGCTATGACTAGTAAGACCTGGCAGTAGACTAGACACGACTCTCGACTGAGTGCGTCTGGAGGTTGGCTGTAAACGAGATGGAGTCGCTCTTCGAAATCATGGGGCTGAATCAGGGAAAATATTGTTCCAATATAGACATACTGTACCCAGTACAGTCGTTTAGCGTACTCGAATGGGGGTAATTGGGGTAGAACCCGAGGAGCCGAGCGACGTAGAGATAGAGGGTCATCGTACAATGGCCGCATATCCAATGCTAAGTTGGTTGATGAGGGATTTAGGCATTTCGCCAAATGGGTGGTGGAAGATGCCCCGACATAATCTGTCCATTGATCAGCTCAGCTACGCAGGCATCGGGACCTCAAGACAAGCTCACGATGTTCTCCTGACCGATTCAAGAAGACGTGCCCTGTCTCGTTGTACCACCAGTCATCTCGCTCGAGAGGCACCTCCACATTATTGTAGGGACTGCTCTGGATGGACGTAGGGGGGTTGGGGAGAGACAGTGGGCGACCTTCATCTACACGAAGCGATTAATCAGTCAATGTGACGATAAATGAAGATGGAATGATATTTCAAACCTCGACGGCTGGCCTGTGCCTGGGCGCGAAGTTGACGAAAGTAGCTAAAGAATGTTGGTCACCTATTCAGGCATCTATTCCGTTCCTTTCAGGCTTCCAGGCTCACCTTTCGGGAATCGAGACGCGCTTCTCAGCTTCCGAGTAGACACACTGTTGGCCCACCTCTGCACATGCAGCACATGGATAGGGTGGGTTGCCAGCACACCGGGTCTTTCTGTTGCGGCATCGGTTACACCTACAAAAGGATATTAGCTGACTAGTCTAGGACCCTAGCATATTGCTGACGCACGCGACCATCGACCGTCTCGCATTGGGCTGGTGCTCTGCAGCTCGCTGCTGCAGCCCACTTCGTCCTTTTCTCTGAGCCATGGCAGACCGCACTGCTATTGATAGATCACAATCACCATGTCGCACACTTTATTGCAGGGGATTGGTGAGTCTGAAGCACTCTAGGCTTGCTGTTGCGGATGCTGCCCACGGCTGGAGATGCCGATCAACGTCCACAATATAGCGGAGATGAGGGGACCAGACACGGGGGATGGATCTCACCGGGTTTGGAGAAGGAGTGGCTGGAATACACACCGATCCAACAACACTGATGGGAGCTCGGACTCCACCCGATAAGTGTTCCTATGGTGGATTGTAGCCAGCAGTTGGCGCCCAAGCCAAAGGACTGCTCGATTCCCGCGCGATCGGCCTTTCCACGGTCAAGCGTGAGATGGACTTAAGGCGGGCTACTGTGCAGGCAGAACTAAATGCCACCCCTTGACAGGTTGCTATCTTCATCCAATCCTACGACCTCATGAGAAATGTCGATGACTTTGACTGTGATCAGACGACTTATCTGCCGTTACATTGCGCGACCCCACATTGTGTTGTGTTGCAGCCAAACAATGCTGGAAGCAGAGTGGCCGCACCTCGGCCCGACCGACAACGGACCCCCCTGAGGGGCACCAATTCTTATCACGTAATGACCTGGTGCCATTATTCACACCCAGGCACTGCCGGTTTAAAGTTCTGGCCTGAACCCACTCGTGTGCGGGTGCCTGGGGACCTTTTAGACGTGTCGCGTATCTTGGAGCCCATGACTTCACTGCCGGCCTGCTCCGATTCATTTTCTCGACTCGGGATATCGCGGCTGTGAGAAATGGGAGACGATGATGTGTTTATCCCGCCAGAGTGTCATCATCATTCGATATAACCAAAACCATTCCAATCACTGTGCCGGACAATGAACCAGCATTCCAGCTTCCGCCATGGGGGTAGGCGCCGTTGCAGTTCTACTGCTCGCCGTGCTGACAGTCTTGCGCGCCCTCCGCAATTATAGTCGTCTACGTGCTATCCCTGGTCCTTCAGTCGCTGGATGGTCGGACTTTTGGCGCATATGTGTTCGCAATAAATCTCACTATGGCCGGCGTCTGTCGAGTCTTCACCGGATATATGGCACGGTTGTGCGGTTGGGACCGCGCTTCCTCAGTGTCGCAGACGGAACGATTATAGGTCATCTAGATCATGGGGTCGATGGCGGGGTACGTGTTCAGCTGGTATTTGAGTGATAGTTGCTAATCCTCGCAGTCACCAGAACTCCAACATAGAAATACAATACCCCTGAATAGCGTCACCATCAGCTCGGACACTCTCCAGACAACACATCCTACCTGGGAACGCTCTCAGGGGATACCCGAGTACGAAGGGGTAATCGATCCGTCCACGAAACAACTCATCAAAGCGATACGAAGATACCGTGTGTTGGATATAACCTCGTCACTGCGCATATTTGCCACGACGTTTATAAACCAGCTTACTGCTGATGGTTTGCTGCAAGAAAGACATAACAACTGGAAGGGAAGCGGAAGCAGATGGCTCAGTGTATTCTCAACAGTTGAATACATGCTCATCCGAAGCCCGGTGACGGCACTGAAGAGAGATCGCGGACGTCGGCTAGCAACCTGTGCAACCTTACCAGTCGCTGCGCCTACTGTTTCTGTCGGAGAGAATGGTGCAGGTAGCTCAACTGGCACTTTACCTAGCCAACAACGGCAGTGCGATGGAAGCCGGACGAGGCCGTCTCCTAATGCTGTGCGTGGAGCCCATGGTGCTGCGGCTACATTCGTATCGTTGTTCTACTTTCTATTGAGGCACCAGGACTCTCTTGATAGACTTCGGTTCGAGATAGACACTTCGTTTGGCATTGGATCGCTGTCAGACATACCTCGGTGGAGAGAGCTGAACAGATTATCCTATCTTGACGCCGTGCTGAAAGAGACGATGCGGCTGTCAGTGGATTTTGAAGAGGAGATCAAAGCAGCAGTAGATGGTGTCACAGTGGCAGAGTTTTCGGTTCGCAAAAACACGATCCTAACATGGAACTCCCATGTCCTGCATTTCGACAATGAGACATTCGGGAATGATGTCCATTCATTTCGACCTGAGCGGTGGCTTATGGCAGATGCGCAACAGCGAAGCCGGATGGAGCAGGGTTTGATCTCCTTCAACCGCTGCGTGCGCGACCATCCCGAAGCCCAGGTGGTTTGGATGGAATTGAAGAAAGTTGTTGTCTTGATTCTTATGAAGTTTAATGTAAGTTGCTCGAGGGAAATACTGCCAGCTCATCACTAACTAGAATTGATAATAGACGCAGCTTCTTCATGCCGCAGAGCCTAGCATTGACGCTGAAGACAATTTTACTCCGCCTTCTCTTATGGTTGGATTTACCCCGAGAGTTCCTGGATTTTGAGAGTACCAGCTTGTCCGACGCACCTCTCTTTCATTCTTCTTTTCTTTTCCAGGCCATTGATGCCATTTCGCCATCTTTGCGTTTCGACTTTCTTAGTTAAGATACCCAGATAAAGCAATTGCCATACAATTCTTGCCTGCATTCACAGCCTTCTTGCCTATCTCAGAGCGACTATTCACGAATTTACCATATAACGAAGTACTGCAAAGAGACACTCCATGCTAAGCTTTCTATACGACAATTACCCTCTACAAGCAATGCCAAGATCCGGGACGGCGCGTACAATCGCGTCAACCAGCGGCCGCTGACCAGCACTCGTCTACCACCTACATGGGCATCAACATACCCAGCAACCCAGAAGAAGACCAAGATGATCCCAATGAACTCCATAATTCACTACTATAGTACCAATTTCAAAAACATGCCCCATACTACAACCACCCCCTCACCTTCCACCCACAACACCCCAAATCAACCCACTACTCGTTCTCATCGACCCCAATCTCCGTCGTCTTGAACTTTCTCGCAGAAATCTTTCTCTTAAACAGAATATCTGCCTCGCGATACGACCGATGCTTCAATTCAGGCAATCCAAAGTACGCTCCAACCCACACCACCAGCGCCGTGCATCCCCAGACATACCCGCACTTGCCGGCCAAGTTCCACCCCGTGGTATTCAGCATCCGCGAGGACAGATAAATCATCGGGATTTCAGTGATGTAGTACGCGGACCGTCCAACAGCTGTGCTCAGCGCGCGGAGTCGCACCGACGAGGTCTCGGAAATGATAGTGTATGAGATGGGGCCTTGTGCGCCGGCGTAGACCACGGAAATGATCACGCCGAGACAGGCCTGCGCGTAGTTCGTCTTGTGGTTCTGTGGTACGGAGGCGATGATTCCGAGGATGAAGAGGAAGGTGATGTTTGTAGCGGTGCCGTAGAGGAAGACGGTGCGGCGGCGGAACCATGAGGTCAGGACCCAAGAGACGGCATTGGCGACGAACTGGAGACAGGTTGTGATGAGGTTCAATTGGAAGGACTTGTCGGCGGAGATTCCGGCCTCTGGTTACATATTAGTTTCAGAGAGTCTTCGACGATACGGACCGTTGACAATGTGGGGTGGAAACTCACGCTCGAAAAAGTATGTAGCCTGGTTCGCGATCAAGTTACCCGCAAAGTTCTGCGACGCATAGATCAGGCAGGTAATGATTGTCCGTCTGCGATCGGTACCCTTCCAGAGGTCGAGAAGTGTGGGGTTACCGCCTGTTTCCTCTTCGATCTTGACTGTACGTTCGATCATGGCGAGGGATTGGTGGGCTTGTTCTTCGGTTTTGGCGCCGAGGCGTTTGATGGATTTCAGGGCTTCTTCTTTGCGGCCGCGGCGGATGAGCCACCAGGGGGATTCGGGGGCGAAGAAGAGGAGGACCATGAGGGGAGTCTAAAGTTCATTGATTGTTAGTGTGTTGTTGTGTATTAGGCATTGGAGGAGGGTGGAAGGGAGTGTACCGGGAAGATCCACTGCAGGGCAAGTGGTGCGCGCCATTCCCATTGCGTTTCGAGAGAGTTGTAGCCATATGTAGCACCCGCGACAATGATGGAACCAATGGACCAACTCATTTGCAGGGTCGCGGTGACTGCAGCGCGGAGGGGGAGAGGGACGACTTCACTGGCGTAGGCTGGGGAGTTGGCGATGAAGAAACCCCATGGGACACCTTCTAGGGCTTGGCCGACCACGAGGAGAGTGAGGGAGTTTGCCTAAACAAAAATGTGTTAGGTGAGGTGGAAGTGACACTGATGTAAGCAAGTCACTTACGAAGAATGAGATGAAAATCGTCGCGTTCATGAGAACCAGACCCAGCATAGTTGTCCAGCGGTATCCGATCTTGTTGGTGATCGGTCCCGCCAGATATACACCCACGAAGGCACCGCATTGACCAGACTGGAACAGAGCACTCTGCCATTTGGTCGGGATCGCATAGACACCCGGTGAGGTTTCGACGCCGAAGACCTTGGAGAAGTGATCAAGTGCGACGAAATTAGTGTTAAGGAACATGTCGAAGGATTCCATGACCTGGGGGTATTACTATATCAGCATTACGAATAGTCTGGGCGAATGTGGAAGAGACTCACAATGGTAAAGCACATGAGGAACGCCCAGAAACAAGCCCAAGGGTACTGCTTAGCAGCCTCCCAGACACCCATTTGATGCTCGTAATTCTCACCATCAAAGGCTTCATGCATAAGATCGGGGTTGTCTAGAACCTCAGACTGGTGGATGTCCACCTTCTCGCTCTGAGGCTTCTCATCCCGCTGTTCGGCGACGCTTTCTGCCGCCATCTTGTCGGATTTCAGGCTCTACCACCGTGTCACTTGAGGGAGAGCTACGGGGGAAAAGAAAGTCTCACGGGGGGGGAGAGAGGGAAAAGCGTCGGCCAAAAGGGCGGGATCCAGGTCTTAAATTGACTTGACTATCCTACCCATGTAACTGTGTGACCTGGGAGTGCCGCCCGGCGTTTTCCCCCTTTCCACCACAGCAGGAATAAGCAGCAAGGAGCAAGTGAAATGCAGGCCTTGAAAAATACGAGCTAAATGAACTCAAATTGAGACAAGTCTAGGTCACTAACGTGGTTGAACATGTGGTTGCTTTCTCCACAAAATTACCCCATTGGCCCGGGCAGAAAGGGCTACTAGCTGGAGTCCACCAACATTATCCAGCGATGACCAGCTTTGCGGGGGAAATGCCAATTGGAGATGCGGGGCCCCAGATGACTCCTGAGATCCCGCATGGACCTCGATTCTGTAAACCTCGGCTGGTGGTTGGCGGAATATCTCACGCCACAGCGCGTTGGGATTGGTTGTGAAGGACTTAGCTAGGGGCCAGGTTACAAGCCTTTGGTGTTACTGAATCCTTGCAATAGGAGGCCATTCTCGATTCTAGCTAGTTCCGGGCAAGATATTAACCACGCGACACGTGTGTGGTAGCATCAATCCAGTTGTTTTATGTTGAACAGTGACACGAAGGGATTAAGACTTCGCGTTTTGTCGAGCGGTTGCAAAACTAAATGATCTGTAGGTAATGTTCTGAGTGCTAAGAATATACCAAGCCCTGCCAAGTAGTCATTAAGCCCCTGCCGTTTTCTAGGCTTTTCTGCCGACCCCCTCGGCTACGTGCAGAGAAAAGCATTTTCAGTCTCAGTGATGATTCACGTTTTGGATCACTACTCAATCAAGCCACTTGTGATACATTGACCAAGCTTTGATTTACGCGTGACATGGTGGTTGCCACTAGCTACATTCAGATGGTCACATTTCCTGGTTGCAGTAGTAGTAGCTGATTTCCCGTGGAAAAGCAAGCCGCGGCTGGCTGGATTGGATACAGCGCCACCGCTTGTTTTTGTTAATCCTGGGCCTCGTACATGGCATCCCTCTCACCGGCAAGGCATTACCTATATGTTATTTAATGTTCAGTCGTTACACAAGAAGACATAGGTAATGTGTCGTGACCTCGCTCCCATTCTCTGCTTCAAAGCGCATACATTAGACCATGAAGCTCTAGTTAATCAGCAGCCCCCGATTACTGTATCTAACCGAGGGATGTACAGACCCGGCTAGACGCGTTTCATTAGGCAAGGATGAAGCTGAAGCCTTTACGGACTAGTGGGTGATATAGGATCCCGCCACCTGCGGGCTAGCGCAAACGCAACACAGACCTTAGGAGTCACCACCAACCATAAATTACTCTCAGGCAACCCATATCATGCTCATGTGAATTTAACCGAAGCTCTTAACAGCCCGACGCTGGGGCCGCACCTCTGACAGCTCAACGGTAGCTTGCCCCAACTCCACGTGCGTGGGCTTGAGGCTTTATGAAGCTTTCAAGCTACTGTACAACCTCCTTTCTCAACATTACGCCACCATGCTATGGATGCAAGGCGTCTTCATCCGCGTAGCGGGAGAGAAGAGATGCGTTGATGCCTTAGCATGAGGTTCTTCGTTTCTTAGTAAGTCCTGTCGCTATTCGCACATCACGAAAAACAATCACAGCACTATCCACTTCCCCAAATAATACAAGTTATCATGATCCTTGGTAGATAGTGCATCTCTTCCAAGCAATTTCCCGGGTTTTTAGTTCCCTTCGGCTAATATCTGATGTGAAATAACCAAAGTTATCACACATCTTGAGTAATAAGAAGCCTTCCATCTCAATATGGTCTGATCTCACCCGAAACATATTTCCCATACTTTTACGAGCACTAACGATAAGGTTGGCCTTGTTGATGCTGTGCTTTCAGTCCGATAGGGTTAGACTGATTGATGAGCTCACGTGGCCTGTTCCCGTTCATCATGGCGGAGCATATGTAAAGCCCTGCAAGGAAACAAATAGCGGACAGGACAGCTGACGGTAGATCCCACTTTTGACACTGCATGCGATCGGCCTATTGTTATCAGGACTTATGATTAACCATACGCCGTAGTCGATATAGTATGCAGTTGTTGTCATCAGCGAAGTGACTTGTTCTAACAGTACGTCCGGATAGGGCAGAATCCGAGTCCAGTCGATGAATGGCAGTTATGCCTCGGGCACTAAACATGACATTGAATTTCTGCAAGGGATGAGCAGTCTTACATCCCTCAACCACTGGATAGCCAAGGCAGCATACAACTCACAAGCAACCCTCATCTTCCACTCGCAAATTTCACCTAGCCCTCATGTCTAAAGAGATTGAATTGAACCCATCCGAGGTTGAATTCCTCGAAAAGCTAAAGGAGAGCAAGTATTCCGTGGTATTCAAAGTCCGTTTCAGGGAAAGAACATGTGTCATGAAGGTGGTAAGTAATTATTCCCATCCCGTCACTGCCTTGTCACTTATGATCAAAAGTATCATGATAGGGGGCCGTCCGAGTGGGATCCCCCTTACCGGGAAGTCAATATCTTCATCTCCGAGTCTACCGCCTACCATCGACTACAATCGAAGGGCTTATGCCAGAGGGGCGTTATCCCAGACTTCTATGGAACAATTAGAAAGATCCAACCGGCTAATTGGCCAAGTCTCAGCATGTTCCTTAACGACAAATTACCGCCCAATGCTATCCTTATCGAGTATATTCCAAACCTGCAGCAAATCGACCTATCCAACTACTCACCGAAACGCCTGGCTAAATTCCGTGAGATTCTCGACAATATTCACGCGGCAGGAGTTCTCCATGCCGATCCGAAGCCTCGCAATATGATGGTGTCCTTATCGGAGGACGACAGGGTACTCTGGATAGACTTTGATTCTGCCCAGACATTTCCAGAGGGTGGTGATCTGTCGCCAAGACAACGCAAATGGATTGAAGGAGAGGATGAGATGGTGGATTATTTTGTTGATGCCTTGGTAAGATTTCGTCTTTGTGCTACTGCTTTGGCTGACTGTTGAACAGGCGAAAGATTTCGAAGAAGGAAAGCTGAATCGCACAATTTCGTACTATTATGAATGGTACGTGTAGATAGAAAAATAAGGGTGAATCATACTATGTAGTTCCTACTCGATATAAGAGCTTGGTGCTTTGAATAGAGTTTTTTAATTCATACTCCAGGAGTAGTAGCATTGATTCTTTGGTTCTTAGCACTATATCAGTGTTTTTCTCAGAGACCCAAGCATCAGGTACGTAATGAGGAGACGGTGCGATAAGGTGATGGCAACCATTCAATACTAGAGTCTGGCTTTACGATATGCTTCTAGAACTGCAGCACAGATGAGCTTTCCCCGAATGGAAAACCGTGTCGGAGAGATACGGAAAAGGTGTTGTTTACGAGTATCACGTGCGGCATGAATCGGGCTATACCGGATGTATGAAAGCGCATGCGACAAATTGCAACAAAGCCTCGCGCCTCCTCGCAATCAACAAATCGTAAAACAGTGTCATTTATTTGTCATAACTTCATACATACATTCTTTTCTTTATATAGTTGATAGTATACCTATCATATATCAAGGAAATTTGACCAAGTGTCCAGCCTGGCCAACGCTATGGGTATCACCGGAAAAGGTATTTTTAGTAGTCGTGTGGTGGGCATTTCTCATGCAGCCCAGGCATCTTTCAACACCTTCTGTCCCCGAGCAAGAGTCTTCGCAGGGACTTCACCTAGCCATTGTGGCTCGAGACGATCAAGGTTCGCCTCGATTTCCCAGGCGCGGCCACCCTCGACGTACATAGAGGTGCCGTTCAGTGAGTCGTCCACGAGGACACCAGCAGCCACCTGAGCGACCTGGAGGGGAGAGCTGATGGGGAGACCCTCCTCTTCCCATCGGTCGCACAGTTTCTTCGTTACAGCAGGATGAGTCTGGGTCATCCAGGGGCAGATGGTGTTAATGCGAAGGTTGTGCTTGTAAGGGTGGATAAAATAGGGACGCAGCGAGCGCATCAGGCCTTGCACACCGTGCTTGGCTGCCTGGTAAACAGACACTCCCGGGGTCTCCTTGAACCCTGCGGCGCAAGAGAAAAGAGTGATGGAGCGATCCACACCCGGGCCACGGTTGTGGCGGAGGTAGGCGCCAGCGAGACGAACGACGTAGAGAGTTCCAGTGAGGTTGACGTCGAGGTCTCTGGTGGATGGGGGCTTATCATTGTTAGCAAGATCACTCAGGAGGTAGGTGCTGTGGGTAGCTTACCTCGCGCACAGCCTGAAGGCTTAGAGCATTGTCAAACCAATTCTCCTTTGGTTCCATACTGCCAGCAGTAACGACGACATGGTCAATGCGCTTGTAGGTCTTGAACGTAAAGTCAAAGAGATCCAGCACAGATTGGTAGTTTGTGATATCGGTCTCTTGGAAGGAGGAGCGCGGAGGTTTCGGGGGACCAGAGGGGTCCCAGTAGACAGGCCATTTCTCGCGACACTTCCGGCTCAAGGGTACACCGGCAGTAGAATCAATGTCGCCAATGCATACGTAGGCGTTGTTTTCACAGCAAAGCTCGACAAGACTAGCGCCGATACCATTGGCACCTCCTGTTCCAAACGTGGGTTAGCATTGATAATGGATGAGTGATGGAAGACACAATGGGAAACACGTACCCACAATGAGAATGACCTTTTCCTCCAAAGCCTCCCGAGTGATTTCAGGGTGGAACTGGGTGATGGGGGTGGCCGAATTGGAGGAGAGAACGGGCTCAGTAGGAGCGATCATTGTGATAGGTCCGATAAGAAGAGAAGATGGTCTGATACGAAGTAAATTAAAGAAAGAAGGATAGAAGCACGACTCGAGGCCAACAGCTGGGGTTTCAAGAGCCTTATATGCGGAACGACGGACGGATTGACTCTTTAGAGGCCTGTATTTAGCACACCTCTCCAAACATAGCAGGCAACGAGAACATGTGGTCTCAAGCCAATTAAGATGCAGGAAGAAGAGCTGCTCGACTTTTGGGACTTCTGGTCTGGTGGGGGCTGTATCGGGAAAGTGTAACTGTCGATGAGAGAGCGGGATGAGATAGGCGGCGCAGCTGCACCAGACTCGGATATCGTTGGACGATGCTGAGGGGGACTCCACCAAGAGTGCCATTCTCCGCCTGCCAGACGTCTTATCCACAGTGGAACGATTGATCGGCGATTGCGGGGGGAGGATGAGAGGATCCGGGGAACATCTGGAAAAGTGGGTTTCTTGCTCGAAATGGGGACATGTCGAAGAGAAAGATGGCAGAAAGAATCGCAGTTGCCGATGGATAGGGAAAGCGAAAGGAGGAAGTCGAACAAAAGAGAGAAGGTTAGACGATTCCGAGTGCCTGGCAAAAGTCCCGCTCGCTCTCCGTGGATCTTGACTTTCCCCTCTCGGATGACCCCAATCCTATCCCCGTCTCCTCCCACCCATTGCTTCCCTTCGTCTGGTCATCCAAGCCGCTCCGATGCTTGGTGCAAGTGAATCCTTACCGTTTTCTAGTCACTACCAGGGGCACTGCCGCTTCAGGAATAATTCAATTACCAATTACTGCAGTGTCTACACCCCCTCTTCCTCGCCATGGAACATGAAAAAATCACTCACCCTCCTTAACAACAGTTGAGGAATCATGGATCAATATCCCCCTGGCCCTACTCATCCATCCTTGGTTGGCCTCCTGCAGTCGGTTGGCATCCCGTCAGTCACCCTGCGCAAGCCCGAGGCAGTCAACAATAATACAGATGGCTCAACTCCATCCCGAGCCGAGAGAGGACAGCCAGCCACGGAGCGGCCAGTGCAACCTTGCAATGTAGCCTCGACAGCGTTGGCGTCGGGGCAATGCAGGGATGTATTTCTCGCCATCAATTGAAAATGATCCTTAATCCGTTACGGTTACCGGGAGAATTGGCGGCCATTGAAGATGGTTGACTTGATTGGCTAAGGCCGTTTTTAGCAGGATACCGAGACGTCATCCCAGCGACGGGTGCAATGCATTCCATCCGAGGCTGATAGGCGCTGTGAGGGCCTATCACAGTAACAGGCAGGTATCGCGCGACACCACTACCAGTGCTGCCACTCGGAAATGGCCCTTCATTAGCCTTTCATGTCATGGCGCATCCTGCTGTGGCCTGTGCGCAATTGAGTTCCGTATCACTTTGCCTTTCGAAACATGCAGCCGGTTTCGTAGGAGCTTACTCTCTACCGCTGGATCCCCATTGTCTGCGCAATCAGATGCAGCTCGTAGAATTCGTCAACACCCGAATATACATGTACGTTTAGGAGGCATCAATAGTGATGAAATAGGCTTGCCGAGGGAACTGTGATAGGGTGAATTGGGGGTCCGATGCCCGGACAACGCTAGGGGTGATTACGGAAGAAGCAGCATCCGAGACGTAGTCGGTGTTTGCTAAGACCTTCATTTCAGCCAGCAGCAGCTAATCCCAGACCGTCATCCCGCCGGATGGACTTTGCCTATCTTGTTCCATCTTGCAGCATCTGCGGACTACCGTACTCCGTCGGGGCTGGTGCTTCATGCTCACTTGAGTGCAGAGGCAGCTGAAGGTTGACAATGATCGGAGAGGAGAATGAGGAGATCGATAGGGACGACGCAGTAGTGTGGGAGTGGATCGGCCGAGGATTCCGATGGAATCGCATCGATACTTCGCCGCCTGTACTTTTATTGTGGTTCCCCACTGGCTCCACTAGGCAATTGCAAGTACACAGCCTGTCAAGCCCACAACAGCATGGTGCTCAGTGCCCACAAAGACTATCTGGTTGAAGATCGATCGGCTCAAGCATTAAACATTTGCCACCTCCAGATCTGTCCAAGTTGATCCTGTTTATCGTCGGTTATGATAACCGAAAGTGGGTTACGGGGTAAGCTGGTACTAGACGGTTATTATAGAGGAAATAATGTCTATTGTTCGAATTTCTCAGAGTGGACAAGTGACCAGTTTCGGAACCGCTGGGACGATTTGTCGTCAGTCATTGATCGGCTCACTATTGGGCTATGGAGCATAGTCCGACACAGACTAAATGACGAGCCTATCACCTCCCATCCAAAGCGTGGTCACATCAACCTAAACCTTTGACTGACATATGCCAGCGAGACGGATGTTGCGGAGATATGTTATGGTACTATGAGCTTTGTACCTAGAAGCTCTGGCTGTGTCGCACGGTCTAGCGACCGGCAGACAGGCCCTTCCAACTGTTCATTACGCTGGATGGTTTATGGGCCACAAGTGAGGCTAAGCGTGGCTTGTCCTTGCATTCCATTGTCATGCCTCAGGCACTAATCGTGGCCTGATAAACGTAGCCGTCACATGATCGCTGGGTTCCATCAGCGATGCATTACTTACCGCCTTGGAAGTGTCCAGAAGGTCTTCTTTCTGGCGAACCTTCATAAAATAGAACGCATCAATTATCAAAGATGAAGCCTGGACCCTGTTGCTTATAAAGATATGACCCATGGTTGAGACATGCCAAAAGCGGGCAGCCGATGGGGTTACATGATGGCATGGTCTACGTCACCACCCGAGCATCCAGACCCTGCCGGTTTATAAATTGATTACCATGTGCAACCCTGGATGACACACGCCGAATTCGATGGCAACTGCTGTTAAAATGAACAGCTTGTCAAGGTGCTTGGGGAAACAATTCACACAATACGCAAAAGCACCCGTCTTCAGGAAGTGCAACACGATCCCATTCCGTCTTTCCGGCATTTCTGTTCGAAGTTACTCAGACCGAAGCTCAAAATACAACGGCAACATGACTAGTCAACCTCCCAAGAATGAGATGGTGTACATGCCAGGGGTGATGTCACCCAACCGATCGTTCGGTGTCTTCCGCAAGGTCCTCCACACTGGCCTATACTCTCAATTCGTGGCCATGGAAGTCCCCGTCAATGGCGAGATTGGCGACGAGGTTAGTCCATCTCTTAACGATCAATGCGAACAGATAGCTAAGTTAAGATCACCAGATCCACACCGTTGACCAAGTCCTCATCTTCACCCATGGAACCGGCAAGGCAATCGTTGCCGGAAAGGAACAAGAAGTTCGGCAGAACGATGTCGTTATAGTCCCAGCCGGCACTCAGCATCAGTTCTTGAATATCGGAAACACGCCGCTCGAAGTGGTTACTATTTATTCTCCAGCAGAGCATGACCCGCGAACGGTACATCAGACCAAGGCAGAGGGCGATGCACAGGAAGAGGCTGGCGAGGATGAAGCACCAGAGTGGAGTCAACGGAGCAAGTCGGAGAATGAGAAGATTGGGCTGGTCAAGGCCCCATAATCGGCATCATGTATGATGAAATTATAAACTGAATATAATTATTACTTTATGGTCTATAATTACGAACATTTCGCTCGCGCGCGACAAATACGGCAATTGCTTTGATTCGATACCGTCATGCGTCGGATAACTCAATATATCATGATAAATTTATATTAAGCAACTCAACTCCAAGCAACAAGCACAATTATACAATAGGGGTTAGTGATGCCTATCGAACCCTGATGCTACTGACCTCGGAGTCTGCATCGCTTGTTACCTCAGTTGATAAACCGAAAATACTTGTCACATAATACTGTAAGCATTCTCCGTCCTGTGGCTTGCTTAGTCTTAACTCCTGACTTAGTAGACGAACTTCCATCTTTAAGGACTCCGAAACTACTTGGAAGATACCTTCTTACATACTAAACAGATACGGAGTTAGCCTTTGATCAAAGGAACCAACAAAAGCTCAACCCCCTGGTCCCATTGAAATACGAGATGTTGACACCATGTGCTTTGTCTTTGTTCTTATACGTTGACATGGCGATTTTCAAAATACCTCTGACAACGACAGTAGGCTGACTTGATAGGATTCGAATATAGTCAAACACCAGTAATTGACCAGGGAATATAGTACGTGGATGATATCCGTCAGTGAAGAGAAATTCTCCGGAATGTTACGATATGTGCAGGAAAAATCCCAGACATTTCGCTATCTTTCTCGCGGATAAACACCAGGCCTCTGGAAAGATGGCTGATTCGGTAACTTTAGTTATTGCATCCTATTTCCGACCCATTTTTCCATTTATTTTATTGTTTGACTAAGTGTTATAAAAGTGGTCTGGATCTGAAGTTCCCCTCCTGCCCCTCTTGTCCCACTTGCTGCTATTGGATTCTACATCTGAGCAAGCCCCGGTATCCAATCGACAGTAGGAGCTGCTCCTTTGACATCAATCATATTGCACCAACACACATCCTGCCAACAGTCTTCGTGGTCATTCACAACAGAACAGCTTCTCTCAACGAACGTGAATCAAAGCTCCACATAATACGGACCTGTGCTCACAATGGACGAGAAGGAAAGTTTTGAGCAGTGGTATTTGAGGTTAGAAGCAAAAATACGGTATGTCATCCAAGTTCTGAAGCTAATTACAGATTAGAACAGCAAGCTTATACTATGAACAGAAAAGTAGAGGAAGAGAAAAGACAACTGGAGGAAAGGAGGTATTTCGCGGAAGAAGGGCAGCCTGAGCAGGAAAGGCAATTGGAAGAGGAAATTAGGAAACGCGAGGAGGAACTCGCGCAACATGGGGGACTTAGGAAACTTAAGGAAGAGGTCAGGTATCTTCAAGAACAGTACAGGCAGCATGAGGAGAAGATGAGGCAGCATGAAGAGGAGATGAGGCAGCATGAAGAGGAAATGAGGCAGCATGAAGAGGAAATGAGGCAGCATGAAGAGGAAATGAGGCAGCGGGGGGAGAAGCCCGAATGGCTTGTTCAAAAGACAACATTCTTGGAATATATCCAGCACTTGCACGAAGCTCTTCCAGATCCGCTGAACCTTGCACCCTGTGCAGACACACACAGAGATATACTCAAACCGAAGGCAAGAGTCTTTCCAGAGCGGCTTGAGCACTGGTCCGAATGTGACAATCAGCAGGAGCAGATTTACCGGCTTATCTGTGAATTCTTTGAGCCAACTGATGGCCCGCCAAAGCGAATTTTCACACCCATTCATGTCATTCGAGAGAATGGAGAAAGAATGAGAAAAAGATCAATAAGCTTCAAGGAGGATCTTGAGATCTATTTACAAGATTCTGTGCAAATGCAGATCGGGCATATCATTGAGGAGATCTGCGCCATTCCTGCTGCCCGTGCGGCCTTTCATCTTGGGGGCGACCGTATGAGATACGTCGCTTCCCATGGGGAGCTGCGTTCGCGTGCACCAACGTGGATCGAGGACAGTGAGCGATGGCCTCCTGGACCCGAGTCATTTTGTATTCATGATATGGAAGATGGCAGAAGAGGAATTGATGCACGCTTAAGGGGCGAGTTTATACTCCCCAACAAGCTGACCATGGAAACACTCCGTGCAGGATTGTGGTCGATGGATTCCTATGCTGAAGTCTTACACAACGAAGTGGTCCCACCGACAGAAGCGGAAAGGATCACACGCAATGCAGCGCGCCTGGCAGGCTCAGCTCTGGTCCAGCTTTACAACGAAATGATAAGCTATGGGTTTGAATACGGGTATATAATCACAGGAGAAGCATTGGTCCTGCTCAAAGTCCCCTACGACAATCCCTCAACCCTTCTCTATCGCGTCTGCGAGCCGAGTATCGAAACAACGCCAGGGAACCCTGATGGGTTCTTGCGGCCTGTGACAGCCATCGCGCGAATACTATGTCTATGCTTGATGAGCTGCGCCTCGCAGACCCGGAGTCCTGATTGGTGTATCAAAACAAAAGCAAGATTATCTACTTGGTTGACCGGGTTTGATTATGAATACTTCATTCAGACTCAGAAGTTCATGCCATCGGATGACTATTCAGGCACGACGACTCTTTCACCGCACTCCATTTGCTGTCAGGGAACCGCAAGAGAATTACCGATTCGACCCCGTTCCCAGACGAGCTCCGTCGAAGGTACACAGCAACCTTCCCGAGAGGAAGTACAGATTGGTGAAACGTATTACGCATCAGGGCACAAATGTCGCCTTATCCAGTCCGGATCTTCGGCGTCGCCTGCGCCGGAGCAACAATCGAAACGGTCGAAACGCCCAGAGACTTCATGCAGCACCAACCCCCAGCAAGATAGACCGTTCTGCACTCAAATATGTCTGCTTGGCTTGAAGGAGAGCAGAAAGCTGGACGAAAATTGCCCGAACGTGGAACTCACCAGCAGAGCGGAAGTGTCCACCACGCCATCACAGCACAAGGCCTGATCAGACTTATCAAGCAGGAAGTAGATGAATGTCTCGATTGCAATAAACCAATGGGCCGCTGTGGATTATCTGGTACACCATTGAAGATCACTTGCGCTAAATACGGGTACACCGTTGTCGGGAAAGGGACCACCTGTTTCATGTGGCCGCAGCTAGAACGCGAAGCAGATGTGTATCAGATCTTAGATACTATACAGGGCTACGATGTCCCCGTATTTCTCGGCAAAGTCAATATGCAGCAGACGTTTCACTTACATGGTGTGGGGAAAATTCGGCATATGCTGATGATGGGCTGGGGTGGAGAGCCAATTGACGAGGCCGCATACGAGCAAGGGGCTTACAAGAAATACTTGAACAAGGCTTTAACCCCAATTCGGGATCTCGGCGTCCTGCATGGAGACCTTTCGGCGGGGCATATTCTCTGGAATGAGGAGCTGAATCGGCTTATGCTCATTGACTTTAATCGTTGCAGGCTGAGTCTGCCGGACCCCGTGGAGTGGAAGCCGAAGTGGTTGACGGAGTGGGATTCTCTTGCAAAGGAGGAGAAGGACCATCATCGTCAGCATTGTTCGTTTCATAGGACGTGCGTACATCCGTTGACTAGGAGTGTCCGAACGAGAAGTTTGATGTGTGCTGATGCTGCCTCGCTGCTTTCTGGCTATTTTTATGTACATTAGTATGACATATATGCCGGTTGGTTGGATATTTATATTAGATCAGTATGATGCTTCTCTTGATTACAACCATCCTCGAGCTAGTGATCGACCAATTCCTCTTGTTCCTGTATGTTTGGCTCTATAAAGATAAACTATTATCACTTCCGGATAGATTGGAGCCACTACCAATCCAAAGAACGCTATCGATATTTCTACTAGTCCTATCCACCCGACTAGTAGGCTGACCATGTTTCAACCTTCGCGCTGAAGCGCAGATAAGATCAAGCCTTACTTATTTTCTGTAAGTGCATAGATAGTAGTAGCTACCGGAGACTGAACAAACGTGTTGTATTAGATGTTTTGGCATATTCATTCAACCTCATCCATTAACTTATATGCTTTAGGTTCTTGACCCGAGACCTTCCTGTCTTCATACATATATATGCCAAGTTATGTTATATACAGAAACAGACAAAGAGAACAGAAAAGAAAAAAAAAAGACAAGAAAAGAGAGAAAGAAAGAAAGAAAAAGGAAAAGGAAAATAAGTAAATCAACACAGATTAAAAGGAACAAATTAAGAATTTAAATATTTTTTCCTTCCTTGAATGGATATGAGATAAAATCAAAAGAACTACTACACTTATTTCACCAACATCTCCAAGTCATGTGCCGTGCCTCAACATCAGCCCTCATCACCTGCCCTCTCCTTTGTAAGCAACCTCGGAATTTAGCGAGTACCTAACCCCATCCTAACTTAGCGTAGTCGCGTCCACAATCCCCCAAAAGCAACCTAACCCTCTCTCTCTCTCCCCGGCTTTTCTCCGGACGATTCAGACCCGCGGGGGGCCACGAAAACTGATTGGCCCGAGCCAGAAACGAATGGAGCCCTCCGCATTCGGCTCGACCCGCCCATGCGGAGGAGCGAGCCAATGGACACCACAAACCACAGACCAGGGGATATTAGGGGTCTGGGCACGAAGATGTGGTTGGTAGCAATCAAACCTGATGACGAGGCTGTGGCTCGGGATTACTTGTTTTTGCCTACTGCTTTCTGGATGGGAGGGGAGGAATATAGCCTAAGTGGGTTGGTATATTAAGTACTACACTGCATTATTTCCTCCGAATCGCGGCTAAAGGGGGTTGAGTAGCCAATCGTGGTTTGTTTGCTCATTCATGGCTTCCAGCCGTTCCGGATAGCCGGGATTTGCTCCCATTCCTCCTGTCTTTTCTTTCTTGGCGTTAGGTTCACCCCCTTAGCTTATACCGTTTGCTGGACGGCATGCGGCTGGCTTATGCCGAGGGAGTCAGCACCACATTGTCCGCATGGACCGCCTTCTCGGGAACCTTCTCGCTAGAGTCAATCATCTCGCCGTGGAGCAGTGCCGTCAACCCGATGTCGCGATCAATCCGTTGCCGGAGTGCCTCGTCTTCGGCTGCCATGCCCTCAGAGCCGAACAGTTCGTCCATCTCTTCCAGGGTGCGCCCCTTGGTCTCGGGAACGAAGAACCACACGTAAATCGCTCCAACGACGGTAATGCAGCCGAAGAAGATGAAGGTACCGTAGGTAGAGGCGGCGATGAAGGGGGAGGTGGCCAGACCGACACCGAAGTTGTTGAGCTGGGAGGAGTCAGAAACAGTGTTTCTAGGAGAGAAGCGGTACTATATTCACTTACCCAGTTGCTGCTGCCGCCAATACTGACGCCCTTGGCACGCATACTGAGCGGGAAAACTTCGGACACGACAATCCACGCGCACGGACCTGTTTGGAAACGGTAAGCATTAGTCTTCACGGAGCAGATTATTGATCAGATATTGCGTACCCCAAGAGTAGGCAAAGTTGATGATGAAGATCCACACAAATGCCACTGTCGCCCATCCCGCGCTCTTGTGCTCCCCAAAGGTCCCCTCATACGAGCCGATGAGGCCTGCACAGATGAAATGGCAGACTGCCATGCCAATGGCTCCGGCAAGCAGGGTCTTCTTACGACCAATATTGTCGACCCAGAGCACGGCCGGGATTGTGAAGACAAACTCGAAAATGCCAGCAACACCGGTAGCCAATAGAGATGTCGTATTTCCTCCCAATTCAAGGCCTTCGAAGACTTGAGGCGCGTAGTAGTTAATGGCGTTGATTCCGTTCCATTGTTGGAAAAGCATGACCAAGCACTAGAGACGTCAATATAGGATTCATATAGTTGAATAGCAATGACTCTAGCATACCGCAACTGTAGTCCGCTTGAACAGCGACGGGTTGGTGACGAGCGAGAGGTAGTCGTAGAAACCGATCATAAAGTTACTCTTGAATGATCCATCCTGATATTGAGGGTACTTCTTCTTAGCGGTCTCTTCCTCGAACATCTTGAGCGACTTGATCTCCAAGTACTCAATGCGGACCAGAATATCATCAGTGGGGGCATCGCGAAGTCGTGCAAGCGTCTGCAGACATTCCTCTTCCCGTCCCTGGTTCATCAGATGACGAGGCGATTGAGGCATAAATAGAACCATGCCCGCAGCGAGGATCAGGGCCGGCAGGACTTGGATGCACACGGGGACCTCCCAGGCCGCAATGGACTGGCCATCACCCGTCCCTCCAATATAGTTGGTACCGTAGCCGATCTGTCACGTTTAGCTTATGCTACTTCGAAAACACATGGGTACAACATACCCAGAAGCTGACCATGATACCGAAGGTGATGGACAGCTGCTGCACGGCGACGAGGGAGCCACGAATTTCGGGGGGAGCCTGGAATGTCAGTACTGAGGAACAAGCATCAAGCAATAGTTTTGACGTACCAACTCTGCGTTATACAGAGGAACAATCATACTCAGATTACCGACACCCAGACCGGTAACGAACCGACCAGCGAAAACATAGCCAGCGTTTTTCGTACAAGCCTGGACGATCACTCCGACGCAGAAGATGACCACGGCGACAACGACAGTTTGGCGACGGCCCAGAGCATCGGCGAGATAACCGTTCAACAGTGTACCAACCCACGCTCCCAGTTCCAAGATGGATGTAAGCATACCCTGCTTAAGACCAGTTCGAGCTGCATATCCGTCGGTCTTTACATGTTAGCGTAGGTGTAAGGCGAGGTGGAGAGCGAAGCATACCGCCTTGATGAAAGAATTCATAGTCAGAATTTCGGAGAACATTCCCTGGTTGTCTTTCAAAACCGTTAGCCAGGCTTTGTCGTCAATGAGCCACATGAAACCTACATCCGTAGACGAAACCACCCAGCGACGCAAACAGCGCAATCGCAAATGTTTTCTTGCTGCTCATAAGCCCACGCCATCCGACGCGATTGCCGGCAAGCTCAGCACGCTTGCCGGACACGGCCTCAGCGCCCGCACCCATACCCATGTTGAGCGATGGTATGGACAATCACAGTACAGGCCCCAGAAAAGTACCGATGATGTGAGAAGAAACAGCGCAATCCAAATGGGATGTCAGTGACAGAAAGTAAGAGAAACAAGACCAACGAGCATCAATTTGCGGGGAGCATGCGACATAAAAACAACGGGCCTCGGACGCAATGTCTGTCATTCGTCCCGTATAGCTATAGCTGCAGCATCCTCTTTCTCAACTGCTTTAACTTTTTGTTTAGGCTATTCCCATTTGAAACTAGATCAATGTCGCTAGAGGCCGACATCGATGTCATGCAATTTCCGCGAAGCGCTTCCTATGGCCCCATGATTGGGCATTCGATTTAGCCAGACTTCATCCATCGGTGCCAGGCTAGCTAGGTCCGGTAAGGCGTGCTACAAGTATTTTACCCCAAGGAATCGATTCATCCCCGTGGGGCCAGTCGGATGCCATGGGGGCCATGATTAGGCATGGTTTGTCATCGGCTCAGGTTCGGCATCGTGGACGCCGGATTCGATTATATCCGCCGGTTGGATACAAGCTTCGTGGCGGGCGGCCTGGCAATGGCTACGCCCGGCGGTGCTTGGCAAGCGCTAGCCGGGTGACACGGATGAATGATGACATCAAGTAGTAGGTTGAGACAGACCGGATATCGTGAAAGGCATGACAGCAGCCAGTGGATTTTGCGGGGATGGGAGAAAAGAGGGGAACCATGGTAAGGGCGAGGGGGCACGACCACCACTCTCAATGAAAAAGCGGAGGTAGAATATGGGGGAATGCGCAAGACGGATCTGGAGAGCAGACGAGACCAGACCATTCTATGACAGGCAATGATGGTCAGATTTAGCCGGATTTCCTCTCCAACCCCGAGATAGTTGCAGCCATCAGGCTGGCACAACAGCCGGAAGTCAGCCCATGGTTAGGACGGCTCCTTTTCTCACTGGCTGTTCACCAAAACACCCATCAACCGTTAGGCTCTGTTCTTGGACCGCTGACACGATGTCTGATCAGTAGTTTGCCACGAGTTGAGCTTCTGCGACACGTGAAATGTCATCTCGCTACAGCCCATATGAGTGTCCAACGCTAAAAACCCCTTGCGTCTCACACTCTGCGTTGGCGTATGCCGGCCACCCAACCGATCAGCGCCTGATTCCGCTCGGTCGCAGTTGCGGGGTTCATTTCACGCCGTGTTTCCTGCTTCGCAGTCTCCTGCTTGCGCGAGCCGGCATCCTTCGCGCGAAAGATGGCTCGGGCCATCGTCGAGACAATCGGGGTTGCCAGGATGTGAGACCACCGACCTCCTGTTCCGACCTATCCAGGTATTCAAGTCCGAAGCCAACAGCTGGTCGTGCCGTCAGCCGGGCCCACTTGTGACTCACGCGCCTTCCTTGACAATAGGTAACATTCAAGCAAGCCGAATCCATGGATTTTTCTATGAGTTGGTGGTCAGATTGAAAGAAAGATATGGGAACCATGAATGTTTGGATGGCCAAATAGTCGAGGTCACCGTGCCATGGGGAAAGGGGGTCAGCTCGGGGATCCCCACGGGGATGCCGGTGAGTGAACACAGTTTAGGTGGCCTCGGTTACCCTCCGAAATGGGACAAGCGAGTCCCGCCTGGGTCATACGCCTTTTGCGTCGCTGCTGCCTTGATTGACCTTATTCGCCCAGTGCCATGCACAGGTGAAATGGAGGATGGAGGTGTATGTCGGTCCGTCGCGAGTATGGTTGGCCTGAGTTGACTTGCGGCTCCCTCCACTCACTCTCAACACCACAATATTAGCGTCCTGCTTCTGGCACCATTGACTAGCTTATTCTTTCATTGGGATAAATCAGATGTTAATAGTATCGGTCACTGAGCACCCCATGGAGTATTATTGGTCAGGTTTGAGGCAATAAAGGTTTCCAATGTTGGCGTCCGGTACTCCCGACTACGATCTTCTCGAAATAGACGGGAGCGTGCGAGAATGTTGCAGAAGTAGATAGATTATTCCTGTTCTTGTTCTTTTGCCTACTTATTATCGAATAGATGATTTCTGACACGTCGCATGTTCTTTCTGTGCGAAATAATTGCCGGTCACCTTCCGGTTGCGAGGTTATTCCAATTCCCACCACGGGTTCCCCTCCGCAGCCGATGCCGAAAGCACAACACAATGAATAGCGAAAGTGTGCTAACCGATGTTCCGGCCGGCCAGCTAGACCATAGTTTTAGTTACAAGATAGTCTCTCCGTGTACGTCATCATAAGAAGCTCAGTTGCTCCAAGTTCTCATTGAATTCGATGTATATATTTGCTAGACCAACTTACTAGCGTACCAGTACAAGATCCCAACAATACTAGTCCCAATAACACTAACTATCCAATCTCATATCTCCCTTGGACCCATTACAGCAGGGATCTAGAGAGTTTCACTAAGCTTGCACTACACCGATCTCCACAAGCCTGTCCTCGGACTTACGGAATGGTGATTACAGGTAGACTAGCATGCAATGAACTTAGTCCGTGCACCATGGCCACATCAGTTTTACTCCATCGGATCACTCTATAGGTCCGGAATGGATGAATCATATGCTAGTACATTTGACGATATAATTTGCGAGGCCGATTAATGTCCGATATTGTAGCGATCAGAGGCCCGGGCGCTTTTCCGGCAGTGACAAGAAGCAACTGTCAGCAGAATTGTTTTAGGTGTATAGTGCGACGCCACAAATCTGGGAATTCTATTATTTCTTGTAACGCTACTCAACTATGATCACTATTATACCAGATCAGCATTCCGAACAGGGAACGTATGAAAATCATAGTAATCCCCTTTTTCGGGAAGTATGCAGTTTAAGCAAACAAGAGTGATCAACCAGAGAATGCCAAAGTACATCACTGCTTCTCAATATATTTTCCTTTAGGCAACCATAATTTCTAAACATCACCCGCATACCAAAGTTGTGTCGTGCGTCCGTGCGATAGGGTAGCAACAGTGACAGGGCATCAAGCAATGGTAACTTTGCTAGCACTGCGGCTAGGTTCTATGAGTGTCACGAGATCGAGGGCAAAGGGCTGCCTATGGAGTCCGCATTGAGGTCGATCCAGGTACTTGAGAGCTTTGTGGGCGGATTGCATGATCATTTGGACCACATTTGCGAAAGAAAATCAGGCTATTGGCTGTTGATAAGCGCTAGTGGATTGCTTGATCTACCGCTTCCGGCCGTCAGATGCTTGATTTCCTTCCAATATTTACGTGTATGCAGTGAGGCGCAACGCGGGTGTAACTATTTGCAGCTAAATAGTAACAGATACATGATGGCTCGAAGGTGGCATGGGGCAAAGGGAGATAGAAGTTCTGTTGTATGAATATGATTTGCTGAGAAACGACGGTCGAAGTGTAGAGAAGGGACATGTATCTAGACTACTATTTCCTTCCTCACACAATATGGTAAGTAACATCGATCGAACAAATATGACTTTTGCTAAAGTTCTATGCAAAAAAAAAAAAAAAAAAAAAAAAAAAAAAAAAAAAAGAGATCTTTAAGCTGCTGGCCACTAGTGGCAAGCTCTCAAAGAATAAACATCATGCCCTGTAACAGTACTGAGTTTCCGAATCTGGCAACAGATGGCCTACAACCCACATCTGGTGCTATTTTGCGCAACATATGGGAACAAGGACTGCCTTTATGCTGTTTCAAATGCTATAAGTCTTCACCTTTATCAAGTAGTGGTGTTGACCGGACGCACACATTAACGCCAACTGCCGCCACAAGGCGAAACTTTTACGTCTCAGGCCCGACATCACCCAGAATGAAGACAAAATAAATACATTCAAAGGCAAGCTTCTGGGCGCTTGTATGTACGACTGCCGCGCTGTATTCCTCGTCGTTTCCACAAAAGACAACCTCCAGGCTGTCGATGGGGCAGGACACGTCCACGACGGTCATCGTGCCCTACAAATCCTGAATCATGCATTAGGAATCGTTACTCTCGTCTGCAACTTTGGATGAGCAACTATCGCGCCTTGTCCGGTTTCTACTTCAGCAAATTCTGCTCCGTTCGTCTTCTTTCGTGTATGTTGACCTGGTTAAATCAGAACGTATGCTGCGCAAGAAAGCGGCGTGGTTAACTACTATCTTCACCAAGCATGGAGCGCTATCAGTGGGTGTGCAGCGCGGCCATGTGCTGGGTTTCACTGAGGAAAATGGCCCGCTCTCGTATTTGGATTGGGCAGCTGGGATTGTCGATGCGATAGATGATCCGGATAGGGGTTATGATTCGCGCAATGTTTGTGGTTTGAAAATCAATGGAAGGGCAGCGATTCCGTGGGGTACGCCTATGCGTGTTCTTTTGGGGTTGGTGAGGCATTGCTTGCCCTTTATACATTCCCATTTGCCGTCTACGGGGCCTGCTTAGTGTCATGGCTTTTACTTGGGCTGTTGGAGCTGAATTTTATGGGTCCCTTAGTATGTAGCGTGAGATAATGGACAGGTAGAGTGACAAGTACACAATCGACTCTTATATACGTAACTCCTCACTTATCATAAGTCCCAACTATACCCACAATGATAGACGCACCAGCCATCCACCAACTCGCCACACCAAAAGCACCCGAAATATCCTGCTTGAGAACAGTCCACAGTACCCCAAAAAGCAGGCTTGGAGGGAAGAAGCCCAATGCGAGAATCCACCAAATCTTCGTCCAGTTCCAATCCTCCTTGTAGAAGATACCCCATGCCTCTGTCGGACTAAGATACTCGCTCTGCAACTTCCCACATGCCCTCTTGGGAAGCTGCTGAACAATCAAAGTGCTATTTGGGGCGATGTAGTCTGGATGCATGAAGAAGTCCATCATGAGTCGTGGACCAATCGGTGGAGAGAGCTTTGGAGGGATCGGCCGGCAGTCGTATTCTTTTCCTTTGGGGAGGACAAGGTGCTCGGGGGGTACGCAGACACAGGGCCTGCCGGTTTCACATATATCTTGGTGGCATCGCACGTCGATGTAGCGGGTTCCGCCATAGGCAAACTTATGCGTGGTAAGCATTAGTGCAGTGTCAGGGCAGGTATGTTTACCTTCATGAAATGTATACTATGCAGAGTCTTCAGAGACCAGATGGGTCTTAGTCGTCCGCGGTGCTCATGGTAGATGCGGCGTAATGTATGGAAGAGCTGGCGGTCATCTGCGACGCCTACGATAGACTCCTGTCGAAGTTCCACCGCATATTTACCATTCTCTAGGCATGATAGAAGAAGCGGAGGTTGAGAGATCATCTCACCAAGTTCAACATCCGTTTGGCTGTCGCTGGTGTCTAGAATCCCCGAGCCTTTTGACGGATCGGCAATTTCGCTCAAGGGGGTGTATTGCTTCTGTGATGCGCTCGAGGTTGAATTATCGGAAGGAGTGAAGCTGGTTGGGGCATCTTGGTTGCCGCCATTCATGGCAGCAGCTGCGACGTATGCTGATGACCTCAGGAATGCCTTCATGTCTTCCAAAGCACCTGGCACATGCTCAACATAATCATCATACAGCCATTTACCCCTACTCTAGGAGACGTCAGTTGCGATAGACATCAGCATGTGATTGTAGACATTTGTTACTCACATTCTTCCATCTGATTCGTTTGTGACCTGGTCGAGTGTCATTCTCCCTGAGGCCAATGCGAGATAGGATTGTTAATGTTCCATGATACATTTTGGATAGCAAAGATGGAAAAGGTGATGGGCCTTCAGGTATGTAATATCCCTCGATGGGCCGCGTCGTAACTGGATCTTGCAGACGGCCAGGTCGGGACGAATCAGGGAATTCATTCAACACATCAGTCAACTGACTTGGATTCTGATGATCTGATTGTCGCACATGCTGTTGCCTTTGAACAGTATCAGCGTCTTCATAGCGATACGTAGGTTTCCCTTCCAGTGGTCGGTTACTGGATACTATATAATGTTTCCCCAAACTCCTATTAACATCCTCGAGACCTGCATGTTTTACGCCTGACACAAAGATATAAGGGTAGTCTTGCAGACGGCGGGGAAATTTCTGGTCTCTGTTCGTTCTCCACTGACGGGGGGCTTCTAAACTGCTCCTCAGGCTGTAGGAACTTCTGGCCTGTCGAGGCTCAGTGGATACGGTTCTGGTAACGCTAATATACGTTAGCTAGTAATTCTCCTGCATCAAGTATTATGGTTAAGAGGTGAGGTATACTTTTGTATAGAATCTTCTGGCCTCAAAGCAGGGTCTATTTGTTGCGGAGAAAGATAACGTTCATTGTAGCTCTGTGTCGATCCTAGTGTGTGCGACATACCATCGGACACAGGTTGCATTTGGTCGACGGCCAAAGGGCTAGCCGCACGCTCGGGGCTGTGTGCCACGGGTGAACTTGGGGCCTTTAGTCCCAGAGCCCGAAAGCGCAAAGTGTTACTGCCAGGCTCACTCCTCAAATTTCGCTCTTTATTCGATGGGCTTGTAGCCGCTCCTGCGCTCTGATATTCGTCGTTGGGTTTGGAAAACAATGCGCTCAGATATTCGTCGTTGGGTTTGGAAAACATGGTCTGCGGAGTCTACCAATCTGATGGTGACTTGCTTATCATGAAAGATGCTGTTTTTCAGTAACCAGGCCAACCAATCGCACAATTGAAAGTGAGCCCCTTCAAAGGCTTTGCGCAATAATGGGAGACCAGCTCTTGGAATATTCCAACTTACTTGGATTTTGACGTCTCTCAAGAATGGAGGTGAAGGAGAATCTTAAGAAATAGAGGAAGGTGGGTGTTGATCAGGCTGCATTGAGGCGGTGCTTGGAGAACCTCCCGATCTCGCCCAATAATCATCCTTCGGCACCCGCATGAGATGTGGCTGAGCGCCTACAAGGAGTAAGCATTAGTTATACTATGTTCTTATCAGCCCCAAGTGACTTGGACCTTTCCAACCCAGGATACTGCCAATTAAACTGTCATTATGTAACTAGGATGTTGAAATTTTGAAAATAAAGTAAAATAATGTTGAACTCCGCCTTCCCCCCCTGGGGGAACTTTTGTCGGGGAGGCCAGGTATGCTCGACTCGAGGAGGCGCTTTGATAGACAATCTCCAGAGACACTTTTGTGGAGACATCGGAATACTATACATCTTCCTGGGAGTCTCCTGAAGCATGCGGTGCACTAAATGACCTGGCTAGCCCCGCTGTATCTTGTTCACTATGCTCCACACATTGTTCGATAGAATAATCGCAAGCAACATCCTCAACTTCCATATCAACATCCATTTGGTTGTCACCAGATGCTGAGTTAGACAAGAGTTCAGTATCATTTGACTGCGTCTGACCCTGCACCACTAGCTGATTAGAAGGAACGGAACTGGCCGATGCATCGCCATGGCCACTGTCCAGATCGGAAGTGGTCAGAATCCTGCGCTGTTTTATGAACTCATACACGCACATGAGGTCGTAGAGCGTATACTCTTGTCCCTCGGGGAAATACAGGTTCGAACCCTGTTATACTTTAGCAACCTCGATGGCTGATGATCATGATAACCTTACCTGGTCCGATCTGACTAGCATATACTCAGGGGGCAAGTCGCTTTCTGCTAGACCAAGGCTAGCGAGCATTGCCAATATACGCTGGTATGCCTCATCTCCTCCTGATAGGTTCTCCATTTTGCCGGATGCGATGATTCTAATGGGCGTATCAGGGGGATTGGACCTCAACTTCTAGAAACTACCCTGCATGGGTGACCATGCTGGATTTATAAATATAAATTTATTATAACCTTTGATTATCGAAATATTTCAGGCAATTCTGTTACTTGACACCCTGCTCGGAAGTGGTGTAAGGCACTCTGCTCTCAGGAGCTTTCTATTTGTGTCATGGGAGCATCAACCGGAGGTTCCCGAATATGAAGTGATTTGACCCGGTTTGACCCAACGAGGACGGCCACATCCTTTGAACATATCAACAGACTGGAAACCTTACATTCTGCTTTGAATTCACTATAAGGTGAAATTTCAGGCACTGAGACAAGGCGCGCTGACGCGTTAGATGGCGGGTTCTTACGTGTCACACTGCATTAGGGAAAGGCAAACTCTGTGCTAAACGACATGTATTTATAACCTTTGATTTCATCTAATTATACTTTTTGCCTTGTACCTAAATATGTAGGATATACCACCTAGAAGCCCCAAGTAGAAAAGTCCATACGAGTTCAACATACTATATGCTGTAGGAACTTAGGTATGATAAGTGATGTAACCTGATCCGGTATTAACAAATGGCTATAAGACACAGTAAACCGCTCAGTAAGCATAAGCCGTTGGGCAACTCAGAGCCTTGTTACGAACACCTAATAAGAGTATTGCTAGTGCTACTTTACTGGCCTGGACAAGAGCGATCTGGGTAGTATCGAGGCAATATTTTCTGGAAAGCAGCATTTGAAGACGTTGCTTCCGCATTATGTCACAAAGAAACGGTGTTGTTCTTGCTTCATCCACATTTAAGATGCATTCAATATGCATCATGTGGTGCGTGGTCAACTTTGTACTACTGTGAAACCTTCACGATGTCCACCACGGCTGTTAAGCGTCTCTTACCTACCAGATGACACCTTTACTACCAGTCGTACTGCACACGTTGACTTGTTTATCACCGGATAATAAGACTTTCAGCAAAGTCGTGTGCAAAAGCAGGAGCATTCTCGAACTAAACAGCAAAGTTTAGGGGCACAAGATACCACAAGCTACCACCTATCCGTATAACCAGACGCAGTATAGCTCAGCCCTGGCGCCTCACTCTCACAGACGCATTCCCCGCAGCGGAACTTCCCATGACACTTCCAACAAACACATTGAAATTATAATACTTGCTCCGATCGGCCACATCCAGACCACCCTTGCCACTCAAAATAACCTGTCCATTCCGACTAATCTGGAACGTCTGCGCCCCTATTCCCATTGTCACATTCGTCGTCACGATCCCAGCAGGCACATCAACCTTGACCGGCCCAAGTGACCCACTCGTAACTGTCAACGTAGCAGGACTGCTCAACATTGTCGCGACAAAGATACTATCACTGAGCATCTGGAATCCATTTGGCGCAGGCATATTATCCTCAGGGCAGTTCACACCCTTAGGCGTGGGCCGGTACCAGTAAACCAGCCCTTCCTGAGGGATAGTGGGCTTGCTATCTCCGGATTTGTATGCGGCTATGTAAGGCTTGTAGAGGTCGCGCCAGGCGTCGTGCGGCATGCCATTTGCCCATTTAGAGGAGCCATCGTCACTGTGGTTGGCGCTGTAGGGGCCGATATAGTGGGATTCGCCGTAGTCTGGAATAGATGTTAATCGGCTGGCTATCATTTGAACAAACTTGACAATGTGTTTACCGTTCCAAGAAATGATTTCGACCAAGCTTGGCTTGAGGCTCAGCATCTGCTCCCAACGCAGGGTGGGCAGGTTCTCGCATATGAACACCCAGTTCTTGCTGTTGAAGTGCGTAGCAAACCATGGTGAAACCGCTATCGGATCTTAGCATGGCACAGTGTATTCTGTTGAGAAGCAACTCACGCGCCATATATGTCGTGCCTGCGAGATCTTTGATGTACCGGTCGTCCCAGATTGTTGTCATAGGCCCTTTTATTATGCTGTTACCCCCATCTGTCGGCCATGCGTACCATGAGAATGCCCCGTCTGCGCCCCGCTGAGAATTGCTGGACGCAGCAGCAGGATCTTGAAGGTTAGGCACGGCATGAATAGGGTGTGAGGTAGCTTGCTTGACAGGGCTCCAGTTGAAGCTGTCCCCGACAAAGGTGCTCACGACTGCGCCGCCGCGGTATTGCATCTGCGCTGGGTGGTTTGCGTATTGTTGCATGTAGGCAGTGATCTTGCCCGTGTCCCCGTTGCTCCAGTAGGCGAAGTCGAAGGAGATGAATACTTTAAAGTTGACTTGTTGAGCAGCTTGGTATGCTAGGGCGAGCTGTGTCGGGGTGTACTTGTCAATGCTGGCACAATTGAGTGCGAATGCATCGATTCCGATGGCTTGTGCGGCTTTCATGTCAGTGATCCAGTCTTCCAGTTGATAGTTTTCGACGATGCCGACCTATCATTGTTAGCTTTGGTTGTCCGGAAGCTCAGTAGAGTAAATGTCTACCGACCATGAAATGAGCGAAGACATATTTGGGCTCAGCCTGAGGTTCGGTGACTCCGACATCGAGAGCCGGGGCCCCCAAGACTGGATTAAGGATGCTCGCAACTATGGCGGCCAGAACGACAAGAGAATTTGCCAGCATCATTGATGAGACGTGGAATATGTAACTTTCTTGATAAGGTACGGATGTAGCATCTCAACAAGACTGAGAAAGAGCCCGAGACTCTGATTTTATAGGCCGGTTTTGCCTCACAGATCAGCAGGCGCCTGTTACCATTCACCACTCTGTAGGCATCCTACCCCGTGCCTGAAGATTCATACCCCAGACGGAGAATAAGTCCCATTGCAGGCTTCTTCCGAGCACAACTCTGCAACCGTAACTTCCCGCTCGTAGAATAAATAAGGTTGTGTTATGCCTTGAGCGTTGTGTTACCTGCAGTGGCGATTAACTGCCCGAAGCATTTGTGTAATGTCTTGTCTGGGGTTAGTATAGGTAGTACACCGGTGCAGCCACCTCAACGCAGGTTGCACTCGGGACTTTGCGTCCACTTGGAATTGCTCGGAGGGCTCCTGACCTGATCACATTGTTTGATTTCAGGGGTTCTCTTCCAAGGAAGGTTGGCCAAGTTCTGCATTGTTTGTGGATGTTACGATGAATGGTGTTGGGGTAGAAGAGGATGATATTGTAGAACAAGGACCCCTCGGTAGGTTGATACTGTATAAAGCAGAATAAAGTAGTAGTATTTCTAAATCTAATATATCTTTACGATTTTTGTAAACTAGTACTACCGCAGGAAAGAGTAAAAAGTAGTAGCCTAAGGGGGTTGCGGAGATTAGCTGGCTGCTTGTAGGGGCTGTTTATGGTAATGCTCCCTATAACAACCATAAGAATATCGTGCACCTATTGCTTGAAAGAAAACTTGATGTAATTGACTAGGGTAGCTATTATGACTAGCTTTTCAAATTACTTCTTCCGATTGACTCAAGAGAATCAAGTACTTATTGAGTGATTTTCTGACAGCAATACCCCAATATATTCTTGGTAAATTAATTGATTTCTGGGATTAAACTTAGAAGTATACGATCTCGCGTTTCATTCATCCAAGTTATCATTGTGAAATGAATAGTCTTCGGGTCCTCAGGATTGAGTCCAAATGTTAGGCATTGATTTGTTAATTACTATAATATGTCCAGTTAGACGGTTATTATATACTAGAAAAATGAGTACTTTCTTTCTAGCATTCCTTCAAGACAATAGAGCAATTCGTACTGTGTGGCAATATGGTAGAATGGTGCGTGGAATTCAGAAAATGGGCTGATGTGGGCCAATAGGAGAGCGAGCCATGCCTCAAGTGGTCTCTGATCAGGTGGTAAGACTTTACATTCAATAACTCCTGAGGATAATAGTGTCGGTAAGGGAAATTGACGTGGTCAAGTCTGACGAATATAGTGATCAAGTTCAATCAGCGTCGATCAAATAAGACGCAGGAAACAGGTGGTGTCAGGTACAGTAGAGTAGATGCTTGATGGGTCCTTCCGGAGTACAGAAGGTGTTCCGCCCGCAGCCGGAACAACGTCCTCCCGTAAGCCGAGCTCGAACCCCGAAACTCCCAGCCTCTCCTCTTTCTCTCCTCTCTGGCCATTTCATCTCACACCTCCTCCTTTCGCCATCATCGCCATCATCGTTATCATCGTTACCATCATCCTGTAAAGACAGTATTAGCTCCTTGCCGTCCTCGCCGCCAGTCCTGCCATTCCTGTGTCTTCATAGGACTCTCCGATCGCACTTGTTGAGTTCGGATTGGGCACGTACTCGTGACCAGGCCGCAAGAGCTCTTACCACTTTACTCTCATCGACCTTTTTATCATTATTCACTCACGTTTAATGCGAGTCAGGGCTGCTCAACGTCGCTCCAAAGCCCGGGTGGGAGGGCAACTCGATTCTTCATCGAGGGTTCTCCGTCTAGCTAATGTTGCAACAACATCATGACCACGACTTCGCAAAACCCGCCCGGTGTCTTGAAGAAGGCAGTCCTTGTTCATGCGCCCGATCTCAATGTTTCTTGCCGCGCCCGCCTTCGTATTGCCCATGATCGAACTGCTAACCAAGGATGCATCTCCCTTTCGATAACTGCAGATCTCGCTAACCTGAGTGGCAGATCACAGGTACTGACTTTGAATATCCCCCCGGAAAGGGTCCAACAATGTGCTTTAGCTCGGCAAAGCAACAATGAACTCTGTTCATCTCATTTGATTCCTCTGCTCCCAGCGCCTGTCACCAATGTTTCGGCGGTCTCTACACTGACTTTGAGCCTCTGTGCGACCGGCATTGTTCTTTGTCCATCTGAGATGAACTCTTTAAGCCCAGCCACACCAGGAGACATTGATTTCCATTCATTTGCAAAGATCTGTCAATCCCAATTCTTCTATGTATACTTCTCCAGACGACAATTCGTGAATAAAGAACTTGATAAGCTGGAAATATTTTCCCGTGCGCTACGGAAAGGGTGTCTTCAGACAGTGTCTTTTGACCACACACGCCATGGCATGGTCCAGAAAGATTGGCGTGTCTTTAATCTGTCGCCCGATCCACCCCCATATTGTCCGGAGCTCGTATCTGAGCCGTTGGAGCAGGTGGATCCACCACTATATTGTGAGGAGTCCGTGTCAGAGCAAGTAGTGAGAAAACGGCAGAGAGGTATTTTCTCATCCTACCATCTTAGGTGCTCTGTCGTTCAGTAGTTTAATCATAGTATCTAGACCCTTGGTCAGTGTCATCTCATGATGAAAGCCGGAAAAGAGTGCTCCTTCAAACCCCTCCACCGATAGGCTCTCCCACCGAAGTAAATACGCCAAGTACTACTCGCTCATCGTCACCGTCCTCGATCCGCCCAACTTACTTCACCAATGGTTCCTCTGCTGGCGACCCAGTGCGAAAGAAACTTGCGCGTCTTGAACATGAGCTCCGTGGTATTTCCGATGACCTGATTTGCGAACTACTAATCCGATCCGGACGAGGACATCTGCTGGCCATATCAAAAAACGTAGACCGTGACCTGCCATGCGAGGTTGAGAAGGTCAATTCTACCGAGGTCGAGATGATTGAGCAACGCCTCAAACGATATGTCGATGAAATGATTGAGCGCCGTCTCAAATCAGGCGTTCTGGACGAAGTTGTCGATAGTGCTGTCAGCGAATGTCGTGATCAGATCTATGATGAATGCAAAACGAACCAAGCCGAATTTCGTGAACAGGTCGATGATGGTAACTCCGAGGTACGCAACACGACCATTGAATGTATGAAGGAGATGAACGAACAGGCACAAAGGCACATGCATGAAATTGAAGAGCAAGCGCAACAGTGCATGAGGGATATCGAGGATCAGGGAATCGAGGTTGAGATGTCTGCGAAGAAGAACATGGCAAAGCTCGGGCGATGGTTCACTACCCCTGCTCAGTCCTTACCCGAGACCACGGTAAACCCTAGCCATGAGATAGATACTACTGCCAGGCGCAGTTCCATATAGACTCACTCCTAGTTTGATATCTCTTGATCAGATCGTGCAATCCCTTCTCAAATGGTTCACAAGCAAAATGGGTAGAGTCTTAAGACTATCCCAGACATAGAGCCAGGGATGGCTAGAAATATGATGTTTATTTTTTTTTAATATCTCGATAGAGGAATAGATACATCGATTAACACATCGACTCATTGCCCACTCATCATCAAATAAAAAGGTCTCATGCCTAGAAATAAAAGTCAACTACGCACTTCAGCCACATCATAGCGCAATCTTACCTTCCATCACCACACTCGCCGTGAGCGCCGACCGGTCAGTCGCCCCCGCCCTACAGGTCCTACGGCCCAGCGTGGCCGGTCATCCTGCGTGCAAACGTTCTGTGGTCCGAAAGTGATTCGTGGGGGACGCCCACCGGCCCACCGCGTCCTGGCGACCGTCTCGCGCGGCCAACTGGTCACCGCTTACTGCAAAGGGATGCCAAATACATGCGGTCACTAAACAAGACTTTTTATCTACCGATTGACTATTTCTATCTTTGTCAAAAGGCCACGATACGGTCTATAACTCGATACATCTCAGATAAACATTTATCCCCTGCTATCCATCCATTTGGATATCTGCCACATCTTCGGGGTTTCAACTCTAGTAGCCGATAACTGTATATATCTCGGTACATACAGTATTCTAGCAAGTCCAACATGAATAAGTTGCGGTCTTCTTGAAATTACGAAAATCAGCATCCTTAGCTGATATTCCCAAGTCCGATACATTGATAGAAGCCAACAATCCAAGCCAAGCACCCAACGGCCGCCCGGACCGAACTACTTGTCATAACTCATTATATTCCAATTTATATGTCAAGTACGTTAAAACATACAATAGCTCATTATCTGAACGGGCATTCAATTCAAAAACTGTCTGAATCACTTGATCGAAGCATCTTAATTTGGTGTTAATAATGTGAAAGGCTCAATCCTACATTTTGAGCTTGATTTTAGATAGGCAATAATTATCTCCTAGGTATAATCTACACCTCTAAATATAGACGGAGACCCAGTCTATATTCAACTCCGAAGCTAAGCAATACTTTCACGCGGACGTATGTTAATTGGAAATCTTCTCACATGGAGATGCGACTTTCGAGTATTCTCGAGTATTCAATAATGAAATCGTCGAATTATGAGGCGTGCTTGCAGCTTGCTACTAGAGTTCATCTTCCTACTAATCTCACCATTTAGTAACTTGTCTTTGATATAAAAGCGACACAGATTCCATATATGTTGTTGTACCTTCTCTTCTCAATGCAATTTATTAACCTTGTTAGTGCCATACGAGAGAGTGGAATGAGACACATATCGAGCCCATCCATGCTAGGATAAGCATAGCAGCCCCCGGACGGCAAATCATCAGTCCACGTACATCGGTATTGTGTACAGTCACTCAGATAAATCCCGTTTCTCTGTCGATCATGATGGAGAAAAGATCTATCCCGCGATGGCACGACTTCTCCACGAGTATACTTTGTTTGTTCGATCCCCCGGGCTTCGCAAGCGGACGGAAACGGAATTTCACTTCCGTCTACAAATATTGGCTTTGCATTCCCGTTCGACTCTATAAATAAGGGGGACCCGTAGAGACTGTATGGCATGATCGCCTTTCATTTACATAAATTAGAGTGGTTACCTGTCACCAATTTATGCATATTAAGCATCCCACTCGCTTCGGGGCCGATAATCATCTACGGCATGGCCAAAGCTCATAGGACTTGGTTGACAGGTCAACTAACGTGATGATCATTATTAACTCTGCATTGTGACCACCTACCACCGACTAGTCACACCCGCAAGTGGCAAATGTCTTTTTATTAACGCTACGGATGTCCGAGTGGGATCAATTTAAGCTAGATTAGGCCAAGCTGCACGTCTTGGCAGGGGCAAGAACAGGGCTCGAACCCTCGTTCATGAGACTTGAATTACTAAATGCTCCCAGCCCATGAGTCGTGAAACCTGCTTGGTTCCAAGATTGTTGCACACGGTGAAGATGGGTGGGAAAAGACATCCACCATCTGCCGAGGAATAGATGACACCGTGGGTTGGCAGACCGGGCTATTTTTGTGTGGTGTACCAGACAAAAACGGCCGGAGTAGATTCAACCGTTGTCGGAGATTGATGGGAAAGTATTGATAAGGTTTCGGTGGAAGATCTTTGTTTAGATGTTGGGCCGGTCCCTCTGCAGATTTAGGTAGTGGGTCTCGGGAGACGTTGGCCAGTCAGATAGTATAATGGGGGTTTGACGGGTTTAGAGTCGCAGTGGTGTGGCAGTAGCGTGATTGGGGTAGATTAACGGGGGCATCGTGACTCCTCCAGAGTCTCACTGAGTCAGTGTCTGGCCAATCCATGGATTGTGGTGTATCCACCAGGCTGACTGTTGTTTCTTGGCGTGGGTTGCTCGAATGTCAAAGACTCAAATGATTTTCCCCTGAGCTTGAATAGTGGGATTGAAGTAGCAAAGCCGGCACTAGATGCTTGGAGGACCCACTGCCGGACCGGTACACTGATCGGAGAGGCCGAGAGATCACAAGCAGTGGATGAGAACCATGAATGTTGACATTGAAGGTAAAAGGAAATTCATAAGGATCGGACCGGTTGTAGGTACTGAACGAAACACAAAACACAAAATTGCCACCCAATTAATTATCCGCGCATCTATACACTCTCGTTGACACTCACGTGCGTGACAACCTGGATGCCTGGATACATGATGCGCTCCTGCGAGTCATTAGTAGTCGTTTCCACTTCCGCCTGGCTGTGTCCTGTCACGGGTTTCAGCTTGATGCTATTGTGTGCATTAGACAGTCCATTGTACGTCCGGCGGGTTGAAGTGCCGTATACTTTCGAGGGGCTGTTTGAGTCTCCACTGCTGGAGAAACCGAGGAGACGGTGCAATCCTGGGAAGCAGGTACTGAGAAGTGACTTGAAAGAAGGAATGCACGCAATGAAGAGAGCGACGGCGACCTCCACACACGACCAATTCATAGCGTTCACTAATGACCCTGTAGGCGTGGAAGGTCAGTAAGCTCCAGACAAACTGAGCCGTAAGAGAGTGACAATGTGACCTACAGGTATGGTCATTGGAAAATGGATTCATATACGAGACTCGAATAATACTGGTCACGCACACCCTAAGCACCCATCATGGTTAGTTATGTCCACCGTTTTAGCGTAGAGGAAGGGTTCACCTACAGAAGACCCAGACTGAACATGATCACCAAGCCCGCTCGCTTGCCCACCGTCATCTTCAAGCGAACCAGCTTAGGCATCGGCATCAAAAATAGAGCCAGATCACTAGCCAGTTTTATCCCAAAGTTGGCGTAGTAAAAGGCGGTCATGTTCACACAATGTCCTTCAACATAGCCAGTCGCGTCCCACGCTTTGTGAACCGGCGTGCATTGAAAGATAACAACAAGGGTTTCGGCAATTGTTTCCGCAGCAATGATGACCAGCACACACCAGCAGCCAATCCGAAACCACTTCCCCGGGAAGATCGAAAGGTAGAGAACGCAAAAGGAGATTTTGATAAAGCCGAGAGCGAGAACGTAGGCGAGCATGGTCACAAAGTTGAGCTGGAATCATTTCACAGTCAGCATACATTGTCGCGGCACCTTTCTGCGTTGATGATAGTTCATACCCTCAAGAACATGCCCCGGTCGGGCATATCGATTATACCAATATGCCTACCGAACCCATACTTGGTCACTGGATTAGGCGGTTAGTATATGGTGTAGGGTCGCGTGACACTCGGAAAGTCACTTACTGTACATGCAGGTAAAGCAGAGAACGAACGTAAAGACCTAGACATGTCAGCCATCGTCCAGCAAAAGCTGAAAGACAGGCAAATGCGATACTGGGGGTGAAAGGCAGGCGTACCCAACTGGTGATACAGAGCACATCGTCGAAATTAATGCCCGTGAGGTGTCGGATCCGGACGAAAATTCGAACCAGCAGACCCAAAGTCGCAAAAACGAGCAGGATCACATTACATGCAATGATCTCAGGAATCCGAGTCTGTGCCAAATAAGCTATCCGCTCAGGCGTAAGATCTCTCTCCCCGATTCCTTCCATGGGGAAGACCGGCTAGCCGTGGAAAGGAAGGGACCAAAGAATGAAGTCCAGCAAAGAAGGGGATGGTCACATTTGCGAGGAACGGAAAGATTTGGCGCATGCAGAGGAGAGTCATGACGGCTATAATCACATATATGCCCCTGTAGTCTGGAGGGCCCGGGCTTGTTTCATCCGTCAACCACAAGTGGGGAAACGGATTTTACGACGCGTGGAATCCTCCACCGGCAGATGGTGTCGCACGTTGGACTTTCATGCTTCAGGGCAGGTATTGGCATTAGGCTGTGATTGATGGAACTGGCTGCTGATCCAGACCGCGGTTCACCGGACGATTTCCACGCCCCACTCGTTGATCCACTCGTTAATAATTTTACAATTTTTCCACGAACACATCCCAGGAGAGGTTAAGTCTCCATCGCTCCAAGGCCGGGTGTTGTTGACTGTAAAGCTAAGCTTTGTAGGGGGGATTTCATATAGACCATTGCCAGGAGCAACTATTTACGATCGCTCCTGGATGTTCAGATCTATGGAGTTGTCAGCCAGCCCTATGTACTTGACTAGTCCATACGTGAAAAAATTCAACCTTTGTCCTGACTATATCTGGCCTCAAATCAGAATAGAGAGTTCTCTGTACAAGTATGCCGTAGACTAGCTTATGTTGCGGTCGCATATAATATTCCGCAGTATGATCACCTGGTACTTATCAGACGCGCGAGGTGTTCGTTATGAGATTGCTTTTACTACAAGAAGAACCACATCAGCCGCTATCAGGGCTTGAGAGAAACAAAATATAGATAGCATAGGAGGAAGATTATCGTACTCGGCAAGTGTAGAGAAAGAGGTAGAAAGCTGCCAGACAGCCGGTCGAAGCAGTTATTTTGCATACTACGGGTATTTGAAACGCTTGGCAAGGGTCACTAATCGACATTTGGAATACGCTCATCAATTGTGGTTTATCTTAGCAAAATGGGGATAGCAGGTAAACATACCGACATGAGCACTGATATTCTAGACTGTCTCACTGGCAATTCAGCATGGCGCGTTGGAAGCTCATGGGAACGGCTTTCGTCGTCCTGAGAGTACTAGAACTGTCCTGTCTCTATTGGAGGGAAAAAAGCTGCTGGCTTTCATGTTGGCTTGGTCGGGGCATGGACTTCGGTGCACGATTTGAGCTGTCGGCAATGCCCTACTCCTCCCTCACCCGTTATCGTAAAGAGCAGCGCAGACTAATGGTATGGTTTGTCGGTTTATTTGGACTGCTCCAGCCAGTCTGTCTATCTTCACATGTTATCTTTAATATCGCTGTGCTGTCTTCGGTGTCAGCAGTGATCATGGCTTGACCAAATCTTGCAAGCACACCTTGAGCTACAAGCACCGTTCCGAGCATTCCGAAATGTGATTGTAACGGAATGCTGTTGGACTCAATGTCATTGACCTCATTCCACTGCCCGTTGCACAATCATTAAAATACTTTTCGAGGGTTGTTTTCAATTCTTCTTGTTCTTCTTTATGTTACAGTAAATAGACACATGATATAGCAGAATCTGAGGGGATTGTTCTAGGAGTACACCGCTGTCATAGTTGAGCAAGTGAGAAATGAAGAATATCGACGTGGCACCGCGAATAAATTACTTTTTCAATAAAAGTTTAGTTCTGCGTTTCCTCTGAGGAGCTATTACCAAGGATTGCCTGGTCCCCTTTCTTTACTTAGTGCACCACCAATCAAGTAACAATCCTTAGCGATTTGATAGCCTTAGAAAGCGAACAGTTCGTTTTCCAGTTCTTTCATCAATGCTCTCAAGTTCACGATGGCGCTCACGACCAAATCGCCCCTGAGTTTGGCCCTTGGAGCGGAAAATGTGAGTTTCTTTGCCTCAACCAATCCCCCTTTCTTATGCGTCCCAGGTTGGAGGCACCTCTGTCGACCCCCACTGCACGCTTCTACACTCCCGACGAAGTCAAGACCTATTTCAGCGCTTTTGCGTGAGCATTAAGTGAGACTACCGTAGCTGGCTTCTTTGCTGGCAACCATATAAACCCCAACACGGGTGGACGTTTCGACTCATCGGTAAGTGCAGCCTGCCACTCGAAAGTAACAACGTGCTGATTTATCAAAGCATATGGCTGGCAAACTATACTCTGGGCACTACCTGAAGCCTGCCATTACCGAAGCAACGGATAAAACTCTTGAAGTTGCGGCTCGCTATGGCATTGGTGGCCATGCTGCTGCCCTTCGCTGGACTACATGGCACAGTATCCTTCGCAAAGAGTATGGAGATTCAATCATTATTGGTTCCTCCAGCAACGCCCAGTTGGAATCGAATATTGACACGATTGAGGCCGGTCCGCTGCCGGAGGATGTTGTAGCTGCCTTAGGGGCGCTTTATCATGAGATTGGTGATGAGGTGCATTACCATCTATAGCTCGCTAGAGGGATAACTATAGTATTTGTGCTTCATTGCGAGAATCATGGTAAGAACCGATAAGGGCCCTGGTGACGATTATAAATACGTACGATCTGGCGACCTGCGACCTATAGACGCTAAGTTGGTTTATGTCAATATAGGCGCATATCTATAATGAGGAATATGAGTTATTGTGTTACCCATTATATTTGATCTGAAACCATGTCAAAGGCACCATGCACATCGGATGTTCTAGGTCCGGTCCCTGAATATAAGATCAGCTTTATATAGGCTAAAATGGTAAAACCAACAGCAATGCCGCATTTCTTACAAAGTCTCTCTTAACATGTCTCAAATTGGTATTCAGTCATTATATGAATGGCCAAGGCCTTGAGAACAGAAGACAGCAAGACCTTCGTATCAAGATTGTGATTAAATAGTAGATGAAAAAAATTAAGACCGACATGGCTCTCACAAATCCCCTGGGGAAGTATTTTCCACCCCAAAGAACCCTATCACGGTTTATCACAGGTGTCATTGCGATCGACACGCCATCCGTGCAAGGGTTCACCTGGCGAGGCCCGATAAGGTGTAGTTGCCCGATAGTGAGACTTCAGAAGTTCAGAGGCTGTTTTAGTGCATCCCTGCCGCAGGCTAAAGTGACGCCGCTGCTCTTCATCCGTCTTTCATTGGCTTCTCCATCATAGCGCATCTCCGCCGAGTCCTCACAATTGAGCACAATCAGCCTTTGGCCCCCAACAAAACACGAACTCGAGAAATGTTTTTTTCGATCCCTTATCTTGAATTTGTCAAACTCGAAGCTCGATGGCATTCGTGCCCGAGAAACTTAACAAAAACCATTTTCTTGGGTCTATGATCCTTGCGCGACCGACGGAGGAGCAAACCCGACCTTGATCCAACAATCTGCATAGAGATTCGTCCTTAATCATCATATCATGTCTTCACAGGTCTGCCATGGCATGCACAATGGGGTAATTCAGAACATCCAAGCCGACCTGCCGTGTGGTGTTACCAATTCCAGCCATCCCCATGTTACCTGCTGCGTCAATGGCGACTATTGCCTCAGCAATTCCATCTGCGTGAACACGAAGAACAAGAATGGGAATTATTATTATGCGGCCGACTGCACAGACGAGACCCTGACAGATCCCGCCTGCGGGACACGATGTGGTGAGATCCAGCAGATTCACTGTTCATGTCCCCAAAAATGCAATGGCTAACATGAGTATCTCTCTAACTTCACAGGAGGAAGGAATAGTGCCGAAATTGTATACACCTCTGCAGGCTACTGGGCATGCTGCGAAAATTCCGCCGGGACGGTGAACTGCTCGGACCCATCCGAAGAAATCTTCCCCGGAGTCGCGCCCTCCAAACTCGCTACCATTCAATATCTGCCATCCACGGCGTCCGGCACGCCAACTTATGCGGTCGCATCTTCTACCTCTACCTCCGATTCCTTCGCCTCTAATACTACAACAACCTCGTCCTCTTCTTCTTCCTCCACCGGTTCGTCCAGCAGCGGTTCTTCCGGGATTGGTGCCGGCGCGGCTGCCGGAATCGGTGTAGGCGCTGCCGCAGGCCTTGTCATAGTCGCGGCCATACTAGCACTTCTGTACTTCCGCCGGCGGAATGCGCAGAGTGATGGGCTTCCCCAAGGGGCTGGGGGATATAATGGGTTGGGTGATGGGTCGTGGGCGCAGTCTCAGCCCGTGGTTCATCAGGTATATGAGCTGGATCGGTCCGGGCCGCATCCCGAACTGGATGGGCAACCTAAAGCCATGTAATCGCGCATGATGATGAACGTTGAGGACGACCGCTGATGGGGACTTTTCTACTATTTAATGCATGGGTGGGTTGAATTGGCATTCAAGTTATGATCTGTGAACTGCATAAACCCCACAGAAGCACGATCCTTATAATGATTTCTCAGGTGGCAATATGTACTTCGGTTGGCGTGCGCCTCGGGATAGGTTTCTGTTTACATTTACAGTTACTTAAGAGTCGATACGCTGAAGTTTGCTCGACCAAAGAAAGATAAAGCGAGATGAAAGAATTACCAGTAATCTCCAAAGCATTTCCTCTCTCAAGGAAACGGATCATACTGCTCCTTCCCCCAACAAGCCCCCTGCACCTCCAACCCCGTAACATTCTGCTCCGGTCTCCCATCAGCCCCAAACCGCTTAATCACTCCGCCATTCTCCCCAAACGGTTCAAAAGCCGGCCACCCCATCCTCTTCAACCCAGTCTCCGGATCCCTCATAAACGCCAACAGATAGTCTTGCATAACCTCACTCGTCTTCTTCTCCAGCAGTGTCCCATTTCCACGGACAATTGGATACGTCCCGAAGTTCATCGTCAGGTCACTGGAATGGTACGCGCCCAACCAATGCATTGGACTCACGTTACTGAAGTTGCCAGCAAACTGGTATCGATATGTCGTGCGGTTCGCGTTATACCGCACTATACTTGTGTTTGCGGACACGCAGAGCCAGCCGTCCAACGTGGCGGCGTTCACGCCAGGTTGCCATGGCCCCGCGGTGACGTTGTTCGTCGGGAAGGTGTACAGCGCTGCGGCCTCGTTGGCACAATTGGACATGATGGCCGGGGTGTTGGCGATGAGGCCCTTTGCCGCGCGAGCGGGGTAGTCTGAGAAGACGACCTTTTCGTCCGCGATGGGGGTGAATGTTAATGATGGGGTTGTCTTGTTGTCGATGTACTGTCCGACGAAGTTCTGGATGCGGTTCACGGAGACTTGGCGCATACAGTCGAGTTCGGCGGTCGGATTGGTGGGGAAGTCGCAGCCCATGTGTTTTGCGACGAAGGTGAAGTTCGTGTGGTCGTGGTCGTAGTTGTCGAGAGGCTTTAGGGCTGTGCCGGATTGAGAGATCGTGGCGCGCGCAATGAGGTCGTCGTGCCATGCGTAGGTGTGGAAGTCTGTGGAGATGGAGCCGGCAGATTGGCCCCAGAGGGTGATGGCTTCAGGGTCACCGCCGAAGTTGTGGATGTTTTCGCGCACCCATTCCAGGGCGGCGCGTTGGTCGAGGATTCCGAGGTTTTGGTTGTCTAGACCGGCAGCGTTGGGGAAACCCATGATGTTAACGCGGTAGTTGGTGGTTACGACGATGTGGCTTTGGGTTCGGGATACCCAGGACGGGGGCAGCTGGTAGGGGATGTTGATTCCTCCGGTTTTGAAAGCTCCGCCGGTGAAGAAGACAATGACGGGGAGGTTGGTGGCGTTTGTAGGAGCCCAGATGGCGAGTTGTAGGCAGTCTTCGGAGCTGGCTTGCGCCATTAGGCCAGCGGTGGAATTCTCGTTGCCATCCCATATGTAGAATTCCGGGACAATGGACCCGAAGACGCTGGGGTTTCCGGAGACATACTGGGCGCAGGAGGGAGGGTAGTTGGTCGCGTAGTGGGTTTCATTGGAGTCGGCGAGAGGTGCGGGTGGAAGCCATCGTCGTGAAGCTACCGGGGGTTGTGCGTATGGGATAGATCGGAACTCCCGCACGGAGGGAAAGTCGGGGTTGAGAAGACCTGTGAATTTGCCTGTTCTTGTGCGAACAGTCAGGTGGTCATCACTTGCGGCCGTTAAGGTCGGCAGGAGGAGCAGGAGAGTGGACAGGATCATGATTAACGACGCATTGATGCGAATTCGGGGAGAGTTAGTGCTTGCCTTTATGTAGTTACCCGGGGTCCCCGCATTTATGAAATCCCACTCTTCAGCTTCTGAGCACTCTGGCTAACCATAAAAGAACACCGGCATCGGCACTGACCTCGGTAGAGGTACTCTGGAGGGTCAGTTCTACGCGGGAGTGGGTCTGATTCCAGCAGCGACATATTATTCGCCTTCACGGCACTCGGCTGCGTATACCCCCATGATTGGGGCTGCTTGGAGTGCAGAAACGCGGGTGCAGATGCCCTGCCGATCGCGGGATATCCGGATGGCCCACCCGAGTGGGAAAACCTGGAGCATCCGAGGATGTGAGGTCGGTATTTCCGATTCCCAGGCAGAAGGGTAAAACGATGCAGTTGATTCTGGGGTGAGCCTAAGAGGGGAGTAATGATACAATATTCTTCGGATGAGAGACAATCGACGTGGATAATGACAACCAAGACCGACACGAGGCTAAAAAGGTTATTTGCTTGACACAGGGAATTTGCCGTACTACTACTGTAAGCGAGCAAGGGGGTAGACAAGATGCATAAGAGGATGGGGGTGCAGAGTCATATGCCGATGCACCTGCTCATCCACCTCGTCGTCGGACTTGAAAGAACAGGGAAGGACAAAGGCCTTGTTAAATCATTCCTCTGTATCTGAAAGTTGCCTAAAATCTGTTATTGAGGTGAGAGAACGGAGTCCTATTGAGAAGGGATACAGATGGTATTTGCCAACTTCTACAAACGCCAGAGACTGGGATAGACAGCTGAATGTTGCTACTAGCGATAAAGAAGGTGTGCCACGCAGATTTTTCCCCGTCAGAACCAAGCATCCGACAAGCTTGCTGTGGGTCTAAACAACGGACAACAAAAAAATAAAAATAAAAAAAAATGCTTCCACGCGGATTCGAACCGCGGACCTCATGATTACTAGTCATGCGCTCTACCAACTGAGCCATAGAAGCTGGTTGATGTATGTTTTGAATGTGTTAGGTTATATCAAGCCAGGTTGTTTGGACTGCCCAGTAAGACTCTCTACAAGCAGCCATGCAGGCTTCAACTTAGTGAGCAGTTAGTCCTTAGGTAATGCGGCTTTAAAGCCCTTCGTACCATTTCCCAAGTAAAGAAATAGCGTTATAATACCTACTGCTCCCACTTTCTCTTTCTTAACCGTAATAACTTTGAACTGAAAAGATGTGTATCTTCTTCCTTGGCTTTCACTGTATCAGAAGGAATCTACTACGAGATATCATCGTCACTGAAGCCGGATATCTACTCGTTGATCCCTCTCATGGAGTTTATTAAGTCAAGTGATATGCTCTCTGATATATAGTTCAACAAACTACCAGATGAACATGATAATGGTTCTGACTCTCGATTCAACCACTCTGTACGAATTATATATAATTGCTACTGCATCCAACAAATCTCGAAAGGCTCGCTACTAATACCACCGCAGGCCTGCAACTGAAGTAAAGCATAATCCCTCGACCAGAATTCTTATGATTCTTTCAGGATCAAGCATGACCTTGATTTCAGTGTCTACTTGCTGAATCTGCTCCTTAGCCAGGCATTCCACGTTTAATGAGGTTGACAAGGTTTGACGCCCAGCGGACATTCGACTGTCCTGCAAAGCAGCATGTTGTCGTGAGACATTTGCGGACGGCCCGATGCATGAAATGCCCTGCGCTGACGGAAGCTTTGGGATATTACACCGCCTGCTTTGGATGGACTCTCGCCAGATACTGCATGCTAGGGGACAGGCCATCATGTTCCTTTTCGTTATCTATTACCATGAACCGCAAGTTGACATGACTGCTGATATGTACACAGCAAAGTGCAAATTCCTATGATCTCCAGCTTGAGATATGGTCATGAAGTTGGTAGTATACTTCGGGTAATCAGTCTTTTCTGCGATCCAGATAGCGGCCTTGTTCGAATGTTACAGCCTTTGATTGGCAATGCTAATTAGTTGTAAAAGTTGTAATTTTGATTGAGTAATAAGTTGCTCACCGTTATCATATATATCGTATCCAGACACTTCCTAGCAAGGTCTAACGCAGTCGAATGATCTCCTCCCTTCGCCGCCACCAGTCAAAGCAATCAAACCTTGCAGACGGCAAGCAGGGGAAATTTCTAGATTGTTCGTGACATGTCGTTCGTGTACACTGTCCGTCTCGCAGCGCATGAAGTATGTACGTGTGCAAATTTCGCTTCAGAGTAAAGGCCGCTGGCGATTAAATAGCCCGACGAATTTTCTCAATTGCTTCCTGAATGCAACATCCAGCCTCTGAGGTTGGTGGTGTTGTACACGTAACTTCCTACCGCCATGGAGGCCTGCTGGTGTTCGTAATTGCAGCTGTGTTCACTACTGAACAGCAAAAGCCCCGGTCGGACTCTCTTGCGTACTGTGGAAGAGCGGGTTTCCATAGCATGCGTAAGTCTCTATGCTGGGCAATCAGTATGACGGGTAAGATTATAGGGGATAGGAACTGCAGATTAGCTGGTCTCTTTTAGGAATAGATATTGCCACTAATAGTGTACAATTAGCATCATTTACAGAAATCCCTAACACCAGAAGGTACTGGTCAAGAGATACATCCATCCGCCCATCCTCTGTCGTAATGTCCCAGCTGACACAGGGTGAGCTTCTGTATTCCCTGTTGCTTCTTTAGGTTAGCTGAGTAAAATTCATATAGCTGTTTGCTTAGAGTTATTCGACCGAAAACGGCATTGGTCCTTTGCGCAACGCCGTCGTCAGCTCCACCTCTACTCAGTGCTACTGATTAAGATAACGTCCCTCGCTCGATCCATTATACGAAAATACATAGCCAGTCGCTTCACCATTTCCTGCTTTCTGTATGCTACTCATATACTTACGAGAGTACCATAGCACTTCTCAATATCGAACCACTTCTGCTTATTGTGGCAGCTGCTGGTTTGAAAACCCCGAATAAGTCTTTGTAACGTACCTACTGACTCCCCTTGCTGATTTGACAGCCTGAAAACGTGATGCTCTCTCCAATGTACAGCAAGGAATTAATCAAGCCATGCTATACAACAGGGTCTCCAGAGAAAGTTTCTGGGGAATCAATAATTGGACCTGTCTCCTGCCGGTACTAAGCCGGGAATGCATAGCAAACATACATAAAATGCCGAAAGTGTTCATTTAGCTGCAGATAATTGAGAAGAGCATCCGGCATGCGTATAATCACAATTATCAACTAATGAAGTTAGCAGGTCGTTGAGGCGATGGAGCGCCTATGGAACTTGAGTGTCACTTCATTCTTCTTTGGACGGGGGCATTCTGAGTGGCAAATAAGGTTGACGGCATAGCCAGCTTAGTAGTGCAAGCGGTGAAGGAGCGTACATACGAATCTATCAAAGGATCATGCTGGGAAGGAGAGTCAAAACTGAACCTATAAGTTACTATTGCTGTCTATAATCCGTTGATCAATTAGTTAAAAGGACATCTATAGTTCGACTGGTAATTGTTGGGTACAGTGATGATTAACGGCCACTGGCCTAATGGGGCAAAGATGGTAAGACCTATCTTAAGGGTGAGAGTCAGTGTAGACGGAATCTATGCATGGATCAGGTCTAAGTATGCGTCCAGGCTAGGCTATTCTTTCTGGAAGCCAAAGCCGGATTGTCCGTAAGTGTGTGCATCCCAAATAAGCTTGTAAATAATATAGTAGCAGCCAATATACCCCGGATCAGGTAAACATGCAGACAGCTTTGATTATAGGTCCTTACATACTATATATCGGTACTGCACAGGAGACCCTGCAGATAAATTCAATATATGGTACCGGGTTAGCCCCACTTTGAGCCTATTTCGTAAATGCGGTGAGCCCATTCAAAGTGACAGATTATGCAGGAAACAACCGTCCTTCTACAGGCCTGACCTCATTCTTGGCATTCATGGATGATATGAACAGACTGCTACAAAAGATAAGAAACAGATCACAAAGGGAGTAGTATAAGTTGATAACATCAATAGCCATAACATGAATAACAGCACGCTGAAGCTGAGCCCGGAATTGGGTTTATAAGGATTTTTTTGTATCAAGATTTCGCATTTCCGGATAGGATTTTCAGGGAATGTGACAGTATCATTTCGCTGGCCCAGTTAGGCCAGCAATTATAATCCTCGCTAGACTGGTATTTACCTCGGGGCCTCAACATACAGATTTTGCCCCGGTAATCCATCGGTAGCCAAACTCAATCGTCAGGTGTCATCTGCATGCTGCCTGCTTCCTTGATCAATGTGCATGGAGGCAAATGTCCCTTGTATGGTGAATTCTGTAGACCGCCGCAAGTTGCTGAGCTTATGGTCTACCCGTAGTCTTAAGCTATCCCCCCCATATCCTATGTATTGATTCACTCGCTACTATATAAACCTCTTCGCACTCGACCATATGGGCTGAGTCAACCAGAGAATCGTACTCCTTCAAAAACTCGTTGCATGATTATAATATCAATCCGCTGAATCATCCAAATCACCTTCCCACGCGCGGTGCATCTATTAATTTATAATCTGAGTGCAATATGGGTAATACTTTTTCAGCTTCCCCCTCTGATGGGCAACCGCCAAAACAAGAGGTACCACTCAAAGGGGATGAGCCAGTGATCACGGGCATGGGTACCGAGTGGCCGCCCAAACTGTTAAACCCAGATGACTTGAAAGATTATGCCTTGAAGTTTTACCCAGAGAACCCTCCATGGTGAGTACGCTCCCACTGTTCTCATAATTCCAAGCTAATAGAACATAGGCTCAAAGCCTTTCTCAAGATTAATGCCCATACAGGCATCGAGAATCGAGCAGTCGTCGACCTGTGGGACGACCCCCGCTGGCACGGGGAGCTTCCACCCCCAACAGAAGAGGTAGACTCAGGGTTTCGGGAATACAGTGTCCAGCTTTCTAAAAATGCTGCCCTCAAAGCCCTTCGTGAAAGCAATATCGACCCCTCCGCGATCACGCATATGGTATCCGTGACGGTAACGAACGGTGGAGCCCCGGGTTTTGATCAGCTTGTCGCTCGTGAATTAGGTTTATCTCCTACGACGGAGCGAATCCTACTGAGCGGTGTCGGCTGCGCTGGCGGATGCGCAGCTCTCCGGGTTGCATCCACGCTAGCAGCTGCAGCCACATATCGGAAACAAGAAGCGCGAATTCTGGTTGTGGCATGTGAGCTGTGCAGTATTCATCTCAGGGGGGAGCTGCATGCGGCTTCACTGGCTGAGATGACAACAATTGCCCCGGCCTTGTTTAGTGACGGTGCATCCGCGTTTGTCCTCTGCAACCCGTTGGGAATGAGCGATAAGACCCCCAAGCAATTCGCAGTCGTTGATCAAAGGACCGGCGTCACACCAGGAACCCTGGATGAAATGTCGTACAAAGTGACTACCCATGGCTTTTTGGCCACAATTTCCAAGAGCATTCCTAAGCTTGCTGTTGCGTCTATACAAGCTCCTTTTCAGTCCCTGATACAATCTAATGGGATGTCCTCCGCTTCTCCAACAGACTTTCATTGGGCTCTTCATCCAGGTGGTCGGGCTGTTATCCAGGGTGCACAGGATGCCCTTAACTTGCCCGATGACGCATTAGCCGCTAGCAATGAGATCTATAGAACAAGGGGTAATACGTCCAGTGTTGCCGTCCTTGCTGTGTTGGATAAGGTGCGGGAGTTGAAGCTGCCGACTTCGAATGTTATTGCATGTAGCTTTGGGCCTGGTCTTACAACGGAGATGGCCCTTTTACGCCGCATGGTATAGACAGCGGTCTTCGGCCTCTGGCCTTCTGATGTGATAGAAATGTTTTGGCTCTGGATTGATTGACGAATCTCGCTTCTGTTTCCTGCCGGGCTATAGTGATTTGGGTAATTTCCGTTTGTTTGTGACACTTGACCACTTTATGTATGCCTACTCGATTGATATCATTAATGTTTACTACCTGTTCATTACAATACTGAATACTTCCAGAAGAAGGGTATATTAGAATATAGATGCTGCTATACGGATTGATTGTAAGTGATTGATCATATGCGAATGAGCTCTCCAATGTTCAACAATATCCATATGCCGAGCTTAATATATCGCCTAAAATACCAAGACCTCATATGCCTAAAGGCGCTTTGCTGATTGAGTAAGAATCACTGCATTGACAATTAATTATCGAAGTATCTTGTTTATTCAATAGTCTAATGAATACGACCTGTACATATTCGTCTGGCGTGTTTTCAATAAACGCTTGTGAAGTAGCGACCTGAAACCATTGTTAGTGGCCTGAATCTCAAGGCAACGAAATGTTTCGGGCATAGATCGGAGATGTCGACATCCCGTCAGATTGCCGACCGCGTGGAACGTCCGTCGGTGAGAAGCCTTCATACCGATATGCACGTATCAGTCTGCAGGGGACATACTACCGATAGCCTACTGAAGCTCTACTTAAGATGCGGGGTCTCCATTTATAGTCCTGTGTTTTGGTTGCAATTTGTCTATACCCGCGGGGTCGTAATACCTGGTGCTGCGATGCCCGAACATACATACACTACTAGTATATTCGCTGCAATATCAGTGGGATCATTCACTTCCATACACTTGGCAGACCAATGCATGACCTGCACAACCTAGACTACTTAGTAACAAGATGTTCATCCCGCGAGGTCGAATGCTTCATGATCGTATATAGCTAGCGGTTGTTGCAGGGTGTCCATGTTAAAGTGCCTTCTTTCGCCCGTTGAAGCATCGCTTCCGCCTCTTTATATTTCCCTTGGCTGCTAAGTACACTGCCAAGATGGCTGACACTGGTAAGCATGTCGGGATGATCACGTCCCAACACCTTCTCTCGCGCTTCCGACATCTGATGATATATTACTTTTGTCTCTTTATATTTGCCTTGGCTGTCAAGCACACTGCGAAGGTTATTAATACTGTTAGGCGTGTCGGGATGTTCAGGTCTAAGTATTTTCTTATATCTTCCTAATATCCGTCAATGTATCGCTCCTGTCTCTTCATATTTGTCCTGCCTCAAGTGCACTAAGCCAAGGTTGTTGTTACTGGTGAGCATGTCGGGATGTTCAGGTCCAAGCATCTTCTTACTTTCTTCCAGGTCGCGTCGATACATTGCTTTTGTCTCATTATAGTTCCCTTGTCTGTTAAGTACTAAGCCAAGGTTATTGACACTGTTAAGTATACCATGATGCTCACGTTCAACCATCTTTTTATTTACTTCTAATACTTATTGATGCATCGCTTCCGCCTCATCATAAGCTCCCTGAAGTTCCAGAAACAGAGACGGTTGATTGTACTCAATCTAATATCCGATAGGCCACTAACCTGAAGAGCCCTGTTAGGGATGCGGTATGCCGCGAGACGGGCATGTCTGTTATCGACACCAATGCCGAAGCTTTTGAGGGCATCCTTGAGCTGGTCGGCCGTGATGCTACGACCGTCATAAGGAATGAATCCATGACTTGTGAGGGCATTCAAAACAGGGGAGGGCGCAGATTACCGGGGGCTGAAGGGTGAAATTTATCTTTGAGTGATGTTTGTGAGTGACCGGGAATCTATTTATAGATAGGGGCAAAATGATTGTCTTTTGGTTTGGAAAGCGCGCATGCGAAAAAGGATGAGGAGCTAGTTCACAATTCCATTGGATGCGTCGCCAATATAGCATAAGTAGTCGTAAGCCCATGAAATCCAACTCTGCTTTGTAAAGGCTTCATACGAACACGCCAAAGTCTAGGTCAAATTGTGGTAGCTATGATATCAGGGCCCTGCAAAGTTAAGGTTTCGGGGGGGACAAAATGACAATCTCATTCGACGAATTTATCATGCTACTGGATAAGGTGTATGCAAGCAGCTCTCTGACGCCCACCACTTTGTGTGACATATAGAGGTAGAGAGCTTTTCAGGAGGGTCTAATTCCAGCGGTTTCGAAGTGCGTCTTGGACTTCAGTACACGTCCTGAGCAGTTCGATGTATGATGTGGGGCGGTGGGGAGTTTAAACTTGCTGAAATTTTGAGGTCTCGCCCAGTCTATTCCAATTATCCTTTATCTGATATTACCGCTCCTATGTACACATTTTAAAGTATGCTTTGATCAAGGTACACATCATCATCACTACCACTTGAGTTCTAAATTTCGGTTGTTGAGATCACTTATATCTTGGTGATACAGTACGGTGATGCCTTTTTAGACATTTGTTTTCAGTAGTACTGCATTTCTTTCGACAGCCTGGAAATCCCCTTGCCGTCGTGTGCCCATCTATAGCGGTTTTACATCTCAGAAAAGTCGATAGCACTTTCTTACATGATATGCTCTTGGAACGCACTTGACAACGGTTATTCTCTATGCATGCTGAGAAAGCCGCCCTATTGCGGCTTATAGGTCCCTAGTAGCAATTCATTGGTTTTGGAAGAATGTTAACAGAGATCTATACTAACGGCCTACACCTCTTCCCCGTCACTCCTACCGTCCTATACCAGTCAATTAAGTTGAATCATGTCCTATACTGACATGGTGAAAACTGCCTTTACCTTCTATAGCGAACGAAATAGAAGGAAAGAAGAAGTTTCATCTAGGTGAAATCCAAATACATTTCGATGTTTCTGTCAATCTAGTCAATAATTTTACTAAGAACTTGGAAGACTCGTGACTAGGGATGAGACCAAAACACAGCAAACAAGACCCTACTTTTGTTCATAATGTCAATGTATGGGCTTGATTGTGGTGCGGAACAGATCACTGGTGAACATTTATTCAATAACACGAAGATAAAACAGCAAACAACTCAATTATCCTGGGTCCTCCCACATTGCATTGCTCTCCTCATTCAAATAGTCAATAGGTGGACATCATCTTTGAAATGGCCATCAAACGACACTTCAATGTCATAGTGAAGCCACACTTCTGCAATATCAATTAGCGCATTCCATAAATATAACGGCTGGAACGTATCGATAATAATCTGTACCATTTCCATTCTTTAAGTAAAGGCGGATTTCTCCTTTCGCCAGAAAGAGCTCTATCTTTCCCACAACGCCTTCTCTCACATTGCCGTAAAGGTTAAAGATATGTGCCCCAAACACCTCAACTCTAACACCTACCTCCAGACTATTAGTATCAATATAGCCGATGACCTGGGAAAGTCAGCATATGATGCGAACTAGGGGCTCTGCAAAACTTTCCTTGACTGGTCCAGAGGAGAAGTCAATGCTCTGGGTACTTCGAGTACTGGGAGGAGGCACCAGGGGCAGTGAATTGACAGTTGGGATTTGAGTGGCGCTGAAGACAGTTGGGTCGCCATCCTTATTTTTTGCCTGTGCCACAGAGACAACAAAACCTGCTTGGGTTAGCTAAGTGCAGTCATGCGATTGCCATACCCACCGGCGCGCACTTCGTCAACTGGTGGTGTCATTGTGTTTTAATGAAATTGCTTCTGTTACAGTATTCGGTGATGTTGACTGTTGTAGTTGTTAGATGTCAAGGAGGATCTTCCTATTTATGTCCTCTATGACACCTTGCATACTGGTGAAGAAAGCAACGTTGTCTGATCAATAATTGGACGTTACTATGTCCATCTTACTCGCAGATGTAATAATGATGCTTGGTTATAACCATAAAATATGTGACCATGGAGAATTGTAAGCCCAGACCATAAAAACGTCGGAAACAGATACTACCACCATAAGCCCAAATGAGAAACCAAACTTTGGCAACAAGATGCAGATTTGCTGCTAGGAAGCTCCGAAAGTCAAGTAAAATCTGTCATCCTGATCAAATTCGAGCTGGTGAAGCAAAACGAAACGATGTTCGTGCCGGGAATGTGGAGATACACATGTGATCCAGATTCCGGCAAACGTTGTAAGCGAGGGCGAAAAGTGGTGAGCTAACTCATTACTACTGTATGCGGTTATGTATTGAATTCGAATTATACTCCAGACTCCATCCCAGTAATCGCGCCTAGTCCTCGTCGGGAGTCGGTTTGGTTCCGCTCGGAACCGCCAAGACTCAGGGTTCAGACTCTCCGCACGACCTAATACCTTGTCTCCGACAGTTTGAATGAGGTTCTGTAGACTGCGCATGAGAGACAACCTAAGTCGACGGAAGCGGAATGACAAAGTATTCTAGGCTTTACGAACCCAGTCCTCTGTGTAGCTCAGCCGGGCCCCTTCATTACGCTTCCGCCAACTTAGTGCAGTCCAGAAGGGCCACTTTGATGATCTCTTTGCGAGGCATCGCAGCGATATTATTCTACCAATCTTGCAAGTGGAAGGCTCTTCTTGTCTATACGAATGGTTGAGCTTAGAGCGTGCTCTAGAAGGGTCTTTTGCTCTAACTTGGTTCTAAGACATCATTGCCTCCTGACATGCCGCTCCCGGCAATTTTGTGCAGTCTAGAAGGGCCGCTTTGATGCTCTCTTTACAAGACAACATTAAGATACCACATCGCAGTGGTATTATTCTACCAATCTTGCAAGTGGAAGACTCTTCTTGTCTATACGAACGGTTGAGCTTAGAGCGAGCTCTAGAAGGGTCTTTTGCTCTAGTTATCAGCGATCAATTATGTGATGGCGGTCTGACACGGCAGAACGCCGGTCATCAACGAATGACCAACCAACACCTGGTTATGTCAGATCCGAGAACTAAGTTAGTTAACTAGTAGTTAACTAGTGAACTAAGCAGTTAGTCAACTGTCGACTCAACGCGCAATTTGTATACGCCATGTAACCAAGTAAGTGTTCTGATTTCTAGCTAACTAGCTCTCTGATCTAGATATACAATAGTAATCTGGTTGGTCTGACAAAAGATAAGGGACAAAGAAAGTGAAATAAAAGGATGAACTCTATAATCAAGTGTGTGTTTTGGAAGGCCTAGAACCCGTTGAAAAGGGTTTAAAAGTTGGTGGACTGCTCTTTACACAGAATATATTTCGTAAATATCTTCCTGATTGGACACCTAACGTCGGATGTCTGAGGAGAATATTATTGGACATGACATTATTCGCTCTTAGCCTTTTAATAACAGCGCCTTTCCTGGTGTTGTCAAGCCGCTGCAGTACACCACCATGTGGTCGCGTTGAGAATCACAGTCCATGGCCATTGGACTGGGCTGAATTTGATGGACTGAAAGTTTGTAATGGCAAGTCCATATATAGCTAAACTCATATATCGAACCTGACAATATTCAGTTTGGAATAGTGACGGAGGTTCAGCCCCAAACACTGGCACAGTACCCTGCTCCATTGACACCCTGTCCCCTGGTAGCGGCAAGGGTGGCTTTTTCAATGATGGTATTGATGTTGACGGGTGAGTTCGAATATGCTATTGCGCCAATGCGGTGATTGGCGTTGTGCGAGAGAGCAGATGGCTGATGATGCGCGATAGTTTCAGATATATCGACAGGGACTATATTGTCAAGTTTCGTTGGGATGGAGTAACTATGGGCGTCCTAAAGGGTCAGTGGACTAAAATTTCAAGCAGTCAGACTGCGTTGTGTGATGGTAGTAGCAGTGGAACGGCGGTGTGCATCGTTTTTGGGGTTCCATTCTGAGAACATGGAGATGGATTGGTACCATAAAATGGTTGTATAGCCCGTTCACTAGCCCTCGTAACGCTCTGGGCTTCCCACACTGAGCTCATAGCGGTTGGCAGCAGGGCTTGGAACGATGGATGGATGCGCCTGGCAGCCAGGCATTGGGTTATGCCTCTTTCCGAAAGAGTTATGTCCGCCAATCGGTGTACACCAAACCCTCGCGCTTTCCAGCGATTGATCTGCTAGTGGAGCAGCATCACATGACTCAAGGCTCACGTTCGCCGGCAATGTGTGCACAGTACACCCTGTTTCACGGGACTCTATTCCCACCCATGCGAATATTGCCAGCCTCTTTGACCGTATGTCCTTCGAAAATGCCACACAGTCGGCTTATGTAGTAGTATCCTATAAAAGATGTCTTAATCTTGTATAATATGAATTTTCACTGCTGGCTGAAAATATGAAAGTTTTGACATTCCCATAGACCTACATATGTTATTTTGGTTTCGTCCCGATATTTTGCCATAGCAAACACCCCATTCCGGCTGCCACATCCACGGCCCAGGCCACGCCCCCGTGCCGGGCCCGAGATCATCAAGGGTTAATCTATCCAGGTTCCGCAAACGGAGGAACGCTAATAGTCTGGTGGTCTGATATTGATAGTCTATTACACATTGATAGAGTCATATTCGTGTTTTGCAAACTTTATGTCTCTGAACGATATCAGCGCCCCAAGGAGTGCCCATGTTCGTCAGGGAATGGTGTTTATAAAACGGCACTAAGCCGAAGTTCCCAAACTGCAATTTTTTTTCGAGTGTCCAGCAAGGCTAGTTAGTTCTGAATAAAAGATCAGCTGGTATCTACCTTTATTAGGTATGCAAACCCCAGCAATATCCTTTATGTTCTTCAGCACTCTGTTCGTATTGACTCAAGTTTAGGCATGGTCTTATAGTGGACATTATTGTTATAGTTTCTTCCACTCACATATCCCTTCTATTCTTAGAAAGATGGTGTTGTCAACTCAAAGTATCCACCAGATTCCAAACAAAGGTCTGGAAGTGTATATTGTCAACTCTGAAAAAAAAGAAGGCGAGGTATTACGGCCGCACCAAGCCTCTCTTCATTATTCGACTTGGCTTGGTGGCTCTCAAAACCCCACAAGTCTGGCAATTTTCAAAAGCAGTGATGATGGACAACGCAAGTCAGCTATTATACATTTGGCGGATTCAGACTGGACGTTGGCCATAACAGGCGATATTGAGAACGGCAATACCAACATAAAAGTTAATGGGAGCAAGGATTTCAATATACACGTGAGAGAGGATGATATTGAGTTTGAATGTCTGAAAGGAGACTGGTCCCGCAACGAGGGAAGTATTAAAAATTACAACTTTGCTTTCAAATAGGGGGAGGGAAAGTGATGCATCCATATAAAAATGTCTGGAGTAGCTCAAGCAGAGCTTGAGAAAAGTTATTATTGTCGTTACCATTAATCGTATTGTTAATGTTGGTGTTGCCCTACTTACTAGTTGTGTCCATATGCCAGCGTTTTCCTGCTATTCAAAAATATCCCTACAGGATTTACAATGAAATGTATAGCTCTACTGGAGGATAAGAAACACCTAAAGAGAATTCTTTAGGATAACGGACGAGGGTGTGTACTTTCTCAGCTAACTGACTATCAGCATAATGAGGCAGTAAATACTAGAGGACTAAAGTTTCTATCGCACGGCCATTTCTAAGGCAATGCGAAGAAGATAAAAGACATCCTTTCTCATACACTCTTCCATGGTACAGGGCTTCTTTTTCGAAATCGGCTTGATTGTCAATGACTTCTGAATAGTTCACTAACCCTAAGGAAACATATTTGCCCGTTTTGTATAGTGAATGAAATCACAGTACATGGAACGTGTTGGAATGGTCTACACGGTAGGCTTTAAGCCAGACTGTAAGTTATACCGTTAGGATTCTGCTATGGTGGTCTATGCAGAACACTTTTAGCTTATAAGCTTTCTCTTTCACCCTTCAGGCTCCCTTCCACCTACTTAAACATACGACTATCAAACATTCACCACCACTAATCATCCTACTCATCCTATGGGATACCCAACTACTGAGCACGAGGTATCTTAAACAACTTCATCATCTATCTAGCCTTAGCTGCTGGGCTTCTGGCTGTATAACGCCATTCACGAGTGTGGAAATATTTCAGTCTGGTTTGATTTTCCTTTCGAACAATGAGATTGGTCTAGTATGGACACAAGCGCCATAAGGAGAACTCAATAGAGAGGTCAAGGTTTGGATTCTATGAATTGTAGGTCTTGGAAACAACTATGTCAAGGTTACTGAGGCAGCGGTTAAGCGGCGACTCGCCGTCTAAGAAAGGAGGCCGTTTCTGGTGCCGGAGGTTGCCAACATCGGCGTTGAATTCACAGGTCTTCATGCCCTGAAACAAACGAAGTAAGAGGAAGGGTGTACCTTCGTGCGCAGGGTCTACCCTTGTTTAAAACAAAATACTTTATCTTTGATGTTGCTGTTAGCCAAATTCTGCTTATTCGCTATCTTCCTTTCTGCCCTCTTGTCTGATTGCCCTTTGACATTCTGCCATCTCCGGTTAGGCTCTGGCGGGTTCGCTACTACTCCATTAGCTTCTCGTGCTCGTATACTTTCTTGCTCTCATCTGGCTGCCCTACATGCTTCCTTATTCGCTACAATCTAGCACGTTTAGCTTTGATGGCTCCTCCAGAAGCAATACTGCATATTGATATTAAGACCAAAATTTTGTTCTCGGGTGTAAATACAAATGCTTTGTTGCACCTAATTAAAAAAAAAGAGCATGGAGCTTATTGAGATGGGGCTGGGCCACCGCGGGCGCATGAATGCGCTGTATAATATTGTTGGGAAGGATGGGCCGTCGATGTTGCGGGATTTCGACTCGAAGGAGACTTCAGCTTGGGGCATGCGGGGTGACGTGAAGTATCATTATGGGGGAAGTGGAGCGAGAGTTACCCCGTCGGGGAGGAAGGTGTATATGAATATGGCGCCGCAGCCGTCGAATGTCGAGTCAGTGAACCCCGTTGTTATGGGGAAGACGAGGGCGATTCAAGATCGGAGGAATGGCGACCGCGAGAAGACCATGATGCTGAATGTTCATACTGATGCGGCCTTCGCTGGTCAGAAAACGGTGTATGAGACGCTGGGACTGGCTGGGTTGAATGGCTATGAGATTGGTGGGACGTTGAGATTCATTGTGAACAATCAGGTTGGTTTTACTACCGATGCCTGGCAGGCGAGATCGTCGCCATACTGCACGGACGTGGCGAAGATCTTGGATGCATCGGTTGTTCATGTCAATGGTGACGACGTTGAGGCAGGGACTATTCACCATAACTAACTCATCCTTGAGTGAGACTGCAGCAATGGGTTTTGAGTTCGGCTACTCATTGGCAGACCCAAATACTCTCGTGATGTGGGAAGCCCAATTCGGTGACTTTGCTAACAACGCTCAAGTTATCATCGATAACTATGTCGCATCTTCCGAGAAGAAGTGGCTTCAGCGCTCTGGTGTGGTTCTTTCACTACCCCATGGATACGATGGCCAGGGACCGGAACATACATCAGCCCGCTTGGAGCGATTCTTGCAACTGGGTGACGAAGATTCTAGGAAATTCCCGTCAACGGAGCAGCTCCAGCGCCAGCATCAGGATGCTAACATACAGGTTGTGTGCATGACAAGTCCGGCAAACTACTTCCACGTTTTGCGTCGGCAAATTCACCGAGACTTCAGAAAGCGTATGTTCTCTGTTTTGGTCCCACATACCACTGCTGACCATTTTAGCTCTCATCATACTTTTTTCCAAGTCACTACTCCGCCACCCCCTTGCACGTTCGGATATTGAAGAGTTCATCGAGACTCCCTACTTCCAACCGTTGCTTCCCGAAACTCAACACGGCATTAATATCAATAAGCTGGAGGATATCAAGCGCGTAATCTTTTGCTCTGGCCAAGTGTATGCGGCGCTCTACAAGTATCGCGAAACTCACGGCCTCAAAGACACGGCTATCACGCGGATCGAAGAACTTCATCCATTTCCATGGGAGCAAGTTAGACAAAACCTGGATAACTACCCCAATGCAACGGATGTTGTTTGGTGTCAGGAAGAAACACTGAATGGGGGCGCATGGAGTTATGTTATGCCGAGATTTGAGGTTATATTGGCTAAGACAGAGAATCACACGGATAAGAAGATACGGTATGCAGGTAGGGAGCCGATGTCGAGTGTTGCAGTGGGGTATAAGGTGCTTCACGCTGTTGAGGAAGAGAAGCTGCTAGGGGATGCTTTTCAGATGTCTCCTGATGAGTAACCGAGATGTCACTTTGCTTGATAGATGGAGGAGGTAAGTCTTCAAGTTATAAATGAGAAAAACAGCCTGCCTTTATATAAATAAATCTGCTACGTATATCGTTATTCGTAAATGATTAGCCCCTGCAGTTCACTCCTTCCCGGACAACGCCGCAATCAAAGCTGCACCAATTCCTGACCCATCCTCTGCCGGCACAAAGGTAATCAAATCCTCCGAATCATCAGGCCACTCCAGAATCTCTCGTAAAGCAGTAACTGCCCGCTCCTTGAACCGGAAAAGCTTCTCGAACGTAGAACCATCTACACCAACACGGCCTTGGCGTATGCCCTCCTTCTTACAGATAGCCGCAATACCGCACGCATACAATCTGGCCGCACGCGTGCAGACAATCTCCCCAAGACGACAACAGACACGGAGTTCCTCGAGTGTCGGCTCAATGCCGAAATTCTCTTTCAGAAAGTTTCGTGTCTCCGCCATGGCGCTATTCTCCGCTGACCCAGCCTCTTCCATCCTCGACACACACGACGATTCCATAGCATGAATATGTCGGAGTCGACTGAGATCCATGTTTTCTAAAAAGCCCACTTTTTCATGTAGGTGGATAATTATCAGCCTTACTATTTCTCCCACGTACAGGCCAGCCACCATCTTTTCATATGTTTGTTGACCCGGTCGCGGGGAAGTACGGTCAATCTCGAGATCGAACTGACATCGCGGCAGAACACGATGACTGTTGTCGAAGGCACCATACTCGGTATTGATAGCTACCAACTGATCCGCAGGAAGATGGTGCTCTGAGATCTTTGGCACGCGCCCGATCTTTTCCATGTATGCAGAGTTGCAACCGGTGCCAAAGATGCTACCGATTTTGATCTCGGGGTCTTTGTATGCCGATGCGATAAGCGTTCCAGTCGTGTCGTTAACCAATGCGACAATGTGCACGGGGACATTCTGTTGTTGAGAACTCAAGTCAGTGTTATCTTGCCAAGACTGTATAGAAGAAGAGCTTACCCTCTCCGCAAATGCCTCCTCCAACTGCGCAACAACATCCTCGCCCTCTACACCCGATACATCCCATCCCTTTGTCCAGCGTTGCAACACACCATGCCGAATATTATCCTGCGTCACTGGATAAGAAAAAGTAAACGCAAGTGGCAGTTTCTCGTCCGGATTGGGCGTCAATTCATGCTCGCGCAGAAAGTCCGCCACACGGTCTGCTATGTACTCCCATAACTCCTTTGCATTACCTGTCTTCAAGCCACCTGGTAACTTGAACTTGCTTTGTGTAATCTTGTATCCACCTTTCTCTTCTGTCAGGATGACGTTGCACACGCGGAGATTGGTCCCGCCCATGTCCACGGTCAGGTATTGGCCTGTTTCGTGGCCGGTCGGGGATTTGGTTACCCAGGTTACGTTCATTGGCTGGGGGTATGTTAGTTGATCAGGTTATTCGGGCGGACGAAGAAAGCGTACAATGTCGCCATCGGTGTTTTCCAGTCCTAAGTTGATGGAATGTCAGAGACTCTACTGAGATAGATGCGGCCAGAGAGGTATACCAACCTTTCTCCATCTCCTTGACAAAATGATCGGTGATATGTCGAAGAGTGTCTGCATCGACACGGAACATATCCGCTATATTTTGAACTTCTTCTAAAACCTTTTCCGATACGACTCCTAGGCTGTGGTGTCAGTTCGGGGCTTCACAGAACATGTGATGAGGAAGGTAGTAGTATACCTTGCGGGAAGTGGATGCCCGATCCGGGAGCGTCCTGTGGTTCCTTCATTTCGGCAATAAGCAATGGAATATCCTTAGTGATGAAGAACACAAAAATGTGGGAAATTTGGAAGAAGATACATTGCTGTGTTTTGTTGGTTTTATATATCAGAGGACTTTACCAATTCGCCCATCTTACGTATAATTTTCGTTCTACAGCTTGGCCCTCTTGAAGCCATACCCACATCTGACAACCAGGCTAGCTAATCAACCGCGGCCATGCTCCTAGCCAGTCCTATCCAAGTTTTGCTGGAATACTTTAATTCTATACCGGTACACAATGATCCGAGAACAGCAGGAGTGGCATCTTCGGACTCGGCGATGGATCGGGTTGACTTCACAGTGACGTCGGCCCGAGGCGGGTCCGCGGAGTGGTCCCTTCCGGCCTTCTTTGGTTGATAAGATGGTTGGATCTTCATTGCCCTGATTCAAGGCAATTCTTATCTAGAGCTTATCTAGAGGCTCTTAGCTATGGGTCTATGTCTTGTGGAAGGGTCTAGAAAGTGCTAGGTGTTGATAATGTATTGATCTCATGGGATATTCTCGGCTTGAATGGGCAAAAGACTCGCACTCCTTTGATGGTGGTTTACTGTCCACGGGGACTTACAGCTTATCTGTTGAATGTAGTCCGCGGGTTATTATTATCGTATCGGTCCTTCCGGAATGATCTAGATCGCACACATACCGTGTCCGGAGCAATGAGGATTCGGGACGACAACTCACTTGTCCCAGTAGCATATGGCATGAGTTAACATAAATTCAATTTGGTAATACACAATTAAGGAAAAGTTGAACTCAATCCTCCGCCCAAAGCTCATAATCCGGAAAATACCGATCATGGATCCTGTGCGCATACTCCACGACGACCGGCAACCCTCTCACGATCCTTTGCGTCTCAGGACATCTGCAATCTATTAGCATCCCAAACTCATTGTATCCCATGACAGAAAACTCACGCAGTACAGATCAATGCCCCAACAATAAACCCAAACAGCGTAACATCAGCTTCAGTCGGACGCTGACCTCCAAGTACCCAGAATACTCCCTTCCGATCACTGTTCAGCCTAGAATCAACCAGTAATGCATTAATCTCCTCCCATATCTGTCTTTTAAATTTCGTCCGTTCCGCATCTGAATATCGCAATGTCCCTTGCCCGTGCAATACCTGATACTGTTTCCGGTAGATGAGATGCCCCACGATAACCTGGACGGGATATGGCAGTGAGGCGAGTATGTGTGCACGCATGGAATAGTAATTGTCGATCCATTTTTCGTAGCCCTACTTTTGGTCAATCATCTCGCAATGTACAGGCAGTTTGGACGGTGATGATACCTGAAGGAAATACAGCTTGTCTTCCAACAACGCCCTAACCCCTGAGTCAAGGACTTTCTCCTGCACAGTCAAATCCCCATTTAGATCAGGGAGTACCCCTTCTTTCACAAAATCTTGTATAATGAGACCCGAATCAGACATTGTCCGAGACTGATTTGTCTCCGAATCGTTGGTATCGCTAATAGTAACATAAGGCACTTTGCCCCGTGGCGCGGCGCGAATCGACCCACTTTCAGTACGATAAGATAGCCCTGCAAACCGGAGTCGGGCTTCCAGTTTCGTGACGAAGGGAGACCATGTGTAGATCCCTGTGCCGGGGAAGCCGCGATACAGGGTTATTTCTGGTTGATCTTGACTAATTCTCATTTTGTTCCAGGTTAGTTGTGTTTCTGTCGCTGAGATCATGATACGTGGGTAGTGCGAAGCTTTTTCAAGCGGGTTTTGCGATCATCGCAAAGACCGAGAGTGGGATCGGGCTCGCGTTGAGGAAGAGAACGCTGAATTTGATTCGCCGGTGAAATTAGACTCATCCTAGTGTGCTTCTTAGATGTTTCAAAGGCTATGAATGGCGGGATTAAATCATCTGGTCAGATGTCCAGCCAATAGCATTAGCAGACCAAGGTATGCTGCCTGGAATGCTGCCTAGATCCTGCTCTTGCGGTTTACGGACGCCAAATCCATCGTTTGGGGCTGTAAAGCTGAACGGACAATTATGACCGAAGGTTCTTTTGCTTCTCAGCAATGATTGTCGACCGACTTCAGAGGACGGGCCAAGAAGCGACGGTAAATTTCTTATTGCATAATAGTATCATTGAATATGTGAAAGACTTTCACCTGTGCAAATCACATAGCCTGGCAAGAGCGCCTTGGCTGGGCCAAACTCGGATAATCAATCTATCTATGCAAGCCATATTGAGCCGTTTAAGCAATGGCAACAACACCCGCAAGAATAGCGGCAGCAACGCCAAGGGGTCCATAAGCGAGAGAATTGGCACCGTTTGTCGGAACTACACTGTTGCTTCCCGCTGCCGTGCTGGCAGTAGTCGTTCCATTACCATTCTCCGTACCTGTGGAGCCGGAGGTTCCATTTGTCGCGGTAGCCTTCGTAGCCAGAGACTGGTGTTTGTACACCACCAAATTCGACGTGAAGATGCTCGTCGCACTAATTTCCTCCTCAATGCCCTCCGTCCCATCCCAGGTCGACTGGTACCAGCGCTGTCCACAGGTTGTCTTACTACTTCCGCCGCTGCACTGCTTCGCAGCGCCAACAGCCGAGCCTTGTAGGCGCGGAAGAATGTCCGATGATGTATACGGCGCTATCATGCTCGTGAAGGTGAGACTTTCTGCCAGGAGACCCTTGAAAATTATCTCATCGTCGTTGCACACTTGCGTAGGTTCACAGAGGATCTCGGACATGATTTCGCCGCCATATTTATGGGGGAAGAATTCTCCAAAGGTTGTGTTCAGAAGGCCATCCAGGCCGGTCTTCCACTTGGTCTCTCCGTTTGTCTATCTCTTGTTAGTCTCTGTCCAATATGTAGAGCGTGTATAGCCACTTACGTAGTTGTACATATATGCCGCGCCACTCAGAAACACCCCGTAGTTATACGACCACTGATTGTTGCCCAGGGTCGCACAATCATTTTCCGTATTAGTACTATCAGCAACATTCCAACTGCCCTCCTGAACAAGATGCGATGTACTCCAGTCCCAGATCGTGTTTGCCCAATCCACATAGGTCTGGTTGTTGGTATACCGCGCCAACCGCGCAGCAAGTTGGAAGAAACCCCCGTTACTCATTGCGTTCTTCATCGCGTATCCGGCTTGGTAGGGCCAAAGCTGCCACCGGAGACCGCCGGAGCAGGTGTTGTTGTCCCAGCGGGCGGCTTGCACATCGAATACCCGCTCCGCTAGATCCACCCACGAGGGCATTCCAGCGTCTTCGGGGTAGTTCAGCTCTGCTGCCGTCATGGCGGCAAGGCCCCAGGCCATCTGGTCGTCATTGGCGATGTATGAGGACCAGTTGCTCGGCATGTAGTCGTTGCCGGCGCCACGTTGGTGGTACATGCCCTGGCTGACGGCGGCGTTGTTGGATGCGTCGTCGGTGAAGTACCAGTATCGGATCATTGTGTCGAATAGTACGCCGCCTTCCCACCAGGTGTGGTTGATTTTTCCGGGAATCTGGCCGGTCTGGTTGCCTGTGTAGTAGGACATGGCGTTGAAGGCGGCTGTGGCGGCGGCATTTTTGATAGATTCTGTGGGGGGTTAGATGGTTCATCTGGATTAATGCCTGAGATAGGGGAACGTACGTTCGTTGGTGATGTCGAGATCGATCGCAGCGGGGGTACCGGCCAAAGTGGCGACGGTGAAAGCTGCTGTTAAGTAATGAGCGAATACCATGGTGGTTGTTGTGTAAACGAGTGTGTGGTTGATGATCAGCGGGAAATCATGGGAACCCTGGGGCGACTCATATTTTTATACGAACCATCATAGGATTCGCAGATTTGGGTGGGTTGTAAGTGGACATGAGAGTTTGACCAAGTGGTGCGAAATGGAATTTCGTCCATCAGAAAAGCTCTTTCCAGCAGGGGTAAATGCCCCCAACGGGGCTTAGGCTTACCACGATGTGGAGGGTGTGCAATAGCCGCAGGGATGGAGAGATGCTCAAATTGCACCAGAGACTTCGATAGGACAAGTTTCAGGGTCTAGAGACGCTAAAACAGCCGGAGTACCCGTGATTTGCTGATTGCTGATGGTTCATTTCGGCTGTTTTGTTAGCGTCAAAGGCTGGGGCGGTTAGGCCCGTTCCACTGCACATGGCCAGTGAGCCTTATGACCATTCCCGGCTCATTATTGGGGATTTTGCAGTGAAATTGGGGGTTTTACGCTTTGGAGACTGTCTATAATGGTTGTCGGAGAGCTCCATAACAGCATTGTTGACCCCTATTTTGGGTGATCCGTAAGAAGAATCAACTAGGCATTAGTCAATTGCAAGATCAAAATCTTAGTAAGCGGGCTTCATATCCAGGGTCCAACATGTCTCAGGTATCTGCAGCATGACCCTTTCTGGATGATGCTCGCCTTAGCTGAAAGCAGATTGTGAATGCTTTAGACTCATGTATATCCTGTGTAAGCATTGTCTAATATTATGATGTACAACTGTCCAATGGTTTCCAGTTTCAGTTCAAAAATTTGCGGGGATACCTACCAAACTAGCCACCAATAAATACCTTCATATGCTCGTGCGCGAATTCTTTACGGCTTTGGGGGTGAAACATGAAGGCCGACACCATACTACGTGAAGCTCACTATCTAATGCAGGAGATTGAACTTCCGGCAAGGCTTCTGCGTGTCATACCACCAAGACTTGGCTGCGCTACAGCCACACTGACAAACATCCATCCGCTTGTGCCAAGCCACGCTCGACGACAATGGACATTGACCTCAGAGCCCTTCTCTTTTATTGAACGTTTGAGACATTCTTTTCCGTTAGCGAATTTAAATGGATTACCATCTGCCAGTTGATACTCCTTGGCTTGCAGCTTTTGGCCCCCTCCCAAGCATCGGCACAGGCACAGCCCGCACTGGTGACATGATGCTCATTGAGCCTTGCTAAGCCTAAGCCCGCTAGCGTCTAGGACTTCGTGCTGATAACATTACAGTGGCCTAGTTTGTTCACCAGAATTCTCCGTCGTAACACTATCATCGATGTTTACTTCGATCAAACGATATATATTATTGTCAAGGTGCTTTTACACCCTCACATCAGTTCCATCGACGCAAACTACCTACCAAGACACTAGTCTTCTGTCCAGGAACACGGGATTCCGCTGTCTGTACTCCACCTGGGGTCATTTCCTCGGCTCATAGATCCTGAATGGCACAGCAGAGTCCCAGCATCCAGCCTCTAAGAAATCACCTGTGATATTTCTGACACTGGTCCCATTGCCAAACTCGAGGATCAGGCCTCCTGAAGGAGCAGAAGCATTAAACGCGGGCCAACCCACAGTGGAGCTGACCGTGGAGGGGTCCTTGATGAATGCCAGGATAAAGTTCTGCATGGTCCTCGACGTCGCAACTTCCAGGGCTGAAATATTCCCCGCGTCTGTCATATATGTGCCGAATATCATCAAAAGGTCTGACCAATGAAATGCACCAAGGTATGGTACTGGGCTGATATTGGAGAAATTACCAGCCCATTCATATCGGTACGTGTCAAGACCTAGAGATGACCGTAGGATGGAGTCCTGGTATGCTGTGCAGACCCATTCACCCTCTCCTTCCATTGTCGTGGCCACCGATGTGCTGGCTTGTTCCCGTGAGGCGTCGGAGCGGATTGCTGGGCCTCGTGCGACCCGACCCGCGGCATAACGTGCCGCCTCATCGGAAAAGATATACTTTTCGTCGGCTAATTCACGCGAATCAGTCATTCAAATCTAAATTCGAAAACATACAGTCATGGAGGAGAGGGTGACGAACGGATATAGTTGGAGAAAGCAATCGACCGGGTGCCGTTGTAGCGGTTGATATACTCTTCAATCTGTACCCATGATACCTGGCGCATGCATTCCAGCTCAGCCTCCGCATTGTCTCCATAGTTGCATCCAAGGCCTTTTGCAACAATGTGGAAGTCTTCATATACATCTGTTGTCTCCGTGAGATTGATTGTCACTGATGGCGGCTGGGAGATGACACCAAATTTTGCCACGCGAGGATCATCGGGGAAGGCAAGAGTATACAGGTGAGTGAGTGCTGCTCCTTGTGATTGACCCCATAGCTATTGCAGAATATCAATTAGGATTTAGTAACTCGTCCTCGTGGAGTGGAATGCTTACCATGATATTGTCCGGGTCTCCACCGAACGCCCGAATATTTTCGGCCACCCATTCTACTGCGGCTCGCACATCCAACAAAGTCAGCGATGTCTCATTCAGAGCTTTTGATTTGGGATCTAAATTGGGCGAGAATTTATTCGTTAGCCTGGCTCACTTGTGCGACCGGGGTTCAATTTGATCTTACTGCCGAAGATGTTGACCCGATAATTTATCGTTACGACGATATGTTCCTGGGAGTTTGACACCCAGTTTGACGGCAGCTGGGATGGAATATCGATTCCGCCTGTGACGCCACCACCACCTGTGACGAAAAGCGCGACAGGCAGATTTGATGTCTTATTGGCAAAGGCTGGAGTCCACACAGCTAGCGATAGGCAGTCTTCTGAGGAGGACCAAGCAGTTGATCCCTGATTGGGTGCCTCCCCAATATTGAGCAGGAGACTTGGAGGTGCATATTCTGCCCACATGCTGCTTCCGGAAGCGACATACTGCGGACAGGCTAGAAGATAGGCCATCAGAATGCTGCTAGGTTCGGTATTACTCACAGCCGAGTCACTCACCAGGTCCATAGCGTGTCGAGTCGATTCGCTTCGACGAGTTGACTAATTTCTGAGGAGGAAGCCATCTGAGGTCCCCGACTGGAGGCTGGTAATTTGGAGCGATTGAATCAGTCTTAATCTCTCCGATCAGTGATGGCCAGCTGGGTACGTACCTGTGCATAGGGAACCCGAAGAAATTGGCGGACATTGGGGTATGTGTCGTTCAGCATGCCAACAAAGGTTCCCGTTCGTGTCTCCACAGTCAAATTCGACCAGTTGGATAGCGTTCTCGCCGGTTGCCACGATAAGTCTGCATAGTAGGGCGGGTACAACTCCCCAAGAGCGAGAGCAGTAAGCCCTGCCCAGGCAAATGAAGTGAGCAAGGCCACCATCTTGAAACAGTCACCAAACGAGCAAATTTCAGTGAAATGCAGATTCTTTTGCGTTGTTTAAGTGCACGGGGGGACTATTTATGGGTCTGAGCACGATGCAAAGATGCTAATTCAGCAGGGGTCCGTCCCCCCACATTGCGGGGAAAGTGAGGGTTCTACGAGGGACCTCGTCATTATTTAATTTGAACGAAGTCAAGCTCGGATAGTCGGAATTGGCCTAAACCTGCTCTTTCTAACCGAGGGGTCCGTTTATGTGTGATTTAAATTTAACTCGTCTACACAAGCATTCAGACGCATCTCCACTTACCGATCCCCATCGTGATACGAGTCAGTTCCTGATCTCTGTGTATTGTGTGATCAATATTTAGCCATTTCCCCGGAGACTTACAGATAATTCCTCCAAGACAACACCGGCCACGACCTTTGGCTGACGGTCAACGCTCAAGAGGCTATCCCGCCGCTATTAGTCCGCCCACACGTTCAAATTCCTTACACTAAATCGCCTGGCCAAAAGTCCGGTGTCCCATGTGTTTTGCTACTCCGCCTAGGGATGCATGGACACTAACAGTCATGTCGCATAAAATGTCCGGTACTATAGTTCTTTAGTTATCACACATCTTTCGGTACATGATATTTGTCTTTCAAATTCACGCAACGGTTCGACTTCGCTTCGTGATACAGTTCCCGCGGTGGCAACGGGGCGGGTTATGAGACTTAAAGCATCCTGGATGTAGTACCAGGCGTTCAAACGAAAGCAATGTTGAGAAATGGTCCCTGGATTCAAAGGGAAACACATGCCATAGCAGCTTACGCGCCAGGGTCGGTGCCAAGCGGATATTTACTATCCCGATCCCCGAACCCCAACTATGCTTGTCCAATGGACGATCCCTTGCACGGTCACTCTATCGTCGTCTGATTCATATAAAGGATAGGTAGTGGATTACAAGATGTCGACCATTGTTTTAGTACTAGTGATAGAAGACTAAAGCAGGTTTGAAGAAACTCCATATGCCCATGTTACTTATATGATGGGATGCATCTCTCCACCTGCTCTTCACGTAGACGGACTATATCTTTCCCGATCTACAACGCCTGTATACTTCTCTACGTATCGGACGACCGACGCTGCAGGGTGGTCCAAATATAACCGTTCGACTCGATTGCTCTCCATGAGAATATTTGCCATGACTATCTTGCGTAACGGCTGAACCCCAACTGTGTGGATCCAAGCCCACCACCTTAGATTTGGTCCTTTTGGGCCCCTACATCTGCGACAAAAGAATTGCTATAGTGTCCGAGATCTGACCTTTATTATAGCAGAGTATTCATGGTCATCGAATTCCCGTTACCTCACTTATCAAAATTGCCATTAAAGTGGTCGTTGAATTAGGCAGAATATCGTAATGTATGTTGATCCGACAGCTACGAGGTGGAGAACAGTGTGACGTGACGACGCACTCTGGCTTGGCTAGATCATATAACCATTTCATGATAGAGATCGACCGATGTAGGGCTAGAGGGAGTTACTACAGGTATATACATGTCTCAAGAACCACAGCACCCCAGAAGGCCTCTTTGATCTGTCCAAGATGTTCATCTTCATTGCTGACAACTATCGTCCGGGAGTTAGGGGTTTTACTAATGGCCCAACCTTCCAGCACGAAGGAGCTGCAGCAAATACTGCAGTCTAGGATGTCTCCCAAGCCCCTGGAATGGGTACACAAATATATCGTACCCTATCCTGGCCTTGTGGGGGTGCGTGGTCCTCGGGGGACCCAATTGAGGGTTCAGTCGGAGGTGGACTCATCTTTCTTTCTCCGACCTCCGACGGCCCTACGTAATGCATCCCCACACATTCCGTGACCTGCCGTGCCGTGCCACCTGGGGTCGTGCAATTGTTGAGTCCCCCAATTGACCCTAACATATCGGGTATACTCGCAGTCTATCGTCTGGAATCGGACCTGTTTCTTCATGGTGCTAGTGTCCCACGGTGGCTCCTGCAGTGTCTCGGGAAGCAGGTAGCGGAGGTCGACCATCTCCCACTGCGGAGTGAATTGATCATTTATGGTATCTTATAATGTTCGGGCACTGTATATACAATATTTCAGGTAAAGCTAGCTATTACTCGAGAACGCCAACCCCTCAATGAGGACAGAAGTATATGTACATTGACCAGGAATCCTCGCCATATCTAGTACGGACTGGGAGTAGCATACTTAAAGTACTCCAAGTACAGCTGGATCTCCTTGGCCGACGCAAAGGGAATGTCTTTCCACAGGCTGCCAAGCTCAAACATGGTCTGTTGGGAGGGAACATTCGGGCCCCAATACGGCAAGGTGCCGTTGTTATAGGAGCCGCCCTTGTTCGGGTTCTGCGTCTTGACAAAGTTGGCCCAGTACGAGGACATGATGTTGGCGACCTCGTAGTCAGCATCCGTGTACGAGGTGGTCGTCTGGGCGTAGAGGTTGTTGAGCGCATAAGACACCTCCGAGCCGTGGGTGGCTCCATCCGAGCCAGGAGGCGAGTAGGTCCAGAGGTAGTAGTAAACAGGTTCGGTAGAGGATTGGTTCCAGCGCTGGGCCCATGACCAGGTGGAGGTGCAGTAGCCAGCACGCAGGATCGAGTTGTATGCGGCCGTGGCCTGGGTGGTGTTTTCAGCTGGGTGCAGCGCCAACAGCTCGGCGGCATAGGGTCCGTAGGTGGAGTTGATCTCCGATCTGTACTCGGCGACGGTATAGGTGGTAGATAGATCAATCCCATTCTCGTCCTTGTTGTTTCCGACCAGGATGGGCACGTCATTGGGTGCACCTTCGTCCAGGCTAACGATGTACTTGTTGGGCATTGAGTGGTAGTTGAGCACTGGGTCGAAGCCGACGAAGTCAGAAGCACCGGTGCCGCTAAGGACTGTTTCGAGGTCCATGGAGCGCAAGTCAGCCACGCTCGTCGCATTGAGTGACTCTGCGTAGGTCTTGCTGAAGGCATATGCCCAGGTCATATTCCGGTAGTCACTTCCGTATCCCCACAGGTCTGGGTCATATGGGTCCTTGAGACCACTCTCTGCGATCGCTCCCTTGATCATACCCTTGGTCCGGGGACTGTTGACCATATGGTAAACGGCGCCGGAGCCGAAGGACTGTCCGGCCACAGTGATGGACTCGGGGTCTCCGCCAAAAGCGGCGATGTTGTGATAAACCCATTTCAGAGCTTCGATCTGATCAAGAAGACCGTAGTTGCCCGTCGCACCGCTCTCTTCGGCTAGCTCATGTAGTGTTAACCAGCCGAGAGGTCCTGTGCGGTAGTTGTAGCTGACGAAGATAACATCCTTGGCCGCCATGCCCGCACCATCGTAGGTACTTTGGCTGGATTCACCTCCGGCCGCATAGGACCACAGCATGACCGGCAGCTTGGCATCGGTGGAGGTGGCGGGGCTCCAGATGTTGATCGACAAGCAGTCCTCACTCACTCCGTCACCAGCGAATGAGCTAGGACAGCTGGCGCCAAAGGCAGTGGCCTTCAGGGTGCCGTTCCAGGATGGGGCACTCTGGGGCGGCTTCCAGCGATTTTCTCCACCAGTTGTGGCGGCATATGGGATGCCCTTCCATACAGAAATGTCTTTCCAGTTGACAATGTAGGATGGAGCACTGCTTTCGTTGAAGGCAGCAGCACCCTGCACCTTGCCCTGGGGGAGCTGGATGGTTTGGTCATAGAGAGTGGCGCTAGCCGGAGCCAGTAGGGAAAGGATACCCATACCACGAGTGGACCTCCCGTTGATTCTCATGTTCGCAGACAATGGAAAAGAGGAGGGAATATATGCAGTGCGAAGCAGAAGGCTGTCAGCATGTTGCCAGAGAACTGGACATGAGAAGGTTCTTATAACTGCCAACCAAGACAAAGGGCAATAGGCAACGGGTGCAGATCATTTTGGACTTCCAAGCCATGTTGCATCGTGATATCGTACGTGCTCGGAGAAAATATGACACGCCATGTATAATGCTAACTAATTTCTCTTCGGATATTACGATCCGCACAGGATATAGTAGCTGACTGTGCGTTCATGATCTTATTCTGCAGCATCGGGGGTGGGCGGTCCAGAGATCGCCGACGTCCGTCCGCCGACTCCCGTGAAGATAGCAGCCAAGAGCCAGATCAGTAGTAGGTGAAAGAAGGTTGTCGGTTTCAACCTAATTCCTTAGGGCAGAGGACGCGCAAGGCTGTAGGGGTCCAAAACACTGCCTCGGAGTTGTTTGCTGGTCTGGGTGGATGGAACCGCGCTCCTTTTATCCGCGATCACTTCAGAAAAAGACATCCGTGAAATTCCACCAAGACGAGAAGACAACGTTCGGGTAAAGTATTAAGGCTTATTTAACGCACTACTTTTTCTTGTCAATACAATCTGCCTATCGTTCCGCTCATTCACCTTTCAGAACACATCAACTGACCTTCCTGCTGCATCATCAGTCTCAACCAGCTCTGCAGCATCTTCCAATATACAGCATGTGTGCCGCCGGCTCAGCTATCGTTCACTTACAGCTAATCCAGAGTACACGCGTTTAGTTATGCAGTGATACCAAGGTTTAACAACCACAAGAATCTGACTGATACGATTGATATTAAGGGCAGATCTACTTGGTTACTGGTGCTGTGCACAATGGTGAACGATACCTGAGCCCATGTGCTTCTCCGTGTTGCGCGCGATACTCGGCTGCCCAATCAACACCCAAACGTCAACCTCATCTCTTGCTCCCAGTCAAAGTTCTCCAAAAACGCCATGAAGTCAGTATCGCCAATATCCCCTCCTGGGAGCTCATTATTCCAAGGGTCATCACTAGAGGCTACCACTCCTACCGGAGCTGGTGAGAGCACCCGATCCAAAGCCTGGGAGATGATCCTCTCCCCCTTGATGCAGATCTCGTAGTCACCTTCTTGCTGACGAGCAAATGTTTTCAATTGCGCGACAAATACGCTCAACTTCTGTATGATATCTGAACGGGGGAACGGTGTTTGTGGTGATGCGGTGGCTACGCTTGCTTGGGGCTGGGATCGTCGCAGAAGCTCGGTGCAGAGGGTACCGGCGGCAGGAAGACCTATGTAGCATAGCTGGGGTTGTGAGGTTTTGGAGCAATGATACGTGTGCATGGATGAACTTACATCCAAAATGACGGTTGGGTGGACTTGACCTGAGCGAGTCTCCAGTGATACCATATGTAGTAGGATGCTAATAATCTCCAAAGCTTTGTTGACGAAATCATCGATACCCTTTCCAACCCGTTTGTAGAGAGTTTGCAATAGCAAGAACTCGTGATAAAGAAACTCGATATGAAACGATGCAACTTGGGGATCTGTTTTATCTTCTGTCCACTGGAGGTACGGAGGAAGACTGCGCCGTAGTTCGTCTGATTTCTTGCGAGCCTTTCTGTTCAGCAGTTATTAGTTAATACCAGTCTAATCGGAGTTATAATCTGGTGCTCACACACTGGACCTTCTCCTCTAATCCGTCTAGCCTATTACTGAGTGATATTTCCAACGCGTTTTCTTCATCGATACTAGCAGCCAGTCTAGCTCGAGCCTTGGCCCCCTTATCGATACAACCATCGATGTTCCAACCTTCCGGATCTAAGCGTGCAATAGCTGCATCTCTTATCGCGGGTTCGGCAACAATCTCCTCGTAGCTCATGTCCAATGGGTATTGGATGTTGCAATAACGCCAACATATCCGTGGGGGCCTGCCTAGGAATGTTGCAAGTTCTTTGTCAAGAGCATATGCACCAACCATCGTTCTTTTTCGTATCTCCTTCAAAAAGAATGGAGCTGTGTTATCAGTGTCCGGCTGGTGCAGGCCAAGTGCAAAGACTGTCGTCGTGATCTCCCCTAGCATCTGCCACGTTCTGTGATCTTGCTTCGTCTTAGCTACTACATGATCGATGTTATACAGTCAGTAACATACCGCTACTCCCGTGCATATGCGATAGATAGATTGCATGCTGGACCATGGCCCACGACAAAGGGTCACTCAGCGTGCCTAGATGATTGCAAAATTGCAGACATGTCTGGCTAGCCTGGATGCATATTTGTCGCAATCCTTCCTTGCTCGTAATTTCGTCCTGATGCTCTAACCCCAGACTATGTGGTGGTAGTTGATATGTTGCCGTACCAGCAAAGCCGAAAAGTAAACTTAGCATCTCCCAGCGCGGCGCTGCTAAAGAGAAATATTCGGCCAAGGTCATCGACTCATGGGTCACGATAGGAGTTACGGTATTTTTGAAGAAAGTCCTGGAGAGATCTAGCAGGCGTGCATACTTGTTCCCCGAGTCCTGGGTTGCATTGCGGTAGACCTCTTCCAGGACCTTGAACAATTGATCCATCAGAGGGCTACCGAAAACCCATCCCGGCGAAATGGTGAAGCGCTTCTTTGAAATCTCAGCAAATAGGGGTAGATGCTCCAAGAGAAAGAGGACCTGAGCACCCCGCGCCACCTGTTGAGGGTCGATGGGGGTTGACCGTGTAGACGATGGGAAATCCACGACATCAAGCTCACTATTGCTGAATGCACCTGAGTAACTGGTAGGACCCAGGAACCCCGATCCTGAAAATGGAAGCTTCGACGGGTTGGGAAATGCGGCTGGAGTTAACACAGTCGCTGGAGATGAAGCGCTCAGACTATCCCATTTCAGCGTCTTTGCAGGCACCAGCATTTGTTCCTTGGTTGCTGTCCTGATTGCCTTGAGTGGTCGTGATAATTCGCGCGGCTTGGTGAGCGGAGCTGGGTGGTAAACACAGAGGTCCGCTTTACCCCGACGGACGCATCGATTACATGTTGGGGCTGAATGATCGCATCGGAGCTTGGACTTCCTGCAAGGCTCACAGGATGATAATTGTCCATTACGGCGTGGAGCGGACATGGCGATGCGCAGCCAGATGCCTGTGAGTCAATTGTAGTCGAGGTCCGTAGTTGAGGTCCGACTCCGAATACCCAACAGAAAGAGAAAGAAAGCGACGAGGGAGCGGGGCGAGATAAAGAAGAAAGGTAAGTGGACAGGCAGCCTTATTAGCCATTGTTGTTTAGCCGTTGTTAGTATAGCCTCGTTCCATTCCTGCGATTAGAGAGACAGTGGCTTACGGTCCGATGGCTCGTGCGCTGAGCTCCGAGCGCCGACCCTGAGTGGTCTGTCGAGTATATGCCTCAGCTTATTTGCATCAAGTATATAAAGCCCTTCCCAACGAGGACTTCAAAAATCAACTAACAGAAACATTCAAGAGCAAGCAAGAGCAAGAATTCCAATCAAGCACTCAATATCTGTCGCGCCAATCTTTCTACCATCCTCATTTCCTTGCGAACAACCAACTACATCCTCATCACCATGCCTCGCACTTCATTGAACGGCTTCTACCGATCCTTTAAGGCCAGACACCTCAGCAAAAGCAATTCTGATCAATACATCACAACCACGGAAGACGGCCACGCCGAAGATTCTGCATCTGTTCTCAGTGACGCAACTACCTTGGCTCAGAGCAAGACTGGGCCCCAGAAGGGGACTTCTGTCCAACAGGGCCCGGATAGCCTCGACTACGGCTCTACCCGATACTGTAAGCATCTGCCATGACACAGATGATTAGCTGCTTAGCACGAAACTGACATGGCATAGCTATGAGAGGCATGTCCACCCGCGCATGATGTTGTCGGCTACATCTTTTACGACGGAAACGACCTACTTGGCAAGAAACGGGCTGCGCGATGGATGTGCAAGAAGTCTCTATTCATTGAAATATATGTAATACTTAATGTCTCGCTATGTTTTGAAATTTAATTGAATATGATGGATTTTCAACATGTTTCGCCTATCTTTGTATTGAAGAAATTGGCATCTACAGGCCATAGGCTTGGGCGAAGTAGCCCTCAATCAAATCTGGCGAACACTTTGAGGCCATCTACGCGATCTGGAACTGCGGTGTTTTAGTAAATGGCATAACGGCTAATAATGAATCCACCAAAAAGCAGCTTACGTCTCTTTCGGTGAGGCGACCTCCGCCTAATTTGTGCAGTTGAAGACCCATAAGATGTGAACAATCTCATATCCTGCAGACTAGACCATCATCCTCAGAGGGGCGCTAGTTGGCCCTTTTCGTTGGCCCGTCCGACCATCGTGGATATATTTTCCTCCAATTGATTGGTCCACTTTATTGCTGGAGAGATTCATCACGTGTTCGTAAGTGAGAGAGTAGACTATGTCGCTCAACTATTTGTGTCGTATTTTAAGAGCTAGCAAGGCTTTCCGGTAGACTTCTAAGCTACTACAACTCATCCCCTCCAAGAATGCTGAACCCCTCGTGGTCCTCAACACCCGCGCTATCATCCACGACATACCAATCCTTTACCGTCGCGGATCCGTTCAAAACGGTCTCCCAAACCTCCGGGGTACACGTGCCGGGACTTAGAACATAGCACTGCGGCTTTGGCATAATAGGAGGGATATTCTTGATATGCCACGTATCCTTAGGTCCAACCGACTGGAATTCGTCATCAACAGCCAAGAGGCCAGTAGGGATATCTTTGTTGAATGTCGCCCGCATGAAGATCTCATACGCCGCGACAGGCTGGTAGGAGGGGACCTCATGCCCGGCTTGGAAGACGCGAGTGAAGCTGTAGTTGCCCAGCTGGCGGGTCATGCCGCTGATCCCGTCGGGCGTAAGGAGTGGGGAGTATCCCGTGTCGGCAAATTCGGTGATACGGGAATACGGAACTGCAAGGCTGGCTTTTTCGCCCCCGACCCAATTGCAGGCGTAATCACGATCTCCGTACATCATGTGTACTTTTACACCACTGTCGAGGAGGTAGCCAATTGCATCCAGGAAGCCGCCGTGGACGATATCAAAGGTTTTTATGAACTGTGTAGCCACGGCACTCGAAGACGATGTGAAATTGACTGGTACCCCAAGAGCGGCAAGGACGGACTCCTGCGTCAAATATCCGAGCATGTGCTTGGCAGGGAATGGGTCGTTCTTAGGATGGGCGATGTCGTACCACCCGCGATTGAAGGTGTGGTAGTAGGTGATGGGGCCATCTCCCCATTCTAGTGCAAGGCCTCCGCAAATTTCAGAGATATTCTTCCCTGAGTGAGGCAAGCCGGAATCGCGTTCTTTCAAAGCCGCTTCGCAGGCGAGGGCCTGATCGCGAAAGCCTCCTGGATGCGTCCAGTTATACATCAGTTCTTCGTAGAGGGGTTTATCGAAGATTTCGAGGCCGTAGGTCTGAACTGAATTAGGCATTACGCGAGTTGAATGAAGAAGGGGCGAGCCTTACGTTATTGTATGGCCAAGTAATGTAAGCCTCTTCTTGGATCACCATATCCATCAAGCCGTTCACAATGCCAAGCGTGTCGAGATGCAAATACTGTGCACCGTCTTCTGCAGTCCCCTCTGCGATTTTGTCATTCTGCTGTTGGAAGAACCGAAAGATGCCTGGACCATAATGGCCTCCGTAACTTTCAGCCCAGAGACTGACACGATCATCGTTTGGCTTGTAGTGTGGGAACTCGAAAAACCAGGTTTGCGCGAAATGCCATAGAGCGTGAGCCGCGAATGCAGTCCCATTAGCTGTCTGTGCAAGCTTCTGGCTTGCAAAGGTACCAACATGATGGGTGAAGTTGGACTGGGGAACATCAATGGAGAAATCACCGGAAACTATCTCTTCTTCGCCGTCCGCAGTCCGAACCAAAGTGCCATTTGTTGGGACATCGTATGAGAAGCCGACTTGAGTTGGCTGGTCAAGGAATAGAAGATTGACTTCATTGTTCCAACTCCAAGGATTGAGGACTGTGGTCTTGGAGTCTGATGCAATGGAACAAGGACCTAATTCTTCAAGGAGCCCCATGAGCGACGAGCCACCCGGACCGCCATTGAGCCAGATGGCCAGAGGCGCATTGCTGGGATCTTTGCGGGCTTCGAAAAACCAAAAGAAGCTGGTTGAGGCTCAGTAATTGCTCATCCTCCAATGTTTCGAGATTGGCTTACGTGTTGATAGGATAATCCTGCACTTCTCCTGTCCCGTCGGAAAGGAAACCGGGGGGAAGGTGTACATAGCCCGAATAAGATCGGACACCCGGCGTAGTTTCGCAAATTCCAGGCTGACAATCAGCACGGCATCGAGCATAAAAGCTATTTCTAGATACTCTGCACACACCTCTTTGAAAGAAATAGTCACATTCTCATGCAACTTGGACTTGAGCACAGTGATGCCTTCCGGCTCGGGAGGAAATTGAGCGGTCGCTAGACCCAGAAGACCCCCAAGCAGCAGACTACTCAACATGGCGAAGAAGCTGAAGGCAATGATACTCTTATGACCACAGCCTGATCTTTGCCAGTTATGCCAGAGATACCAGAAAAAGCATCAACATCGTGAGGGGAGAAGGGCGCGTAATAAGCCGCATGACTAACTCGGAGTCGGAGCTAACGCTTATCAGGCCCTTGCGCCGGAGTCCGTCGGCCGTGGGGAATGGCGTTGTTAGTGGGCGAATGGCGACATCCATTTGGTTAAGAGACAGATACGTAGCTGAACAAAATAGAGCTAGCTGCAGACACTTCGGCGCTGCGGCATTGCACAGCGGAAATGGGGATGGCGACTACCTTATCCAGCTCCGACGAACTTGACAGACTTGATAACTCAATAACAGATGAACGGTTGAAGTGATTGCCCCACTTCTGGCCGAATATTATAGGCTCCCGATTACTTTGTTTTCTTTTCCTTCGAGAGACTAAAGCTGGGTAAGTGGGCTAACGGGGGTAAAGACAGCAGATTAGGTAGCCTAACGGTCGGGATTTTCCAGCGTTAGAGCACCCAAAGGACCCTTATTTAGCCTTTTATTGCAGTCAACTATAGTATTGACTATAGTAACTTTGGTGGGACAAGCTTCGTAAGCCGATCAACCGTTCGGAGTATCGATGCCCCGCAACACAGCGGGATGTTTCAACTTTGCCTCTCCTGCGTTCCATGTTTGACAAGGCAAATGTCAGTGGATGACGAATAAGGCGTCGAAGTCGCCTTTTGCAAGTTTCACATTCTCCATACGTCATGGAGGACAGACTGTGTTGAAGGTGGGTGACGACGGAAAAAAAAAATCTGTTGCATGCAAGGTATCTATCCCATTCAGTTGTGAATTAGGGGGGAGATTGTGGATAGATTCCCTATCGATAAGCACACAGTCTCCGCAATTATCAAAGACCCTGGCAGAAGAACCCTGGGTGCACGGAGGATATGCTTGGTCGACCAGACTCCACCAACTTTCCGAACGGGTATTGTGAGTTTCCTTATTGGTATGATGCCAGCGATTGAAGCGATCAATATGGTTAGTGTGTTCGAGATAGACAGTGGGCATGTCTTGGAGCTCGGAGGACGAAGTAACGCCATCGGGATAGGATTTGACGCCTGGAGGGGCGATGACGCGGAGGGACGAGGCTGGACCCAAAGGGCCGCGTGGCCTGGAGACGATCGGCTGTTGCTCGACTGGTTGGGTTACTATGTATAGTCTCTTTCAGCTGCCATCTCAATGGGCATTGATCGGTGGCAGGACAAGGCGCTGCCTTGTATGAGATGACAATGCGGATGCATAAGAGAGCAGATCATCGTTGAGGATGAAAGAAACCCTGAAGATCGGGCATACTGCGTAGAATTGATGAGCGTGGGCTGGGGAAAGTGGCTGGAGAGAGAGAGCGTGGGAGGAGCCAAAGTGAAGAGGGACGCCGATCAGGAACCCGAGCAGCAAATTGGCGGCTGACGACCGGCGGGGCTCCACCAACAAACAAATGTACTGCTTTTCTGCGCTTTTCACCTGCCGCCGCTAAGCTTTTTTATTCTCCTTGCTGTCCTCTTCTTCTTCTTCGTCGTCGGTCTTTTCCTTCTCCTCTTCTCCAGCAGCATTCTGCGGAGTTCCTCCTGCCCTGTTCCTGTCGACCTCCTTGGTTCCCGTCCCTCTCACGATCTCGCCAGCCCGCTCGTGTGCGACCGTCCATCATGGCTGCCAAATCCCAATTGCCGACCGTCAACACGCCTGTGTCTGCGGAGCCTTCCAAGGCCGCCATGCACCCGGCTTTCTACATCGCGTACGACTCTTATGTCTGTGGTAGCTGCCTGTGGATGTTCGTTAATCTCTCTCTAGTACCTGGATTGCTCTCAGTTCCGGTGTGATCATTTTCAACAAGTGGATTCTCCATACCGCTGGATTCAGTGAGTGACCTCATCTTCTGTTCTGCTCCAGCATGCGATTAGTGAACTGACCGTTGTTACTTCTCTTCTACAGGTTTCCGTACGTCAATTCCAATATTCACGCCGAGAAAGTCCGTCGCAAACGACTAACATGCTGCAGCCCTCTTCCTGACCACATGGCATCTCGTTTTCGCTACCATCATGACCCGCCTCATGGCGCGGTTCACCACTCTGCTCGACTCTCGTCACCAGGTCCCTATGACCTCTCGTGTCTACATGTCAGTTGGATCGTGCTGGAAATCAACAATCAACGGTCGTGTCTAATCAGTTTTGTCCTTGCAGGCGTGCCATCGTCCCCATTGGTGCATTCTTCTCTCTCAGTTTGATCTGCGGTAACCTCGCATATCTCTACCTCAGTGTGTCCTTCATCCAGATGCTCAAGGTGAATAACTTCGACTCCGTGTGTAAGACTGCCGCTAATTTGATCAGGCTACCAACTCTGTGGCTACGCTGCTTGCTACTTGGGCCATGGGCATTGCGCCGGTGAAGCTCAGCTTGCTCGGAAATATTTCCTTCATCGTCCTCGGTGTTATCATTGCCTCTATTGGTGAAATCAAGTTCACCATGATTGGATTCATCTGTAGGTTTTTATTCTACTCTCGGCGCCTGGCCGGTTTTTTAACACCTCATTAGGCCAGTTCTTCGCGACCATCTTCGAGTCCGTACGTCTGGTTATGGTTCAGCGCCTGCTCAGCTCTGCCGAATTCAAGATGGATCCGTTGGTTTCCCTGTACTACTTCGCACCTGCTTGCGCCGTCATGAACGCCGTCGTCACTGCGGTTGTCGAGCTCCCCACACTGCACATGTCTGACATCTACCAACTCGGCATGGGTACTCTGTTTCTCAACGCCGCCGTGGCTTTCGGACTGAACGTTGCTGTCGTCTTTCTGGTACGTCTTCGCGACAGTGGTCTTGTGAGCATCAGTTCGCTAACGCTTTCCAGATTGGCAAAACCTCCGCCCTTGTCCTTACCCTGTCCGGAGTCCTCAAGGATATCCTCCTCGTCGTTGCCTCGATGGTCATCTTCCGCGATCCCGTTACTCCTCTCCAGGCCTTCGGATACGCGATCGCCCTTGGCGGTCTGGTCTACTACAAGCTTGGAAGGGACGGTGTCAACAACCTTCTAGCCCAGGTGCGGTACCAGGTGCTTGGTGGCCCCCGCCCCGAGAACTAGAGTCGATTGTACATATGGTATGTTGGGAGTGGTTGTTGGTTGGCAGATTTAGAACGTAAATAGAATCGGGCAGGGCCCCAATTGTATCTTTATTTTATGAGGTTTAATTGCGAAAAGTGCGTGAGCATACTCCGTAGTCAGTAGGAGATGCCAGCATCTCTATCCTCAATACCTTGATCTGTGCGTCATCTTTCCCATATTCAAAGATAAACGGCAAGAACGGATCCCACACAGTTGCGTACCAAAGTCGCCGGACGCGACGCGCTTGTTTACTGCTCTTTACGGGTGGGTCCATCCTTCTTGCCTGAGGCAGAAGGCGGGGATCCCACAGCATCTCTATTATTCACCATAACTCTATGGCTCTGCAGACTTCGTTCGAGTCAGATCCCATTTGACTTGCTCATCTTAGTTTCGCAGGTTGCAATGAAGATATTACTCGTTAGTTTACTCTTGAAGAATTTGCTAGAACGCATCCCAACCACTGATATGCTTTGTCACATTCCTTACTACTCAAAATATATACACCTGCTCTCCTCTCCACTCATACTGATAAATTGCTACTAATGAGTGAACATCATCAGGTGTACTTTGCCCGAGCTTCCGTCCACTCAGGCTGATAACCCAATTTTGCTCCATTTAGGTCGAAACCCGTTCCATTGCCTGCATCGAAGCCACTCTCATACGCACCATAGCTGATCAGCTCAATGTTCTCCAACTTGGCTCCCGCATCCGTCTGCGCCCATAAGCTAAGGCCAATGGTGTTCTTGTCGCGGTTGTTAATGATACCAGGTGGGATGGGGAACGTTGTTTGCGGCCCCAGATATGGGACGTATTTGCCATATTGGTATCCGTTGATGAAGAGCTGGATGCGCACTGGGTCGACGGTTGATGGTGAGGTAAATTGGATACCCAGAGGAACGTCATACTTCTTGGGAAGGTCAAGGGTGAAGGTGGTAAGGTAAAAGGCGACCCCTGTTACTCTGGATCAGACATGGACAACAACGAGCAGCGAGTAGGTGTAGGTGCGGGTGTGAAGGATACTGATCCATACCTGACTTGTTGAGTCCATCAAGCGGTGATCCGTCCGTCCAGCCGTCCGATGACTTGGCCTTGTATCCTGGAAGATGCCAACCTTGACGCTCGGCCAGCAAGCCACCTTCATTCATGGGGGCTCTCACAGGGTCGAGCTCATATGCTCCTATTGTCACGAAGGGAACAATCTTCTTAGCCTAGTGCGATTGAGGAAAGGGGACCCACGGAGTTCTTACCAGCGGCACCTCCAGCGTTTCCTTGGATCTTCCAGCTTGTGAAAGAACCGCCATTGAGCGTTGCTCCGAGAAGTCCTCTAGGGTTTTCCACGCCGTCACCAGTAGACGTTTCGTCATGTCCGGTGTAGTCGATCTGGATGAGCTGGTTAGTTATGTCTCTCTAGACTAGCGTACCTGCGTGCTAACTTACCACAACAGTCAACAGATTATCCGTCTGCTTCAAGGTATGGTTGGAAAAGTCAATGGCCGCGTTAGATGAGGTTTCGTCGGCATCACCTGGGAGCGAGGCCACAAGATCGCCATTTAGCCAGACGTTCCAACCAAAGGCCAGACCTCCTTGCGCAGTCAGGTTTGCCCCAGTCACGTTAGTCCCATCGAACCGACCGCGATAGATCTTGATACCTGTGTAGTAGCCATAGTCGGACGCAAACAAGACAGGAAGGCTAAGTGGATCGACTGGACTCAAGGTAGTTGTCTTGTTGCACACCGTCCACTTGGAGTCATCATAGGAAGACTGGATCTCTGGCAGGGAGTCGCGAACTTTCCATCCTGTCAAACTTGGGATCGTGATGCTGCTGCTATCGGCGCCACCAATTGATCCTACAAGACTGCCATAGTCTGTCTTCGTGACGGTAATCTCCTTGCCGTTCCATTTGACGGCCTTCGCGGGAGAACCGGCGAATACTTCCACAGTGGTGGCGTTGTCATTGTCTCCAACCAGATCCACAACGCTGCCGGAGATACTAACGTTGCGCACTAGGTATGGCCCAAGCACGAATATTTGCTGTTCCGCTGTCACATATGGGTCTGTTGTGGTAGGTGGCGCCCAGAATCGGAATGCCGTTTCTGTCTCCACAAGATAGAAGATGGCGCCATTTGAGAACTTCACGACGCTTGTACCACTGCCTTGAGTGTAAGTGTATGAGGTAATGGTGCGATTACCTGAACTGCTAGTCAGGTTCACCGAGTCACCATATTCCTCGAAGGTCAGCTTCGTCGTGTTCTTGAAGGCAAAGGACACCACCTGTCCGGAGCGCGCATAGAGCACGACAACATCCGTGTCCCCAAACGTTCCGTATGTCGCGATGTCAGTTGATACATACAGGAGCGTGCTGTGACCGAGTGGGTAATCAGTCGAGATTACCTTGCTTTGCCTTCCTTGCAGATTGATGTTGGGCAAGGTAAACGCGCCCGCAGAAGTATTCACGTTCAGGGAGAAAGTGATGTCTGTCTGCGAGGACGTGGTATCCTGCTGTACGACATAGAAACCAGCGGTCGTGTTGGGGTTCCGAAGCACCCATGTGTATGCCGAGGTGGTAGATGTGTAGGAGGTGCCATTCCCTTCCATTTCGACTCCCAGCAGGCCAGAAGACACTCGCGTGAACAGACCAACGAGCTTCGTCTGGCTCAGTTTGTCCCTGATTTGTCTGGTCTCTCTGAGAGGAGCGCTGTAGTCGTCTACAGCTAGTCAGCGTGGCTGTGTATGCGGAATCAAGCGAATGAACTTACACGACGTATACACCACAGGTGCAGCCAGGTGGCCCCAGTTAGTTCCCCCGTACAGCATGTACAGGTTTTGGAGGGTGACCCGTTGACCAATATTGTTCTTGTAGTACACGTCCGCAAATTGTGGACTCAGCTCACTTGTGCACTGGTCGTAGAACGAGTCAGCGCCCCAGGCAGAGAACCAGCCACCTTCAAACTCAGGCAAGTATTCAGGCTGCGTGTAGCTAGTGTTCTGGAACCACTGATAATAGTTCCGTAGGACTGAAAAGCCCGTAGAAGGGTTGGTGCAGCTGAGCCCTCCCGGGTACGAGTCTAGGCCATAGACGTTGACCGCACCACCCACATCCTCATAGTCTGTCGACCAGCTTCGAGATCGCTGGCCCTTTTCGTTGCTGGTGAAGGGAACGTCCACGCCAGCAGCTCGGAAAGCCTCCTCGATCTGCTCCATATACTCGACCAAGGTATTGCTCGCAGAATGTGTGGTCTCCTGAAGTTCATTTTCGATCTGGTTGAGGATGACTGGTCCACCGTTGGTAATGGAATTGTCCGCAATGATCTTCCCAATGCGCTCAATCCAGGGTGTCCACGCCTGGTGATATGTCGCGTCGCTTGTTCGCAACTCACCACCGCTCCCGTCACTGAGGTATAAAGCTAGACCACCACCGTTAAACTCAGCATTACAATATGGTCCGGCACTGGCATGATGTCAGCAAATCCAAAGGGAAAGGTGGACCACGATAACTAACCGTGCGATGATGTAGATTCCGGCCTCTTGGGCATAGTCGAATAAGCGCTGAATATTGTGTGCTCCGGTCTCAAAGTCATATGTTCCATTGATCGGAGAGTGATAGTCCCAGAAGAAATACAGACTATGTGACAATTGTCATGAATTAGGGACCTGAAAGAACATTGAGACATCAATCATATTGCACAAACCTAACAGCATTGAAGCCATGTGCGCGCATCTTCTGAAAGACATCAAGCCACATTTCTGGAACCGGCAATCGGGGATAATGGAACTCTCCGGAATAGACAAACAGGCGATTGCCATTGACAGTTAGACTGTAAGGATCCCAGGCGACCAGGTCTGTCAGACCATCTGTAGTCGCCCAAATTTGGGCGACCAAAATCGCCCAGCATGAAAGTATGGACTGCAGCTTCATGGTGGGAAGAAAGCTGTTGCCGCACACGCGCAATACTTGCTTAGCACCTGCGCCATATTCTCACATTTTATAGTATCTGTGATTGCATTGCCGAGCCGGTTAAAGAATGGTGCGCTCGAACCCCGTTCGCGCTATTATCCACGCGAGAAAACGGTGAACAGGACATGGAGGGAAGTGGCGTGGAAGTTCATGCAGAAATGGCACGCATATGCAGGTTCAATAACTCGAACTGCCATGGGTGAGGTCCAGATGCAGGTGGATTGGTGGAAGAATACTATTAAATCCCAGGTCGGGCCAATTCTACCCCGATATTCATCACGTCAGGAGACGAGAGAACCGGGATATTCCCGGCGGGATTGCGGGGTAAGTAAAGGGGTGGCCGCATTCTTACAGCATCCATTTTTCTTCAGTTCTTTGAAGGATATCCTCCATTCTTTTACATATTGTAGGTGATTCAGCATATGCATTTCACCATGGATGAGACCTGAAAGAAAGGTTGAACTTTCGGCTTCCCCGCTAAGCTCGGACAGATGGTCTCCGACCTCCTTTGCGTTGCAAAAGTGACCCTAGAGAATAGCTGTCCTCTGTGATCTTATTGTTTACACGATATAGCCATTCTTTCTCCGGTGTGCTGGGCCGCGATAGCTACATTATGGCATCGTCGTCGGGCTAGAAGAGAGCTGGGCTACCAGCCGCACCTGGTGGAGACCAGATCGGATTCCACATTACTCAATGGAGTGGAGAAGCGGACACCAACAGCATTCTGTTGGGGAACTGACGGATATAAGAAGGTCTCTTCTTGCCGTAACAGGTGATATCATACGAAGATAGGTCACCTGGTGGGAGAGAGTCTGCTTGCCTCGGTGAGAGCACCGTGAAGCTCGCTATCTGCTGGCATCTACATTGATAAGATCCACCATAACTAAGCCACGACATACTATGTCATCGAACGACTACTTCCCGATCGGGATCGACAGTGGCCAGCTCGGAGACTGACTGCACTGTGGATAGAAGGGCAAGAAGTGGGCATCGCATCAAAGTTTGCACGGAAGCGCGACCCCTTTTGGGGCGAACCTCGGCAGCAGCTTATCGGAGCTTATCACTAATCGGGGCAGCCGCCCCACGGCAAGTTTTTCCGCTGCCGCCTGGCCTTTCTTTAAGGCTTCTGGAATCCCGCCTTTTTGTCTTGGGCGATCATTCATGCATAGACCATCATTATAGACTCTGTCGTTTTCTTTCTGTACATATACCTTCATTTAATTGCCCCTATCTTTTAATATCGCCACATGGAGGCTATTCGCTCGTTGGCGAGCTCCCTTTGGGAGTCCGTCACTTTCTGGAAAGCTGCTGCCGTCTTCTTTGCTTTGCTCAACCTGAAGACTCTCCCCATCATTTGGCATGTACGTCGCATTCGGACGCTTTGCGTACCATCATATTATTCATATCAGCTTGCTGACAACCCTAGGTCCGCGTTTACCGCTACTTCTTCAAGCATGGCTACCTCATTACCCCCGCCGTCGAACAGCCCGCCCGTCCCTGCACCGAGGTCCTCGAGCCCGTCAGCATCTACTCTCGCGCCCCCATTATGGAACTTGATTTCAACATGCACAAATCCAACTCGACCTACTTCTCCGATCTCGATGTCTCCCGTACCGCTCTCATGTCCAGCATCGTTGTGAAGGGCGCTGCGCTCCTGGAAAAGCGTCTGCAAGAACAGGGAAAGAAGGGCTTCTTGGGCTTCATTTTGGGCAGCGTCTACACCACCTTCAAGAGAGAGATCCCCGCCTACACCAAGTACGAGGTCAAGTCGCATGTGGCCAGTTTCGACCAGAAATGGATCTACATCGTCACCTACTTCCTGAAGCCTGGCAAGGGAAAGAAGTCCCAGGACGACCCCGAGGCGCTCAAGAAGAGACTCTACGCTGTGTCCATCAGCAAGTACGTCCTGAAGAAGGGCCGCTACACCGTTCCTCCCAAGGATGCTTTCGAGGCTGCGGGTTACACTCCTTTCCTCTTCGCCACCGCTGCTAATGGCCATGCTACTGGAGCTGAGAATGGACATGCCAATGGGGATGCTGTTCAGCGTAAGGAGACTACCGGTGCTGTTAATGGTACCTCGGATGAGTGGGAACGTCTGAAGGCCGAAATCGATCGGGGCATGACTGTTGTGGAGCCCATTGTTGAGCAGGAGGATAGGCTCCTGGAGGATTATGTTCACAAGATGACCAAGCCTGGCTTTGCCTAGAGGTTAGATGTGTCTGTGTTTGATAAACCGTTATAGATAGAACTTGTTGTACTGTAAAGGATAGAGCAGTAGAGCAGCACTTAATATGGCATTGGAGAATTTCTGTGAGACCGTTCGAAGTTGTTAAACTTGCGCTTTACTTGGTCAGGACACTCTCATACTATGCAGAATAGCGTACCCAGATCAGGTGACCGGGCGGTGTCTCGATATTCCCCAGCAGCATGTCTTTGTTTCTCCCTTCTCCTTGGAAGAAGGACGCGTCTTCAGACTTTTAGTCCAAACAAGTAATGGATTTTGATAATCTAGCGCTTAATTGCTTTGACGGGTTGAGAAAGGAATGGGTGAAACTGTGTTCCAGATCCGCCAGGGGCATCTGCGAACTGGCCAACAAGTATCGCAACCGAGATGATTGTCTGCTTCGATCAATGCACAGCGGATCATTAAACTTTAGCTTCCATCTACACTGGGATGATGGTGACGATGACTGGCTAATCCGATTTCCACTTCCGGGGAAATCCATGTTCCCCGACAAGAAAATCCGCGGAGAAGCCATACTCATGGAATACATTGCTGGCAATACAACCATTCCTGTTCCCCGGGTAATTGCATCCGGAACAGCAGACTAAAATCCTACAGGCCTGGGCCCGTACATTATGATGACGTGGGTTGAAGGGAGAAAGATGTCGGACGTCCTCCGCGACAGTAATTCATCCGATAAGGAGGAGACTCTCAACCCAGATATCGACGAGGGAACGCTCAAGGCGTTGTACAGGCAAATGGCACGGGTATTACTGGAACTGTGGATACTTGACTTCGACTGCATTGGTAGCCTGGATAGCGACCAAGTGACTGGCAAGCCACAAGTAACCAAACGGCCTTTAACCCTGGCTATGAACGAGCTAATCCGGACATGCGGGCTGAAGGATATTACTCCACCGAGAACTTATACCAGCTCCACAGACTACATCGTCTCGCTTCTTGAGTTGCAGTCGAATCATCTTCGACAACAACGTAACAGTATCTACGACGCCATGGACTGCCGCGAGAAATACGCTTGTCGCATTTGATGAAGGCCTCAACATTCAATTTTCTCTCCCATGAAGATAACCATGGCACCTTCAAATTATTCTGCGATGATTTATGCCCTGGGAACGTTCTAGTGAATGACTCCCTTCAAATCACCGGGATCATTGATTGGGAGTTCTGCTACGCGGCCCCGGCCCAATTTGCCGGCAGTATCCCGTGGTGGCTACTTCTGGAACGACCTCATCGGATCATCTACAACTCCGGCGTGAACGCGTTTTTTGATGAATTCTTACCGAAAGCAGACCTTTTCTTGCGGTGCATGGAGGCAAAGGAGACAGAACAGGGGATCAACCCTTCTAAATACAATCTATCGGCACGCATGCGGCAGTCGATCCAGGACAGAAGCGCGTGGTTCAACATGGCGTGTCGCATGGTACCATCAGTCGACATGATATACTGGGACTTACTGGATGAGTACTGCTGGGGCCCTCGCAAGTCAATTGCTAGAAGAGTATACAACATCACCACCACCCCAGAGATGCATAAAGCTCGGGAGGACTTTGTCAAGGCAAAAGTAGAACAGCTGCAGCAATATTATATGGAGCTTGGAGACGACAACATTGTCACCTACGAAGAAGAACAATTCAGTGAAATGGAAGCCTCTATAGAAGAATCTACAGTAAGTTATAGTGGATTTCTTTTCTACGTATTTTACTGTTCTCAACTCGAAATGCAGAAACTTCAACTGGGGAAGAGTGGGAGCCTTTTCCTAGTAACTGCTATTGGTCTTACAGCTTTTGTATTGACTACGGCGCATATCATCATGAGACGGGGTCGTCTGTGATTGGAATCTGGAACATAAGTCTTCTGTGCCTCCTTAAAGCCCAGAGGCCATCTTGCACAGTTTCTGGATAGTATAACAGAATGTTGATTCGAAAATCGAAGCACCTCCCACAATTGCAGGCTTAAGCCGGGTGGGGGTCAACTACTTCCCTGCGTGATAAGTACTATTAACCAATTCGACTGATTAGCTCTGCAAAAGATTAACAGTCTACACCCTGGATCCACCGACTTATGCTAAACAAGAGGGAAGTCATTGGCTTGACAACGATGTGCAGTGCAGACCGGGTCACCTGCTTTTGTTTGATTTGGTTGTTCCTTCCTTGGTTTGAGATTACCAACCCACAACCAATTACGATTCCCACTTCAGTTCACCACCTCTCTCAAGCACCGACACGTCCCTCTACAAGTTAGTTGTAACTTTTTATGCCTTGCCAGATACTAAAAAGCAGATATTATTCACGAGTATTAAGCTCAGGTATCAAACAACTATCTCTCGCATCCACCAATCAACGTATCACCACAACAATTAGACTTCATCGTCAGAGAACCCCTGAACGAATACTACACGCCTACCAATAGCTATACCATATCTCAGGACCGATCATTTCTCATTATATTCCTGCGAGTGGTTCTCCGCGTGCCCTTCCGCCAGATTCTCCGCATGCTCATAGAATTTGGGCAGTGGTTCCAACTTCTGCCGAAGCACCCAGACACGGAAATGCCACCATGCATTCTTCAATTGGTAGGATGCATGCTTGCGCGTCGAGACCGAAAACACTTGGTCAAGCTCTTCAAGTGTAAGTTCTATCCAACGTTAGCTTTAGCCCTTAGCTTTGATGGCGAAACCCAACACTTACCTTTAGTCTCTGGCACAAACAGAAGAACCAAAAACCATCCAATCACACACCACGCGGCATACCATCCGAACGCACCCTGAGGCTTGAACGCTCTGAGGAGCATAGGCCAGGTGAATGACAGGATAAAGTTGAAACACCAAGTTGTCGCAGTGGCCCATGACATGCCAACCTCACGTACCTGCAGTGGAAATGCTTCGGCAGAATAGGTAAATGGCACGGGTCCCTCACCCGGGGAATAGAATACCTCGAACAGATACAAGCCCGTCGTGACCATTCCCACCCGCTTTTTACTGGTTTCGTTCCACGGCTCAATCCAGAATGAGAATCCGGTCCAGAGAAGCCAGATGGCTAAGAATGGAAAGGTAAAGAGCAGAAGATTTCGACGGCCCCATGTGTCAATGGTGAAAAACGCGGGGAGCGCAAAAACCCAATTCAGGATACCGGTTCCCATACTGGCCAATAGGGCTTCCTGGATACTATATCCGGAATCTTGAAAGATGGTTGTGGAATAATAAGCTATGACGTTGACTCCACAGAATTGTTGGAGAAACATGACAATCCAGCTAGCAAGCGTGGCGCGACGATTGCGTGGGACCGTAAAGAGCTCGAGGAACATGGAGAAGAAGTTCTTCCCGGTGTTGACTTTCCGCTCCAGCTCCACCTGAACGTACGCGTAGTACAAGTCTCGGGCCGCCTGCAGATCCGACGGGCGGAGAGTGCGGAAAGACTCGAAAGCCTTGTTGATTCGGTTATGCTGGATAAGCCATCGAGGGGACTCCGGGCAGAAGTAGACTTGCGCGCAGACGACGAGGGGCAGGACCACGGTTGATCCGAGCATGAGACGCCAGGAAAGATCCCTCGACACGCCCATGAAAGCAACGCCCATGATATTACCAAGCATGATGCCAAATGCTGTCCACATCTGCCACATCATCACAAGGGCACCTCGGATGGGAGCCGGGGAGCATTCAGCCGCATACACAGGCACGGTAGACGATTTGGAACCGATTCCAAGACCGAGGACAAACCGTGCGATGAAGAGGTTAACCCAGGAATTAGCCACGCCTTCCCAGATGGAAGCTACTGCCGCGATGAGGCAAGACCAGAAAATCGTGCCCCGTCGCGCCAGGTACCTGTTCATGGGCTCGGTGAGCCAGCAGCCGAGAATAGCACACGCTAGATAGGGGGCGCCAACGACGAGCCCAGTAAGATAATCTTGCATTTGGTCTGAAAAGCGGGGAGCAGTAATCCCAAGTTCCTTGCTTGTTGTTAGCACGGACCGTTTGAGCATAAAGGCAAGGGAGCACCTACATCGAGATAGATGGCCTGGGCGCCATTGTTGACGGTCTCATCCATACCTTGTACGGCGGCTGCGAGAGAGCACATGGCTTTATAGAAGCATCGTCAGCACCGGGACAGGGAAATGCCATGATGGATAGTACCGGGGAAAACCACTTACAGGCCATGAAGTAGAGCTGCCAGGGCTGCGACCATTTATGCGTCTGTTCCCGCCGGAGGATCTCCTTGTCCGCCTCGGTCAAGTCGGGGAGGTCCAATGCGCCTTGCGGGTTTTGTGAAATGAGGGCGCCTTTACGGAAATCGTCCAAGTGAGCTTCGAGACCGTACTGGCGACAAAAGCGCTCTACGTCGTTGAGGAGTTGCTCCCGAGGAACACCTGCTAGTGGGTTCTCAAACACGGCATTAAGACCGCCCGATCGCCCTTCGATATCCAAGACATCGTGTCGCTGCTGCGGTTTTTCCGCGTGCTCAACGCTGGCAGGATTTTCGTCCTTCTGTACGGCCTTTGCCGTGACCCCTTCTCCTTCCATTATGAGGGATCCACTGAACACGGAATGTGCTCACAGTAGACGCGGCTAGAGTCTTGCTGACGAGGTAAAGAAACACGACGCAGAGGGGGAGGTGGTTCAAGTAATGGAGAGGAACCGGAAGGCCGATACCCTGAATTTTCTACGCGACTGTGGCTTGGAGGCCAACAAAAACATACTTCAGTCGCAGGACTTGGGACTAGCAGTTTGACAATCACCTTTCAGGGATAATCAAAGCCCCCGGGGGTGGTGGGAGACACCGCGGCCATTTATCAAATCTCACGCGAGAGCCTTGCCCTCGGCGGTGGATCCGTCAGTGCATTCGCCGAATGACGACGAGACAACGACCTGGCCAAAACGGTGCATGGGCACAGAGTTCGACTAATCGTGGAGTTCTTTGATGCGGCATATACCGACCGCGACGCGGGTGCGAGCCAACCAGACGGCACCTGGTTGGATTGGCAATGCTTTGAGCACAAGGCTCCGTTACATCCTAGTCGATGTGGGAACGAAACAATGGACTGGATTGGCCACATTGGACCAGGATGGCTGATTTCATGCCGTCATTCAAGGATGCATTAAAGGAGGTCAGTCTTCCGCAAAGGAGGGGTTGAGGGGAGCACCGAGTCCGGCGCCTATGGTCGCGGTCGGGCGCCGACAAGACATAACCCTAGATAGGTATGAGGAGATGGGAAGGTCCAAGTCAACCATGGATAAGGTCAGTGTACTATGGACGACTGAATAGCGTTGAAAGCAGCACCCCGGCTGGGGAAACCCCACGGGGATTGGTAGGCCAGTCCAGATGGACGGGATGCAGCAATGGTCAGGCCACGAGACAGCCGTGGGTCTGCCTAACCCAACTTCGGTTGCTTACAAGAGATATGATTTGAGTTGAATCCCACGCTACGGAAAGCTAACGTGAGCCGGTCGGAGGTTAGTGTCAGTTTAGGGAAATTAATGGGATCGCTTGTAGGATTGCCTGAATGGCTACATGCCGGGATTCCCCAATGCGGCGATGAATCGGCCTCAGGCCCCCACGGATGGCCACGTGATCTCCAGCTTCGAGGAGTGCAGGACATCCCAACAGGTGACCCGACATCAGGAGTTTACTTCGTACTGCGTGAATAACTCTTTTGACTTCATGGGTCATTGGTTGCTTGTGTCGCATTGGCTCCCTTGGCGGTCTTCCATCTGATCCAGAGCACGTAGGTGGCGGCCGATCTATCCGACGTGGCGCTGCCGGCCAAAGCTACCAAAGCTTCCCACGGCTCCTGGGGCTTGCAGATGACCGCGCCCAGCTCTTGGCTCGTCCAATCGCTGTCAGTCGCCCGCAAGCCTTCCTGAGTCGAACGGAAACATAGCGGTCGGAGTAATCCGGCAGGGAGGCATGGTCTGATAGCCTCCCTCTCTCTCATCTTCCCCCCATCACATGGAAGACAGTACTAGTACCTTGCACTGACGCGCACTCTCAGCCTTAAGGCTCAAACACGAACATAATTCCTTGCTCTAGGAGACGCTTAGATGTCCATGCATCAGTCCACGTGTGCTGAGAGAGGGGACGCCTAATTGGGCGTCATGCAACGAGCCACAATGTTATCAAGCTGGCCGTCAAGACATGAGGTTACGCTAGACACAAGCGAAAGGTATGGATTGCGGGGAAAGGGTGGAGAAATGGGGGCGGAAATACGCTGTCAATTGCCCTCCTTGCGGCCTAGAACTCAGGTCCCAGCAATTCCGCGGGGTGCGCTTCGCAGAATCAAATCGAGTGCTCAGAAGCAGTGATACATTCACATGGTAGTGAGCCCTGGCATTACCGAATTATCCCAGCGGTATACAGGTCGCATAATATCTCGTATTGATTAGCAAGGAGGTTGTCTTACACCTCCCGGCGAAGATCATTACCCGCCTTGGGTGGTCTTATATATTCCGTTCTAATGACTGGGTGGGCAATTGGCAGGACGGTTATACCCACATTACATCGCATGATACAGGTGTTGGGCCCCCAGAAGGGATAATGGAGGTAGAGCAGGATAACACGAAGTCAAGACTGATGTGTTTCGAATTCAATCTTTTGCCTCCTATCCGATTCTCACCTGGATATAGCCCGCGCCCGGAAACGGTTACACACGATGTAAAACCCGCTGGTGTCAACTACGTCGTCTTCTCCCAGCCACCGTGAAAATAAGCAAGCAACTAATTTTCGCCAAGTTGCACGCCTGTAAGCCACATGGATCTTTGACTTTCCACAAACTTCTACTGAAGTAAGGCGGTGGGTCACACTTTTTCCGGCCTCAGCCACTGCCGGAGGGGACAGTGCGCAAGGACACAGCACTGGCAGGCTTCAAATTTGGACCATGGCACTGAGAACGGCATGGCAGGTACGGATACATCGAATGCTTTTTTGTGCTTTTGAGCTTAATTCTCGTATTTTGATGGCACCCCTTACCTGCTCGGTTGCGGCTTATTCTGATTTTTCGGAGCAGGAATTAGGCACGAACGGCTGGTCGTGAAGTATTCGTTCTGTAGCTGGTATAATTCAAGCAATTGGGCCAGATGGCAGGCCCCCATACCCATATCACATACACGGGAGCAAGAGAACCACGGAATGTGATTCGTGAATCTGAAACTTGAATTTGTCTATGAATGACCGAGATATTGGCGCCATCTGCCAACTGGGTCAGCTTCCTGAAACCACGCCGTGAGAAGAGGACTGTGCTTGGAAGGAGAAAGCATGCGACCGGCTTATACAATGCCAATGACTTGCCTCCTACCATGTCGGGACTGAACTCAAACTTCAGGTGAAACTGGGTATGGAATTGATCAATATACTTTCAGCACGGGTAGTGGCCTACGTTCAACTAGAGCCTCAAGCAGGTAATTGCCGCAAAGAGGCAGATCATTGTAGGCGGTACAATCGCTTCGAAGATGGCATTTGTTATGAGTGTGACATGCGTGTTACCTGCAGCTGGATGTCGATCCATGCCGGATTGTTTCAATGACAGGTCCAGAGCCCAGTTTGGGTGGATCATTGATCTGACTTTTCAAAGTCACGGGAGGTCAACTAGACCACCTCAAAAAGCATCAAAGTAGTAATATTGTGCCTACGGTACATTTTTTTCCGACTCAAGTCTAGTTGTGATAGCTATTTCTCTGGATGAACAGCACCTATGTCACATCACTCGCTGGAAGGAATGTCGGTCAAGATGTATACAGGATGGCAATGCATTTCACAGATTTTCGCATTAACTTCTCGGCCAGCTTGCTACTACAGAAACTACTACTCGTTACTGGTTAACTCAGCTTTATAACAGAATTACCATGGTTCATTGATGATTTATCTCCCTCTATTGGCGGGATCTAGTGTCCAGAAAGTGAGCAGGCACCGACAGAGTTCTTTTATCCGGGAAGTCCAAAGCATGATCTTGATAGCTGAGTTACGTGGCGTCAGGCACTCTGGGAATAGCGTCATATGACGCATCGCACAATTCACAATACAGTCTGATATCAATTCGAGAGGTCAATGTGGTTTCCTAACGTGGCCGTTCTTTTTGCTCCTGAGCGAAGTAGCGATCTACCAATTTCTCGATATATCTATCTCCGATGAGTTCTTTTTCGCACTTAATAATGGAATCATTCGATCGACTAAAACAATCCCCTTAGAATACCGTGCCTTGTTCCCTATCATCGGAATCATGTCATCCTCCCACCTCTGGCTCTACGCTTCATCCCGCCTCCGAGACCCCACCGTCACAGACGGGGTCTTTAGTCAATGGTACCAAGAGCACCACGTCCCGGACGTGCTAAAGACAGGCTCCGTCCGAAAAGGAGAGTTTTTCCGAGCTATAGGACCGCAGAAACAGTTCCGCTGGCTTGCGGCATACGACTGCGACGATTTGGATTTCATGGAGCCGGAGAACTTTGCTCGCATCCCGAAAACACATAGCATGCTGGGCACGACCAAGTCTTGTTTGGAATTTGCTGAATTCGATACGAGGATCTTCCAGCAACTCTTCGTACTCAAGAACGGCGAGGGGAACGAGACGGGAAACACTGGTATGTGTGATATCTCGACACGGTGTCCGTGGTACTTCTTCGCTAATATAGCTGTTTTATATGTTAGGTTCCGACCGGTATCTCCTAACATGTACCTTCCACTGTGATGACACCGATTATGAGGCGCTCGAGAGCCGCTGTATCGATGGGGATATTTTACATGCTTTTCCGGGGTCGCGATGGCTGAAGATCTCGAGACCGTTCGAGGACGATGATACGTATCTCGGGTTTATGATCGTGCAGGCACTCGGGGACGTTGAGCCCAAGGATTTGATCTCTTTGGAGGATAATTGGCGGTCATATTTGGCGGAGACGTTGGGGCTGGAGAGGCAGTTCTTGCAGCCGCATTTGTGGGAGCTTTTGAGACGGTGTGAGAATGGTTCTTAGATGCACTGGTGTTTTGTGTGGATCTGGCGAGTTGTATTTTTGTTTGATAAACAATTCGGCGAGGGTGTTTGGTGATATTGGTTGACTTAGTGAGATTTAGACCATATATCTCGAGATATATATCTCGATATCATGAGAGAAAGCAGTGTCCCAATTGAGCCCAGACATCTTTACATGATGTTTGTATTCGACCAAACTTTTACTTATAAATATACGATTCGCAGCACATGACCGGTCACAAAAGCTGACAATTGTAGCTGACCATGTCGAGATTACTTGTGGCGCACTTGACAGTAAACGGAACCAATCAGGTCATGCAGCTAGTACACTATAGTATACCTGAGGGCATTCGGACAATGATGACGCTACTTGTGCCACAGATTTGGTGGTGGTGTGCGACATTAATGGAGAGACCACAGGTATTGAACTACGAAGAAATATTTCTAATTGAGCTTATTGAAATGTCAACGCAGGCTCATCCCCTTGTGCACTTCCTTGCAAGTTCCTCATTTTTGCCACGTTCAATCAGATTTTTGTTCTCCGGACAAATTTCCTATTGATGATATGGAGAAAGAATGTCCCTAAAAAGTATTGAATCGCATCGACTCCATACCACGTTATGTTTGTACATCCAACCCCTCGGTCATAGCCATACTCATCAACTATTCCATATATTTGTCTAATTCCCTTCAGATGATCGCTGAGTTCACGGCTCCACCGGCTTTTGCCCGATGCAAACGACCCTAGTAGCCACCACGGCAGCGCCAGCTGCAGCTTCCAGCGATGCTTGGTGGACGATCTGCGAGAATTCCCTTGCCTCATCGACCTTTCCTTTCCTAGCAAGTGTTCGGGCAGTTTCTTCGCAAGTCACGATATACCCCTCGCAGTCGGCCTTTAGATATTGCTTCAAGTTTTCATATCGATCAATACCCGTCCTTTCCAGTCCCTCTTGTTCAAATCTCTGCGGAAGACGACCTATCCAGTCCTGCCGTTCGCCTGTATTCCAGAACCGAGAGAGATATTCCAATGCTTCGGTTTTGAGTTCAGGCCTGGCTTTGAAGATCTTGGCCTCTCGAATGTTCAGGTCATCCCATTGAATCCATCCTCCGGGCTTTAGCATGCGGATGATCTTCTGGATTATGGACGAGGGGTCCCCATTCTGGATGACTGGTAGGAGTAATCGCAGATGCACAAGATCAAATTGTCCCACCAGCTCTTCGGGTAAATCTTCGAATATGTTCCATTGGCGCAAGGTGATGTTAGATGGGAGCCACTCCACTGGAGGCGCCATGTCGAGTGTGACATCGAGGCCGTCAAGGGTCGCACCCGGAAGCTCTTTCGCCAGGTCTATGAGCCAGATAGCTGTGCCTGTGGCTACATCTGCGATGCGGGGATTGGTTGTCTGCAGGGACTCTCGGATGGTCGGGTGGATGTTGAAGCCGAGGTGCTCTTTCCAGAAGTGAAATATCCCATTGAGTCGGAATGCTGCTGCGGTTCCGCTACCAAGGCCGTAGCCGAGATCATCCGAAATGCGATAGTCGAGCTCGGTTTTGGAGGAAGCCATTGTAGGTATCTCTGATCCTTGTACGTTGATGTTTGTCTGGTCAACATGGGTGCTGCTGGAGAAGGTTAAGGATACGGTGGCTGGGTGATGCGTGCCGATCAGTGTGCCCAACGTTGGTGATAAGAGCCACTAATGCAGCCGCACCCAATGTAAAGAGGCAATAGGCAACATCATACACGAGCGGTGAAAATCTAGAGGGTCAAGATACGTCAAGTCTTCAGCGACAGGCCTGAGTCTATACGAATGGTGTCCTTCACGCAGTTTACAGCACCTCTCATCTCCGAAGAGACAAGAAATGTGACACACTCTCGATTACTGGTGATTGCACCCAGTTTTGCTTTTCAGAACTTTATCTTTCGAAACTTCTTTCCCATTCCTGACTGACGCGAGCAAAAGTATAAAAGGCTCCATGATTTGTTGTGAGCTATGACTTCACAGGGATAAGCATGCGGGTAATCGAAAGCCACCTGCCAGACTGCCTAGCACAGGGTTCGGGTGGTTTATCCGACGTGAGGATGAGTCGTGAAGACTGCAGTGTCTTTACATGCTTAGCCGGGTTCCTGAATGTAAAGAAGATCCTTGCGAGGAATCAATACTGCAGCCTCGAGTATGTCGAACTCTAGCGGGCGAAAGTTTTGCCAGTATTCAGAGATTAATCATCCGTCGACTCGAGTCATGCGATGCAAGCATCGAAACTGACTAGAACCCGCCGCAACATATACTACTCCTCAGGTAGTTTGACTAGATGGTATGAAGCCCCACCAGACGTTAAGCGAAGAATCATTTCTGTACCAGGAACGGGAGCAAGTGATGCTCCGATGGTCTTCTCGTGGCACGACGAATTAGAAGGACGGATGTTTTGTGCGTCATCGGCTCGGCCATGGCAGTGGAAAAGCATCCACAACTGCCCGATATTGGGCTTTCAGTGGCCGAGGGAAAACAGAGGATCTGACTAAGCGGCACTTCCACCAATTGTGCAGCAATCATTGCCGTTTCGAGATGTGAAGAAGCTATACGCAGCCACTTCTGTTTTGGACTGCGCTTCGCCTCGAAGATACAATGCAGGCTCATGTCTGCTTCGGAAGGACATCTTTGGGTGTTTTCGGCAGCCCGTGCTTCTATCATTTGCATGACTCCACCCGTTGCAGGGAAAAATTCGGACACCACAGAGCCCGGACGAGATCACAACCCGACAAACCCTGCCATTTTCCACGTAACAACTTCTCCCGTGGCCTACCTCGTCGAAGCATTACGAATCACTATACAGATATAGTGTCAATGATAGAGACTAAATCTCAAGTCATGGCCTTGGCCTGGCAGATGAAACCACCAAGCCACCATCCAGAATCGGCGGAAGCAACAGCCAAGGCGCGAAGACTACCCCAGACCCGTGGACGCTGTCTGGAACCCTGATTTGATAACGTCAGACGCTCCATGTGTACTAATTGCACCGCAATGATTCGTGTTGCCTGTCGATCATCCACCTTCCAGGGTCAAGTTCCCTGAGCTTCTATCCTCCGCTGCGGATCCACGTACGCGGCGCCAAGAAGCTGCCATTGCCCAGCCGGCATCTCGGAACTTCCTCTAGGGCTTCCAAGTGCCGTCAGGGTACGTGATGACGAGTCCCTAGTTATTCGAGATATCAGAAAGATTCACTAGGGACCGAGTACGGCTCACAGGGTAGCCCGACGGCCACGCCAGTATGGGACTGGATGACGCGGCTATAGAAGAGGCATCAACAATGTTGAGCATATAAAACCAAACCCTCAGCCACGACTTGGAGGTGCATCAATAGCACGATCACAGCTCAATCATCTTGATCATTCAAGCAGCTTCATCATGCATTTCTCCAAGCTCCTCACTCTCACCGCAGCCACTCTGGCCTTCGCCCACCCCGGCGAGAAACATGACCATGAGGCCGTCAAGCGGGAGATTCGCCTTCGTGATGCCCTCGCTGAGCAGGCTAGACACGGAGTCAACGCTTGCTCCAACAGCCAGCAGGCTAGACAGGTCCAGCAGCGCTCCGTCTCTCGCCGTGCCAACACTGCCCGTGAGCTGCGCTCCAAGCGGGGTGTGACTGCTGGTAAGCAGGCCTGAACGGGCAAACCGTGATTGCATCGTCTAACCATAGATAGCTCCCCACAAGTTCCGCCGTAACCTCGCTGCCCTCGAGAAGTGGGAAGCCATCAACCACAACAAGACCGGCATCCTTGACTACTCCCCTCAGACCTCTGAGGCCGACATCTTCGGCGCCAACACCAGCTCCATCCTCACTCCCACCATCACTGATGGCCCCTACTACGTCTGGGGAGAAGTGATCCGTCAGAACGTCAAGGAAGACAAGTACTGTGATGGTGTCGACCTCTTCCTCGAGGTGCAGTACATCGATGTCAACACTTGCCTGCCTGTGCAGGGTGCTCTGGTCGACATCTGGAACGCCAACGCGACCGGTGTTTACAGGTATGGTTCTGCTCTCGTCGTATTATTTGACCATAGCTAAGTATGTAGTGGTATCTCCACCAGTGGCAACTACGCCGCCGACGGCTGGGACTCGACCTTCCTCCGCGGTATCCAGGAGACCGATGAGGATGGTGTTGTCACCTTCCAGACCATCTTCCCCGGTCACTACGACGGCCGCGCCATCCACACCCACCTGCTGACTCACCTCAACTCGACCATCAACCGTAACAATGGCACCCTTCAAGTGGGCACCGGCAGCGTCGCCCACATTGGCCAGCTCTTCTGGAACGAGGTCCTGCGCACCGCCGTTGAGAACACCTATCCCTACACCACCAACACCCAGGACATTACCAGCAATGCCGACGATATGTGGAGTGTCGAGCAGGCCACCAGCGCCTACGACCCCTTCCCGGAGTTCCTGTACCTCGGTGACCGCATCGAGGACGGCTTGTTCGCCTGGATCCAGATCGGTATCAACACTACTGCCGACTACACCGACAACTCCTACTACAGCATTGCCGCGTACTACGATGAGACCGGTGGTCACGAGAACACGGAGAGCTCTGCCATGGGTGGCGGTGGTGGTTCTGGTGGTGGTGCTCCTTCCGGCTCCATGTCCGGTGCTATCCCCTCTTCTACCAGTGCTTAAGAGGTGTAAAGGTTGCTGAGGGTGCTTTCAGGGGACGAGGTTTACTTTCTACTGTAATAACATTTTTCTCATATATGTATTGGGTAGTTAGACAATAGACTTCTTACTGGTCTCGAATCAATACTTCACTGGCCTGTCGATTCAACGTTTTAGCATCAAATAGGTTTCTTGACTAATGATGTAAAGATCGTTCTATACTATGTAGCACACAGTGTGGATCGCATTATGTTGACCCGACATGCGCCTTTCACCGAGACTTGCATCGGTTAGAGTGAGCCCGGAACTCTGGCCCGCCGCCGAAAGAACAACCAAAGCGCGCCTTGACCCTGACCAGCTGCTCCATCCGACCGACTATCAACAGCTGCTGTGCAACGTCAACGCTCAGACCCGTGGATATTACATCGAATCCTGTCAATTCATTTCCTAGCCACGTCTGCTAAGCTTTTGGGCCAGTAAGCACTATTATGCTAGCCAAAGCTTGGATGAGACGCACCATGGCCGAGTTGCTGCACAGGGAGCAGCCAACAAGCAGGAAAATCCCTCAGATCCTTGTCCAGCCCTGTTCAGCCCTATCGGGAGGGCAGATGCATCCCTGTTAGGGGGCCAGACGGGCTGATAGCGTCATTTCGCCCTGCACAATGACCTACTCAACTGCGAGTGTCCATGTCTCGAAGAGTAATTACCTCTGTTGCCTGCTCAGCTGATTCCTGCTAGGCTAGCTCGGTGTGGTGGATTTTCCTACTTTTCTCCACAACCATCCACTTTTCATGGGGAATAATGGTCAGACTGTTATTCTTATTTCACCCAATATGGCACCAAGTCTTCGCATTGAGGTCAATCAACAGTCGCATCAAAATCCTACATCCCCAGATTATGAAGGAGTGAATATAGCAAGTCGCAGCCATGTTATCACGGATGGTCACCTTGACGGAAATGTTATTATCTTCATGCCAGGCAACGAGACTGCCAATTCATCGCAACAATATCTCGTTGAGGTTACCTTCGAAGGTAATCTCCCTACCAAAGAAACTCTTCTCCGGTTCTAAACCGCTGCATCAGGCCATTTATCTGCAGCAATCAACTTGAATATTTCAACACAGCTACTGCGACTGGCAAAAAACATCACTGTACAATATCCCTCCTGCTCTCTCCGACAAGGTTTTTATTAACTTACCCTCAGCTCCTCCGAGCATCCGATGTGCGCGAACTATCACAACAATCCACCACCAACACATCCTCACGCACAATCCTACATCCATTCCACTTCACCATCCCCCAAACCGCCAACTTTGTCACTTCCGACCAAAATGCCTCCACAACAACCTTACCGCCATCGCTCTCCTTCAAACCCATGCCAGTCTACAACTCCAACGATCTCATCCTACGCGGACAAGGCCGCATAGAATACTTTCTCAAAGCCCGACTCTTCGACCACGGGAATTGCATCGCCGAAAACGAAGCGCCAGTAACGTTCGCTCCAGCCCGCGAATGTCCTCCTCCCATTTGCATCTCCGACTTTCCCGGCGAGTACACCCTCGCGTCGTCACGACGTGTGCGCGATCGTTTACATCACCGTGATTTATACTATCTGTCCGTTCAGACGGGGGAACCTGCTCCACTGTATCTAGGTCGCTCGACCATGGTATCTACGGTAGTTCCGTTAAAATGGAACTATCGCTGTTTGGTTCCGTCGCAACAGCACGCAAATGTTCCCGACATATATGCCACCATCCAGACGTCACTTCGCGCGACGACATTTGTTTCTGTTTCTCCTCAAGATCGGATTCCATTAGAGGAGGACGCTAACAAGCTGTTGGACTTTAAGCTTGTTGCGAATACAACGGGGACTAGTCTCACGCAGGCGCGGAAGTTGCGCATTGCATCGTGGGGGAATCTGGATGGTGGAGGGCCTTATGGAACGCGTATGTAGCGCACTCTGTCGGCGTATAGTTGTTCAATCGCTAACATTTGCGAAACTAATAAAAAGAACAAACAACAACATACCAAGCAATCACACCTCTGATTCTCAACTTCGACGCCCGCGATTACCTCCCTCCTACATTTCACCATCCGTACATCTCCCGACGGTACAGCCTCTCTATCTCCGTTTCGGTCGATGTCGATAACTCAAGGCATGCGAGTTTGCGATTGCGGGTTCCCGTGCAGGTGTCATATGAACGGGGCGAGTGTCCGATGGAGTGGAGGGAAGACGAGTCATTTCGACCAGATTCTGGCATTCTTCCTCCTTATATCAAATGACGACTAGCTATTCGAGGTATATTCAAAATGAAAACTATAATGACATCCAAAGTGAGCCTCACACGATTGTGTGCGAAACTACTTTGCACTAGTATCGCGGAATTGGATGGTCCTTGTGCATTGAGTTGCAGATATAGTGTGTAGCCCATCAAACTAGCAGAGACATCCCAGGTAGATATGGATACCAGCAGCAACGGACGAATAGCATCAATCACCTACGCATGAAGCATGTGTTGTAGGGTGATCCCGGAAATTCACAACTGGCCCTACGGCTAATCGGCAACGGCGTGGCCATTGCACCATCGCATCGCTCAGCCCTATGCCGTGCTAGAAGCGGGGTAAGTTAAGTGATTGGATCGGTTTCTCTATGCCCCTGTCGGGCTTAATTTCGGGGGTTTCACGGAGTAATTATGCATGTCGTCCTTACTAGCCACTAATAGTGGGTTGTTGGGGTCTTCTGACTGGTGTCCGTAGACGGTCGCGTTGAGGCGGGGTGGGGAAGCATGTATCTCTAGAAAGAAGGGAAGCGGTCATAACAATGGGAGGAACCTCTGAGGTCCTTACCGTATGAAGGTGCTCGTTTAATGAGAAAATGAACTGTCCATGTATATGACGCACAGTCTAAACCATTCTCTCTCACATAATATCACATATCACATACATAATCTCATACCATATATATAGTATACATCTACAACGACAGCACCAACTGCCTCAACTTCTCAAAGTCAGGAAGTCCCAATCCAGTCACCGGATCCCATCCGACCGTGGCATTCCAGTGCGCCCACGGGATAATGCCCGCGCCGGCAACAGTCTCATCATTCTGCGGATCAATGCCATTGCATCCGATCGACTGGCCCCCCGTCACATCAGTCAACGCTCTGTACCCCTTGCTATAGAGCAGGGGGTTCAAGAAACCCAGCGTGGACTTGCCCGCCCGCAGACGAGCATCGTTCAGCATGCCCACTAGCGCAGAGAAAAGGGGACACGCGGCTGAGGTACCGCCGGAGCCGTAGCGGGCGCCGTAGAAGATAACCTCATATCTGCAGATGTCATTAGACCCTATTTCGTATTATCATGATGCTGGGAATGGACTCACGAAGGCTCAAAGCTATGGGCAGCAACGTCAGGAAATCCGCGACCGCTAAAGTTGGCGAATTGCGAGTAGTACTGCTTGGTCTCGTTGGTGATGTGGTGCGCCAGGTAGTTCTGCACAGCTTCCTTCTGGAACCACGCCCGCTCGAAGTAGTTGCTGAATCCGCCGGAACTGGCTTCCCAGGCGATTTCGGGGGCATAGGACATTGTTCCTCCCACGGCAGTCACGTAGGGACAGGTGGCCGGGAAGATGGGGTTGAATTGGGTTCGGTTGGTGCCGTCGGTGGTTCGGCAGCCAGATCCGATACCTGTGCTGCTGTTAGGGTATTTTCGATGCAAGGAATAGGACAGGGGAAGTAAGTGTACCTTCGTCACCGGACGACTCGAGGACACTGATGCCGCGCAGGCCAACAAGTCCGATCAGGTTGCAGACTCGCTTGGCGTAGTACTCTGGAACGGTCTGGTCCGGTTAGTATCTACATACAGGGAAGGGGGAATGTGGGGTCGTACCTGTTCGTCGTCACCATAGGAGTTGGAAATCACTTGGGGCAGAGCCGAGTTGGGCTTGGAGAGAAGGTACTCATAGTACTGGAGGTAAGGCTCGTTCTCGTTGTCGGCGGCACTCGGCTCATCGGGGTCGGGAATGAAAGGACTACACAATTAGCTTCGATTCAAGCTCTGTCTAGGAATTCAATACTCACGGTTCGCCAGAAGTGATGAACTCAGTCACCGGGAGGGGATGAGCAACTCCGACGAGCAATTCCACATCGAGGTCCGCCTCGGTCAAGGAAGCCGTCGATTGATTCTGATCATTGACACCGCCGTTGACCAACTCCACGGAAAAGCTCTGGGAGGGCAGGTTAAACAGCTTCTCGAACTTGGCAAGGTCAGAATACGAGGCGGATTCGTTCAGGAAGCTGCCGAAGCCCAGCTTGCTGCCCGACGAGGCGCTGGGAGTGTAGTTGCCAAAATTGTACATCTCCTTCAGGCAGGACAGCGTGATGACATCGGCACAGGACGAGCTGTTGGAGCGTTTGGCCACATGGGTGTCAATCTTTTGCGCCCGCTGGTTCAGACCAGCAGTGGTCTTTTCCTTGCCGAAGAAGGTCGTTGGGGAGATGAGGTCGATTGAGTCGACCAGATCATCCGGGATGGAGTACTCTGTTGTGCGCAATCTCTGGGAAGAGCCGCTTTGGTAGTAGGCAAAGGTGGCGTTGAGAAGCTTGTTCACCTTATCGACCGTGGTCGCAAAGTTCACCAAGCTGCCCTGGCGGGAAATATGGGTGATGTTGGCGCTGCGCAGCCAGTTAATCACAGCCTTGTCGCTGGCCACCGGGAACAGCGTGTCGACATCCTCCTGGTCCAGCCACTGGCCGTATTGCGATTCGCCAGGTGTTGACAAGTCTTTCAGCTTGGATTCAAGCTGATCGAGGTTCTTGCGTGCCAGCGCGATCGACAAGCTTATCTGGTGGTCGGAGCCAGCATCTTCGACATGATGCCAGCCGGAGGGGACCGCGGCGAGCTTTTCATGGACAATCGCGTTGGTCGAGGCGGCCAGGGAGCACAGGAGTGCTGTGTAGAGACCGGAAGAACGCATGCTGGAGACCTTGAGAGGGACAACACACACAGAGTTCGAATTGTTCGCTAGGCAGGCGAGACGGACATTATAACTTTTCTGAGACAGCCAGAAGGAACGAGGGATTGGCCGCACTTGCTTATCGGACGAGACAATGGCATCATTGCATGTCTCCAACGGCTAGCAAGCTGGGTCAATTCGGACCGGCCGATACTGACAAAAGGCTGATTCGTCCAAAGATTCTGCAAATGCACCCCAGAACGACTGGCGTCGGCTGTTGTTGATAAGCAATGGGTCTCCAACCCTGATTCCCACCCGGAGTCCGACGGCGATCGCCGGGATCGCGTTGTTGCAATTTGCAACATGCTGCCTGCCAACCACGCAATGCCAATGCTATTCCCATATTATCCTGTAAGACAATTGATTAACTATTACTCAATATTATTCATAAGCACATTTCTCACTTTGGCAAGCTGCTTGGAGTATTGCCAATGCCTGACCAAAAATGCCGCGGCAGATGAAATCCTTCCTTTCTTTTTCTTCCCTAAGCGATGGCCCCAAATTAGCGCCGGCGAACAAGCATCGATGTCTCCAGATACATCCAAACTAAAACCCACTACTGTACCGTCGCATCCAATAGTCGCTTTCTGGCGCCGTGGGTCTGAACTCAGGTTACCAGCGGAGAATTCTCGCGGCTTCTCTCGGCTGCGTCCCTTTCCCCAACAATCGCTTCAGCTTACCGCTGTTGATGGCCTTCGCTCAACGTGGGGTGCCCAATCTATTGTCGGGAATTGCCGATACTAGGCTACATGCTCAGAATAATCGAATAGCAGTAGCAGCTGCCTTGCCCGAATTGGGGGAAATTTAATCACGCTGGAAGAGTAGCTGCCAATTTCCCCAAATCTGTCTTGTCTCATCACTAATTTATGTCGCATTTATACTGCTCAGCAATAGCAAGTCAATTTCATTCGCTACCTAGATAAGCATGCCCCCACAGTCATAATAGTATTGCGTACAGTCCATCCACAGACTCTTCAGACAAGTCTCGACCGCCCATCGTCCCCTAAGAAGGATAGCAATAAATGCTTCCACTTATCGTACCAAAGTTCTGAAAGAACCGGCTATTCTGATAGCAGTCGCTCCGGTATCCCACCGTGTCGTAGCTTCCGGTGCATGCGGTGTTTCTACGGAAGAATAATCGGTCAGCTAGATAGATCACATTGATTTCGAAGTTGGTCGTCATACCCAAATTGGCGACAGCCGACAGCAACGTTGAACTGGGTTGATCTGTTCATCTTGTGTTAAATCGGGCTCTGTAATACTGATTGTCGGAACTATATATACCCAGTTTGGTTCAAGGGGATACAGGTATCGGAGTAGATGGGCCTGGCGTCCACGGTGCAGACGCGGAACTCGCTCGTGGTGCCCTAGTAGGATTTCAATTAGATGATATATTGTCACTGAGGCATTATGAAGACTAATAGTGGGAAAGTAAGCATACAATCAGGGTCTTGTTCTGCGCCATCACCGCAGGGATCATCGTAAGCACGAGAGCCTTGAAAGAAACCATGGTGCCGTTACCGTTTCGGAGCGCGAATAATCAAGAGAGTAACTGTGGAGACTTGACTTCCTTGTGCTAGAGCTAGTTGAAGGTTAATGGGTTTTATAACGGCCGCTGTCAGGATCAAACCTGCCTACGGAGGAATCCCAGTATAGTACATTCCAATGACAGGCGCTGTCAAGGCCTTAGCTTACCGGAATGTTCACGTTACAACAATGCCATTGATATGTCCCAGTACATACTATTGAGGCGCATTCCTTGGACCTCAATAGGCTTTCCTACGCTAGCTATCACGTGTGAACCTTGAATGGTCGTTGGACTAACGGTTGGGAAGATACCCTGCATTGTGTGGAGCCATTGGTGGATATAGCGCCGAAGAATGCCGGGCTTTGCCGGCTTACTGTCCAGCCGTTCCAATCTCAATTGTGGATATGAAGGATATGATTGCACTGGAGTAACTCCAATATTGTCCAGAAGATTGACTGCGGGCAGCCTTGATCGTGCATTCAGTATGCACCTAAGACCATGAGGTTGTATGTTATTGCTGGGATCCCTTTGGACTGCACTTGAATATCTCAGATACGCACATATTTCAACGGAATGCTGGCCGATATAGATACAACGATACTCTGGTTATGTATAGATAGTAAATTCGAAATTCCAACACATTCCAGCTGCCTTTTATGGTCCCAATGCTTGGCGAACCGGGGGGAAAATGGCCAGGATTTGAGCCCCTCGAGGTTAACGAAGACTGAGGCATAATACGCCATATATGCGGCCCTCATCGATCAACATTGCAATTACCTACTTAGAGCACGTCAAATCTAGACCAAGCTGGAGGGGCTCCAAAATATGACTGTTTAAGGAAATTCATATAATCAAAGTCAAATATATATGATGTCCCTAATGATTGCCTTGATAATGATATCATCCAAATTTATTCTGGTCAGCCAGACCCCAACATTGATCCACATATGCTGCTACTCTGCCCATGCTTTCTAACTTATCCCCTACGACAACTGAACGCCACTTGGGAGACCAAATACCTGGCCATCCCTCTCATAAAGACACGACTTCATCTGCACTGATCCCTCAGTCAGGCAACCATCTGTCTTCGCATTCTTTAAATTTCCCGTGACTGCATACGTCCAGTTCTGGCCGTCGCTATCCGTGCTGTCACATGCTTGCAGCTTAACTGAGTTTCCATCAGCAGCCAAGCATTGTGTGGTCTGCGATACTGGACGAATGACTCCTGACAGTGTCACCTGCCAGATCTGAGAGGTCTCTCCATTGCAGGACTGAAATGCGACTGAAGAATTTGAGGCAGCGGTCAGACAATTGCCCGATGCTGTGTTGAAGACAAGTCCCGTTGGCACTACCGAGGAACAACCCTGCGGAAGACCGAGCCGGAAGACTGCTGTCGCATGGCTGGCTAGTTCAATCTTTATATGGTCGCTGATCTTCTGGGTCTTGCCATCCCAGAGATCCTCGGCCGTGTATGTACAGTCAGTCTCTGTAAGACCCAACCATTGTACGGGAATGTCCCTCGTTACAGTTGTGTTTCCCTTATTAAGCACCGTCAGCAGCCTGTCGCCGTTTGCCAGATTACGCGTCAATATATCCAGTGTGTTATCGCGGCTCGCAAACGTGGCCTGCTGCGCCAGGGGATCCTGATTCACCGCAATCAATGCCTCGTTCGTCAAGAAGGCAATCTCATCCTTCGAAAGTGCAGGTATATAAGCACTGATAATAAGTGGAGCCGAGAAAGAAGCCCACAGTGCAAAATGCGATCGCTTTTCATCCGCCGTCAGGCCAGGATGATCCGGGATCAGAAAATCAGGATCATTGAAATACCCCGGTCGCTGGTAGCGCGCAAGAAGAGTGTTGTAGTTGTAGTTATTCATAATGCTGTCCCATGCGCTACCTGCTCCACTGTACACCAGGATATCGGTAGAATGGCGGGCCAGCTCCCCGTAGATCGGGACCCAGTCCATCACGGTGTACCAGTCTGTGTTGTTGTCTGTGCCCGCGAAGTATGCCGGGGCTGACTCGGAGAAGATCAGTGGGTGCTGCATCTTGCTGAGGACTTGGTGCCAATGTCCGTAGCGTTGCTTGTATTCCTCCTCGAGTGTCCTACCTTGTGTTGCGTAGACATTGCAACCGTCGAGCTTGAGATAGTCAATCCCCCATAAAGCAAAGGTGTTGGCGTCCTGCTCCTCGTGGTTGTAGGATCCGGGGTATCCGCCACAAGTCATGTTGCCAGAATCTTCATAGATTCCAAAATGAAACCCTTTGGCTTTGACATATTGAGCTAGCCAAGGCAGGCCGTGTGGGAACTTAGTCGTGTTCCACTGTAGGGATCCATTGTCGGATCGCTGATAAGCCATCCAGCAATCATCCAGATTGATGCGATTGTAGCCTGCGTCCCGCAGACCGTTAGCAGCCATCGCATCGGCAGTCTCGGTAAACAGGGTCTCGTTGAGGTCGCACATGAAGCGGGCCCAATTGTTGAAACCCATGGGTGGTATTGGCAGGAGGCTGGACTGCTCGATGGAGCCGTAGACTTGCCAGGGGATGGCTGCTAGCGTGGCAGCCAGTAGTATACTCTTGGTTCCTTGGTTCATGATGCTCTCAAGTCCCTGTATCGCTCTACACCCTTCTTAATTGACCTATGTGAAGGTAAAAGTTCCGTCCAAGTCAAAGTCAAGTGACAACAGACATCACGGAAGAAGCGGACTCTTATGCAGGCCATCCCTTGCCGCAAATTGTCTGACGACCCTGATCTTCCCCGCTCGAGCAATCGGAGTGTTGGCACCTGCAGTCAAACCCTGGCGGCTTCTTGCATTGATGCCACGGTGCCATTGGAGCTGCAGCTCGCGGAGTCCGAGTCCAACCATCTGTGTTCGCTTATCTTCCCCGCATCAGAGGCCGACGGATCGGCCGGCTTTGCTTGAATTGTGACGGGCGGAGAACAAATGAGGCGGCCATTATCGTGCATGGAGTACAATTCGGAGGAGCATGGTGTGTAGGTTACATTCATCTGTGATTGTGTGTGTTCCTGGTGTTTCATCGGCCATTGTGAATTATTTCGGTTTGATCCTTCCTGAGATAGGCGTCTGCACACAACTTGACACCGATGGAATAGCCGAGGCCAAGTACCGGTGGAAGCAGGGGTATGGTTTCATCCGCAATAGTTTCGTTTGTCAGTGCTGCGTAGACAATCAAGTCCTGGATTAAGAATTCAGTGTGTGCATTGTCTTCTCTGCTCGTCCTCAATCTCACCTATTAAGGCCCGTATCAATACGGACCACCTTTCATAACATGCCACGGTCGCCAGGTAATTCTATTCTTTCTTTATGCTGTTAGCATCTCAGAACGGCTAGTTTCTAGCTGTCGAGTGTGTATGCATGAGTTCAAGCTCGGTCTCGCCAGCCATGCTCGGATAATTACTCGGCTACGGACTATTAGCAATTGCTGCTCTGCATCCGTAGATGTCTCACTATCCTTTTGAAAGCCGAACACGCTCAGCTCGCCAATCCAAGCCAGTTCAGATTAGTTCATTTATCATCGCATCCCGGAGGACATCAGGGGGATCATCGCACCGTGAGTTGGAGACAATTTGGAGCTTGTCTCGGAAGCAACCCGACCGCCATTCTTAGCTTGCTGCAGAGTGAGCCAGCGCCCTGTATAGTGATTTTTTAATAAGACAATCATTATATTCTTTCGAAATTAGTCCTCTCTGAACTTGACAGTAAGCATCTCAGCCAAACTCCATTCGCCTCGGGAATTGCAGTCTATCCTCTCCACACCCGACATCGAAAGAAGAAGAAGTAGCAATAAATATAAGGGAAACCGTTTGTTCTGCATAAGCTGAGTATAATCAACTCCGATATCAGCAGACATAGCCTCACCTCACTCAGCCGCTTGTCTCAGCAGGCAAGACAAATCGCTGTCATCGATCGGCACCACACCCCACCACGGAGATATTACTCTGTAGGGACATGTTAACAATAGGAGAAGCCGATCGATTGGAGATGAGTGACCAGTTTTCAATAGCGTCACTGTCTCAGTATGGCAAGGTGCCCTTGGCATTGTGGAACCCTCCCATGCCGTCAGCCAGAATGCTGTATGGCTCATGAAGATTCCACTTTTCAGGAACAATTGGAACACTGCGGCGGAGTCCAGCCTTACCTACAACGCTATATCTCCATTGACTATTGATCATCGTCCATCTCGAGGATCTGTTTAAGGTTATTGACTGGAAGGGGCAAATATGGGGGGGGGGATCATCTGAAACACCGGGACGATCAACGGCCGAGCCCAGAATAGAAGCCGGTACAGATCCGTTGGCCTCCTGACGAAGTATTCCACGGTACTGTATGAGGTGCAAATACAACAGTTTGTTCAATCAATCCTCTCATGATGCTTTGCTGCTATTACCTGCCAGCGATAGCATAATTAGTGCCTCCCCCTCCGCAACCGCATGAGAATAAACCCGGGGAAACCGGCACACCACGCGGGACTCCAAGACATGTCTCACATAGTCCCGACGATCGATAACCCAGAACGACAGCAGTCTCCATCGGGAGTCCACCAGTCTCATCTTTGGGTCTGCGAGTGACCTCACTTGTCCCTAAGATGGACTTAACCTCCTCGCCCTCCGGGATATATAAACGCTGCTGAACACCTCCCATCTTGCCATCAATCACAACCACAATCCATCAAAACAATCATCCTCTGTGAAATACCACATTCAATCCCACTCTCCAGTCAAGATGAAGTTCTCCATCGTTGCTCTTGCCGGCCTTGTCAGCGCCGTCTCTGCTGCTTCTCTCCCCGCGCGCTTCTCCCTCATCGCCGACGACAACACCCCCGTCCTCACCGATGGCGGTACGCATTCCCTATCCGAACCCCCATCAACCGATATACTAATTGGATGACAGAGTTCGCCTATATCGGCAAGGACTCCTCTAAGAAAACCTCCAAGCTGATCCGTAAGCCTTTTCCTCTTCTTTCTCTTCTTCTTCCATAAACCCTCCTGTACGTATCCCACTAACGAACGAAATAACAGTCTCCTCCGGCGCCAACGGAGCCCTCACCTACCTCGCCAAGGGCGCCGTTCCCACCGCCTGGCAGAACCTGTACATCATCGAGAACAGCGTCTCGCCCATCTCCTTCACCACCCCTCACTCCGGTTCTGTCCCTAAGAACGCCAACACCACTGGCTTCGGCGTCGACGAGCAGGGCTACCTGACTCAGGGCGGCAGGGCCTGGTTCGCCGTTGATGGCTACGGCGATGTCCCCTCCAAGGAGGTCTACTGGTACGGTGCTCACAGCTCGGAGTACAAGGCTGCCAACCTGAAGGTTCAGGAGTGCACTACCGAGGAGTGCTAAATGGGTTAAGATCATAGCACACGCTTTGATTTGCAGATGTTGAGTGGATCGGGGATGAATATATGGACATAGTTAGTGTACTGGTAGTGTATAATATAAAGCTCTGAGCCTTGAGTATTATTTTCATCAGAGTCATGACATGGTGTAGATTATCGAGCCATAATGGGACAGCGGATATAGTCCACAAAAAGGGGAATTCTCCAGTTTGCCAAGCATGCTTTGAATCGCTAGGAAGTCTACCGAGAAGGGTTGATGTTACATTGTCACCTTATTAGAAAACACCATGTCCCGGTCATTTTATACTCTTCAATTACATTCATCATAATCATCATTACCTTCCCTTTTCACATATTATACACATTATTACTAGTATACAGGGTATATAAAATATCTCATCATACAGTATCATCCCACCACAGCCTTCAACTTGGCCCCTCCCGTCGTCGTCTCCAACCACACCTTCATCTTGCGCGATGCCTCCTCCATATGGGATAAGTCCGGACTGCGCTCGAACGCGTGTGGTGCCTCAACAGCCACATCCGAGAATAGCAACGCGAGCGGCGACGACTTCCAAATGAACTGGTTCCGGGTCCGGACTACCGTTGTGACGAGGAAGACAAGGGTCAGGACCATCAAGGCGATCGGAAGAATCATCCACGGCCACTTGACGTGCACGAAGGACTCAACGGTCCAGGTCGTGCCGTTTACTGACGCCTTGCACACGGCGTTGCGCGCGTGTGTTGTCAGCGCCCCTGCAAGTGATTGGAACATCGAGTTGATATCCGTGTAATTGCCCTCCACGCCATAGACGGCGTGCATGGTGTCTGAGGACCAGTCGGGCCGGTTGCTGACGGAGAGTGAACCCTTGCCTTTCAGCAGGGGCGTGAGGGAATTGGACATGGCGAGTCGGCTGAGCCAGCTCACGTTGTAGGTGCAGTCTGTGCGGTCGGAGCGCTGCGTGCCGTTCACGTAGCAGGTGTCGGGAGTGAGGGAGATGTCGCTGGTCACTGATGTGGCGGAGTAGTTTGAGGATGATGCTGTCGATATGAGGGTTTCGTTGTAGCGGCCCTTGTGGACCGAGGCTTCGTATGTCTTGACGCAGAAATAGAGGGCGCATTCGGTTGCGCTGATTTGTGGTGGCACGCCGTAGCCAGCGGCGCTGATGGCGGTGAAGTTCAGTATAACGGGCAAGTTCTCGGTGTTGAGTTTGACGAGGTTCAGGTTGTTGGTGGCGTTCATCAAATACATCATGCCCCAGGAGGTCTCGAAGCTGAATCCGTTGGGTAGGGTGTAATTGTAAGTGGCCATGGTACTGGTAACCGATGTTTTGTGCAGGGTGAGGCTGTCTGTGATGTTGGCGCAGCGACTGCAAAACCCTAGCGATTGATAAGGAGTGAAAGTACAGTTTCCTGTGGGACACGTCATGGTAACCGTGTTGCTGTCTGGGCCCTCACTTTGAAAAATACCGGTGTAGATGGCCCCGGTTGTGGATAGAGGAACCTTGTTCAGACCTGGCCCAGAGCCTTCGCCATAGTCGACATAGCTGCTTGTATTGCAGACTTGGATGGCGGAGGGATCGGGCGAGTGGACGGGCTGCGAGGTGATGTTGATGACTTGCTGGACAAACGGCGCAATGGCCGCGGCAACCACCATGATAAAGCATCCGATAGATACCAAGTGACTACTTACCTGTTAGAGCCATATTTTGTTGCAAGTTTAATCCTGGTGAGAGGGACATACTGAGGAAGAAAGCGGAAGAGAACAAATGTGGCGCTGAAAGCTCCACGACTGGCCGCGTCCAGTAGTGACAGGTCACTCAATTGGTTGCGCTCGTTGAACCAGGACCATTTCAACTGCGACAGTCCCTCGGTAATCGGGAAGATCATGGCCGCTTTCATTAGAGTCACCAGCACGGAGACCACAGCATTGAGAGTGATGCCGTATGGCCAGTCCGGCATGGGCCGGTTATCGTAGTTGTAGAGGACGATGATGATGGCGACCAGAGCCGTCACGGCAATGACACAGCTCAGGATCTCCCAGGTCCAGCCTGACAACCAGAATTTGGAGGTCTGATTCTGCAGAAGCAATGGTCTGGAGGTTGATAACGGTCGGGTCGAGGGTTCCTTTGGGTCCTCGATATTGCGATACCCCAAATCGTACTCGTCTTTGAGGGCCTTCATGGTGTCTGCTGGCCGGTTGGAGGAGCTGTCAGAGACACATCCGGCCTTTTTAGGAGGCGATGAAGAGTTCTCTCTCCATGTCAGGGAGAAGATATGATCAAGCTTTGCGTGATACTCCATCTGGGCGACGATGACTCCCCATTGAGGCAATCCCCGTAGGGACTTGGCAGCCCCAATCCAAGCTGAAAGGGAAGGCGGTGCGGTCAATTTGAAGGACTGTGAAACATTCCTTAACCACATGTGGTTTAGTCCAGGGGATCATCAGGCCCCATCCGGGTAACTGATCGCCCAGATCAGCGCTGATTGGCCAATAAACACCCGGCAGGGGGAACATTTCCTTGTTCGGTAAAATCGCCACAAACGGTCAGCTTCTCCAACGCTTATCGTTCCCGCATCTCCCTTCAAAGCCGAAAGGCTAACTGACTCGACTGACCCTAAAATGCAGTTTTCAATCGCGCGAGAAGAAGATCGACGTGGACTTGGGATGGCAATGTCTCACTCATGCGCAAAAGTTTTTCTTCAGAGGCCTCCATATTGGTGTCAAAGGCAATACCATCGGTGGTGCCAGCTCTTTGGTCCACCTAGCTTCTAGCACACCTTGCAAGCAAGCCATTGAACACTTGCCAGCTGGAAGGTCATAAAAGTGCAGCTTGTAGACTGGGAGCATCGAACAAAGTCGAGAGTTCTCTCTGCAGATCAGCACTAGGTCAATCCTCGACGGGAGACGGTTGTGGCTGATCTACAGTTCGAAATCTCGCTGCAGTAAACAAAGCTTGATCCGGCGGCACATGTCATAATGGCTGGCAATCTGCAAATCGGGCTAGAAAGTATGCAGACGGACGTTGAACCGAACATTGCATGCTATGTTGAATTCCCCGCCACCCCGGCCACACACTACTGACACTGTATGGTTGCTCGAGTGTGGGTGCGCCGCTCAATCAGCCATCATTTGAAATTCTTTGCAACCGTATGCCCGACTGACTTGGTGGACACTCTTTGCGTTCAGCACTATTGCTCTTAGACGTAGATATTGGAGGTAGAGAGAGGACACATGTCGGTCTTCTGCAGATGCTTGTATGGGCTGGCATGATGAATAGTGCATATATTCACGCCTCAGGCATCAACGCGATTTGAGTTTTCTAATATACACTGTACTGGTCAAATATGGTCATCTTCAAAATCCTGAGTAAACAGCCACTATTTTAAGGCCGTCATCTCAATTATATCACTCACCAGATCTACAACTTATTCTCCAACAAAGGCCATTTACTTCGAAGGATAACTATGTTGTGTCCGGGAAGTTGTGTAATAAACCTATTAGTCAGCAAAGTCCTTCTGAAATAGTTAACTAACTAGAGAAAATGCTTACTCCTCTCGTTGTCCGTCAGATTTGCGAAACATGCTTCTGTATGCCTAAGGCTTTGGTATGCAGTCATTCCAAGGGTACCTAGTTGGGTTCCGTTTCTTGGAACAGGGCCTGTGCTCAAAAGATGTCAGGCTGCTTTCGCTGAAAGGACCTGCAATGATCGTCAGCTAGAAAACATCAGGGGGACAGGACAACGTATTTATAGGTTTGAGGCTTGCTTGGTCTTGGGTGGTTTACAAGTATACCATCAGTTTTGAGCCTGTATATGGAAAAGTGAATGGGTATATCACAGCATACCTGCGCAAAAAAGAGGAGGCTTTCATCATCGTGGGCTTACCGCATTAAATTGAACGCCAGGTAAATCGATCGGCTCATCTTTGTTAGCCTCAAATAGTTGAGCAACTGTGACAAGTCGTTTTACATACATCCAAAAATACAATTTATTCGGGCAATGACTCTCATTCCCTACACTTAAGTCATATCAATATCAAAGATCGGTATACTTATACTGGATTGTCTGTATCATCTTTCGATGTGCCTGCCGCTTTAAAATGGCCTATTTTTTCGAACTGGCCTTTTTTGAGTTGACCTGCTTTAATGATAGACTTAATATTCATGGATGCAGAGTTTGTGTGACTAGTGATAATAGACATGCAATATTCATGTCCTCTAATTTATGAGGGCACTGGTTTGGACTCTAGTCTGTCTTCGCTACTGCACAAGCTAACACTGATTTTTTTCCTGCCTATCTACCTGTTGAGTTCTCATCTTACAAGGATAGAAAAATGCATAAAGGAATGAGTATTTAATAATTTTTATGTTGCATCTGTATAGGCAATCCTGTATAACTTCTAGCGTGCGAAAAAAAAAAAAAAAAAAAAAAAAAAAAAAAAAAAAAATACTCTAGTTATACATGATACAAAGTGAATGCAGTAAGTATTTTAGGTCCCCTGAGGCATCTCACTCTGAGTGCTTACTCCCTTGAGAATATAAATAATGTCGTGGAACCTCCGCTTATCCTCTCGGCTATCCTAATTTCCATCAATTCTTAATTTTTGAAAACGGGGCTGTATCAGAACTAACAGCTTCGTTACATACTGTATATCAGGTTGTAAGCAATTTTTATCAGTTCTACATTAAATACGAGTATGACACCTAATAACCAGTAGCAACCTTGGGCGCACTATCCATCATAAACGTCCTCGATTTCAACAACCACACAAACCAACTAGGAACAGCCCACCCAAACAGCGCCCCAACACCACCGGATGGTCCTATGGGAACAATGCTCATGTCCTCCTCGATCTGCTTGTACTTATTCTCCTTCAATAGCGGTGCAGCGCCCTTCATGGATCCGTCCCTAGTGGCAGCAACGCGTAGGTCGGACCAGATGGAATACCCCAGCGCGGGAACAGACCAAACAGCGTCCGGGATGCCTCCGTTAGAATAAGACGCTACATCTCCTATCGCGTACACACCATCGGGAGCATTGGTGGCGCGAAGCGTGGCCCCGTCCACGGCAACGTGTTTGCTGCCATCAAGCCACGATGGCGGTAGAAAGCTGGTGTTTGGTGTGCTGCCCGTCGTGTCAATGTACAAGTCGACAGTCCTAGTGGTGCCGTCGCTCAACACCAACGACACCTTGTCAGCCGACATAGTTGACGACGTGACGCGCACGCCGTGCAATGTCCGCACGTTCAGCGCTGCCAACTGTTGCTCTGCCCTCGGCGCAATCTTTTTATTCCGCAACCTCGGCAGCAGACGCGTGCCTCCAGATAGGAGAGTGACTTCTTTGTCCTTGTGCTGGCTTGCTATCTCGCCTGCTGTTTCGACGCCTGTGGGACCGCCTCCTGCTATGAGAATTGTTTTCGAGGTCGGGAGTCGTGCTTGGAGGTCCTGAAATGCGGCGAGGGTAATTTCGTGATCGCCGTGCAGCGTCCATACTGCGCTAGGCTGTGTGCTGGGGGTTAGTATCAAAATGGGCGTAAGGCGTCGAGAGTACGTACACTGGTGGTCCCTGTAGCAATGACTAAAGAGTGATACCCAATCAAGCGGTCCGCAGCTCCAACGCTCTTGATGGACACTGTCTTAGCCGTCTCGTCTAGTCCGACCGCCTCGCCTTGGATAAAGGTGAAGTCGTCCGAGTTGTACTGGCGGAAAGCATTGGGGATGGAAGCAAACAGCTTGTCGTTTGGGACCTTGTCCGATACCAAGACTCGCGGGACTGCCACCTTAAAGAAGGTTTGAGCGGACGGCGACACGAGCGTAACCTTGTATTGCGATTCTTCGTTCTTGACTACGGGCAAGACGTGCTTGAGGAGGTACTGTGCGGTGCTAACGCCGGCAAAGTTCCCGCCAAGGATAACAATACTGTGCATGGCGGCCTGTTGGGAAGGTAGTCGAAAGGGAGATTTTAGATGCTTTGGAGGACCAGCGAAACTTGTGGTGGTCTATTGAATGGCAAAATGAAGGGAAGTATTCCTAGTCAAGAACGCGGCTATATGAGCCTCTGTCAAGGTTGATACGTAATCCATGATTAGTAGTTTCGTTCAGCAGCATTATTAATTTACAAAGAAGGCTCTAGAGTTTCGCTGATGCAAGCCCGCGGTGTGTAAAGGGTCTAATAAGACCGTATGCCAATGCAGAGGCGAGCACGGCACCGACGAATTGTCTCGATTAGGCATAATGGAATGACGGCGGCACATATTTTACAGTTAAGGTTCCATACTAGTCGAAGAGAGGTGCCACCACTCCACAACGCTATGAATACCACCAATGACTATCCGGCACGGCACCGTTCTGTGTTCTGTCCGGGCCCACTCCGACCAAAAGGAGCTGAGTAAGCAGATCTGGAACGGCACCTGGCGTTCTTGTTCATCTGCAGTCATTCAGTCCAGCCAAACTACTCAGGAGTTCAGTCGCTTTATGGCAACATGGCTGTTCCAACCGAGCCGACCGAGCTGCTACATTACATACCACAGCATCGCGTGCTCATATGCAAGGAATGTCAATATGCGATTCAACCATCTGCCATCCCCCGCCACCTGAAGGAGATGCACAAGATATACCGGTCTCACCGGCAGAGATACATCGATTATACCGACCAGCTGGACCTCGCCAAACCGGACCATGTCATTCTTCCTGAGGCCAATGAGGGTCCTATCCCTTTCTTGCCCATCATCGACGGCCTTGCCTGTGGGGCCAGCGGGTGTCACCACCTCTGTGCCACGGGGAAACGGATGAAGATGCACTGCAATGCGGAACATCCTGGAGTCCCAGTGGTAGATCTCAAGGGCAACCCAGTTCAGATGCAGACCTTTTTCCGCGGCAACCAGTTGAGATACTTTGTAGTGCACCAACCGCAAACGAACTCTCATCCTGAGCAACACGCAGCTGTCGAAAACAAAGAGCCCACTCCCGTGACCTCGCCAAGCTGCGACCTTCAAGAACTAGCCGCTGAAGACGTCAGGCTTCTCGAGCACTTCCAAACCTCTTTGTCCCGCGAGCTCGCATTCGACGCAATTATGACGCCCTGTTGGGACACAGCGGAATCAGGCGTATTAGCCAGATATTCTTTCCTAAAACACGGCATTCTCTCCTGCTCGGCGTTACACCTCGCGTTCCTCAACCCCTCTAAGCGTCAACGGTACCGTCTCATGGCAGCCCACCACCAGAACATTGCTCTCCCAGACTTCCGCTCCGCGGTGAAGCAGCCCACCGTCGACAACTGCGTCTCGCTGCTGGCCTTTACGCAGCTTCTCATCGTGCACTGCTTCGGCGCATCGCAGGATGAGGACGGCGACGATGACCTCCTGCTCGCGCACGGACATAATGACCCATTTCCGGACTGGCTGCAGGTTCTCCGGAGCACTTGCCACATATTTAAACCTATAGAGGGTTACGTCCGAACGCTCCCCATTGCCATGATCATGGCCGAAGATGATCACCAAGGCAAAATCTCCGCCAAGTCATATTGTGACCCACGACTCGACAAACTCTTCAATTTAGTCAATCCCGACGCATCAAAACAAGCAGGCGAACCATTTGAGGTTCATCACTCCCCTCTGCTATCGGCGCTAACCCTCCTCTCGAGTGCTTTTTCCAGGGCACACGAAGCCCAAGCGCGGAATAACTATTCGTTGTGTGTAGCACTACATGTATGGCCAGTACGAGTTCCGGATGCTTACCTAGGGCTTGTGAAACAGAGGCATCCTGTCGCGCTTGTCCTGCTGGCGCATTATTGCATATTGCTTCTACCGCTCGAGGGATCCTGGTACATGAACGGGTATAGTAAGAGGCTGATCACTCGCATTTCCGATCAGCTAGGTAAACAGTGGCGACCATGGTTACAGTGGCCGTTGGAAGAAGTTGGATTGTAATATAGTCCTTACACTTGTCATTGCCTAGGACCCGATGCTGGGATTGGAAGACGCAGTATTTCGGATGTCAAGTCTTCATTGTACTGACGGGACAGTCTAGTTATCCCAAAATTAATTCATTTCTGTAGTGCCCCTTTGCAATTCACAGAAGCTGAGCCTGGGGCTCGCTGAGCAACGCAGGTCCCAGGGCCTTGTGAGCCATCCTCTGGGATCGACAGGAGTATTTCCAGTTCCTAGGAGCTTTGTTGGTACTGAGATCACATGTGTAGTTCCAAATGGGGATTAACGCACGACACTAATCCTAATTAGGAAATGTGTAATTGTTGACTAGTATGTAACTTGCGGTTAAGTATCTAACGGGTAATATTACGTGCCATAGTAAGGTACCGGTATGGGGCATACAATGCTTCTAGAAGATTCTACGCAAACTTATCAAACAGGGCGTCTTGCTCATCTCGCAATTCTGTTAACAATGTAGCTCTCTTCTGCATCTCATAGCATGCTACTGCTGAGAGTCAGGGCATTCCTGAGGCTATCCGAAAAAAAAAGCAGGATAGATAGGGTTCTTGGTACTGGTTCTGGTAGCGCAAACCCCACTCTGCTTGCCACTATGCTTACTGAGTAATCTCCTGATTGCTCAACGCCTTATTGGGCATGAAAGATTGAAGGCTAACGTGTCAAACCACTATTATTAAACTTCTCAGCGCCTGCTTGATTATGTATCGTGAAATATCGAATAGCCCTTTTGACTATGATGATGACACACAACCTCCCGCGATCGACCTTTGGGTTGACAATTCACAGTATGCACCCACTCCGGGGAACTTTGGCGATTCCTCGTATACTCCCTGCTCCCTTAGCTTTTCCCCGCATCGTACATTGCAGCCACACCAGGCAAGTCAGCTCGGATTCCTCCCATTGGCTGAATGGGAAGAGGGAGGCGAATACGATGAGCAGCCACTAAGATACGTTCGCTATACAATTGAATGGAAACTTACACATAAAACACCAAAAAAGTGGGTAGCGTGACCGAAAAAGATTTGGTTGTAGCTCCCAGTGACTACTGGGAGGAGTTTCTGAAAGCAGATCTCGAGATTATGTTACAAATGAAAAAGAAAGCGCCACCAGCGAGTTCGATCTGAAGGCATAAGCGGTTATTAGACAAACCCAAAAGTTCGAGTTCAGATACACCCAGTATGAATACTTTGAGGGTTCCTGGGTGGGTGTGCGACGGGGTTTGCATCCTCCCACGTTTACCAGAAGACCTGAGGAGAACCTAGTATATACTGATGGTCGCACTGATAATAAGTAGTATTATTGGCGCTTATGTGAGGCGGAGCAGCTGATATGCGGGGCAGTGTACGGAGTAGGGCCACAATGTCATGAGGGCAAACATCAGCCTTCTGATCGTTTTCACATCCATCGCACACTTCTTAGGGCCATCACCCATGAAATTGGATGAGAAAGTGATAGCAACTTACCTCATATATCCTTTGTCGGAGTATTTCGCGATAAATACCCTGGTTAGTGAAGGAGCTGACAATCACAGTTGACATACTCACTCTGTATCTACACTCAACCTGCGCTTCTCAAAATCAGAACGCCAGAATGAACCTGACTGTCAGTGTTCCCGAAGGTTCGAGTAACCATGGCGATCCAAACCTTATCTGTACGCCTCCGAAATGGTACGACTACATCTTATTTTTCTTCACAAACTATCTCGCCCACGCGGCAACCATTGTCTCGGTGCCAGGACAAAGCGTTACGGAGACCATTTGTGTTGGTGTAGCAGCTCTTCTCGCACCCTCGAGCGGCATAATGAGAGCCATGGAGGTTTTCATAAGGCGTCCTGTGTTTCGATCGAGAAATCCTATGGAGCAGGCTGCTGCGGCCATGGCTTTGTGCATGGTCGTGAAAACGAATTGGGTAGCCGATGAATATGGGGGTGCAATAGAGATTAATACAACCGAGCACCCGTGGATGATAAATAGAGTGACCCTTGTTCGCCACCTGGCTAACATCCATGGGCATTTTCATCTTCCAGAGGGTTATTGGTTTGGCTACGTCCCGGCATCGCTCAGGCTGGTTCCTCGGGAGAAGGAGAGGAAGCACCCCTGGGCCGAACGTCCCCGAAGCGAGTGGGGGAGCACAGGTGAACCGCAAGCGCAGATTAGGCACAAGCTTTTATTGGGCGATGCTGCAGTACACACCTTGGAGGGCGTCGGGGAGCGCAGGCCAACACGCCCACCTCAGAAACAACCACAACGATTACACACAGCGCTCGCCGCTTCATACAATATCCCAAAGGCATTTGTTAGCCTGGCGCAAGCGATATGGGCTATAATCACCCTGTATCGCTCGCGGGGAAACCAGATTGATGAATATGGATACGCTGCATTCGGTCTCACCGTCGCCTCCTACGCTTACATGTCCATCATCAATTTAATCGCAACTTGCCTCACACCGGAGTATCCCGCTATCTATATGGTCAGGACATCAATCATGGACGAAGCCGAAGAGAACGGGGCCGTCATTGTTGGAGAAGTCGCAGACATCCACCTAGACCCAAATCAGGAAGTAAAATACGACGCGGATCACACAACTGACTTTGCGTGGATTTGCGGGTTCCTGTTTTCCCTGCCACCATTGGCGATTGTAGGTGGCCTGTCCCGGTTTGCCACGGGCAATAGTTCTCTACTCGAGCGGGGATTTACCATGGCTTGGTTGGCGACCGGCTTATTCGCAGGATTGTGGGTTTATCTTATCCTTGGTTATATTTATGTACTTCATCCATCCCTGACCAGACCAGGAATGGAGGCGAGGGCACATTCAATTGCTTCTCTGCTTTTCTTCACTCTCACGGTTGTCGTGCCATTGGCTGCTCCAGCTGTTGGAGGGTTTGTGGTTGTCGCGAAGATGTTGAGTGAATATGGGATGTGTGTTGATCTGTCGTAGTGGCACCATACAATTACTTCTAGCATGGTGCATATTGCAAAAAGTTGAGTATGCATAGCTCACACTTATGATGTTACGGTGAACAGCAGTGGAAAACATGCTATACAACTCAACGAGAGAGCCGAATCTGGAGCGGAAAAGGAAAGAGAAGAGGGAGAAAAATACCGTACCAGTCGCAATTTACATGGCTCTCAGCTTAATATGGCCCGCTCAATGGATGATATTACGCTAAGCTCTTGGCAGCGGGAGCCGAGGAACAGTCTCTCAAAGTGTAGTGGTCAAGCAAGCCCGGCCATTTGCGATGTAGTTAGTGTTTTCTTGCTACGTATCATATGGTCAATCATTGTACGCTGCCAGGACTCATGATTTCGTGCCATTTTGCTGTGGCCTTATACGTTGATGGCGCCTTAGTTGCGTTTTCTCAGTTGAGATGTTATCCTGGTAGTTATGGAGGGGTGTCTTTAGTACCGTCACAACACAGCGTATTCAGGCACTCCTTTGTCCTTTACCACGCATTTCAGTAACTGAACAGAAAATGGTATTTTCTTCTAACCATATACAGATAGTATGTCTTGGCGCATTAGGGTTCAAAAACAAGTTTTCATGTGATGGACATGGAAGGCGAAGCTTGGTGCCACTGTATCAAACAAGCAGAAGTCACCGAAGTCCTTCACCTCACCCAAGAAGATGATGCGACAGAAACGAGACCGGCGCAAAAAGAGCCTCTTACGAAAGGCCTACGAATACAGCAAGCTGTGTGTATGCTTGCTATCGGTATGTAAACTAATACTAAATAGAAAATATACTATCCAAGGCCGACTCAGAAAACGGAAAAGGATTTTGACTCTAATTCTATAACTAATAATAACTCAGCTGCAGCCGAAGACATCAAAAAGGAAGATTAGTAAGAAGATCTATAATAATTTATTATAATTAAATATACTGTGATGACTAGCAGAATACATATACTAACTTAAGGAAATAGAATATAAAAAATATTTATATTAATTCTATTTTGGCTACGGCCGCCGAAGTATAAAGCTAATATAATAATTAATATTATCTTCTTAGTGAACTGAATCTTTCTCTATACTACCTGATTCTTGGTTTTTATTGATTAAAGTTGGTACTCTTTCATTAGTAATAATACTAGTTATTTTATAAATATATTCAGTTTAATTATATTCTTAATAGAATAAGATAGATTTTTTAATAAACTAACTCTTTAATATCTGAATTTTATTTCTGGAAATAATCAGAATTTATATTAATTAATTATCTTGATTTTATTATCTCGCGACCACTTCATCTTTTAAATTATAATATTTTATAAGAATACGCGGCTTCAGATAAAAGCTGGATACTATAAATATTTACTTTATTATTAACTAAGAATTCTTTAGAAAAATCTTAACTAGTAATAAGTACTTAATATATAATATATAATAAATTTTCAAATATAAGCTGTTCTGATAGTAAGTATCTTTTTTTTATTTTTTTTATTTTAATTTTATCTTTATTTTCTTTTAGTTTTTTAATTAATTTACTTCTTTTCAGGAAAATGATCACACCTGAAGTGCTGATTATATTTTATTTATATTTAATTAGTAAATAACTGATACTAAAATTTTTATTTTTTATTTTTTATCTATTTTAGATCTTTGAATAGAAGTCTTTTTCTTGCAGAAAACAGCCGTATATGTTACGGATATAAGAGAGAAGTCTATATATTACTGTATAATAAAGAGAAGCAGGACTGTCTTAATTTATTCTACAAGTTATTTATAATATAATATACATATCTGTGAGCTTAATCTATATGCTATACTCTAAAAATAGTAGATTTTTAGATATAAGATATGGAATTAGGATCTGGGCTATCAATATTATTTATAAATATTCTGATATTTTTGTTATTGGGATGGATTTAATATTTATATAATTTTCTAATTATTCTAAAAACTGCTAGTTTTATATATTTTTTAATTTTAAAAGTTTTTAAATATTTAGAAAAGTTTTCTGAGATCTCATTTATCTATAGATAGATTATAGTAGTATTATAGATTAATTAAATTTTTATAAATTGTCAAGGTGCAGGCTGGCGGGGTGGTAGGAAGGTAGCTTGAACAGGAAACAGGGACAGGCAGGAGACTGGCTGGCTGGCTACAGTCAGATTATATATAAGAAGATAGACAAAATATAATTTAAAGTTATAGATAAAATCTAAGAAATTAGTATATTTTATATTTTTTTTTAAATCACGTGCCTGGGCAGTCAGCCTAGGCCGTACTCTGTGGTTAGTATTATAATAATATTTTTCTCTTTTTTAAGCCGAGCTCCTGCGAGGGGAAGATCCGGACTTATTCAAATAATAATAATAAAAATTCTTAATAATCTAATAAATATTTTCTAAATATTCAGCTGGTTTTATAGTGGGATTAGTATATTTTATTTATTTAATAAGATAAAATAGCCGGGGTCGGCCTTGTCCATAACAGTTCTAAAAAAAATCTAGTATATTCTTAATTTTCTATTCTTCAAGATTATTGACTTTAATATGAAAAGAAGAAGACTAGTACTAGTCTAATAATAAATTATTATTAATAAGAATAAGTAGATTTATATAAAATATTAAATAAACTTTTATATTAAATAGAAGTATTAGATAGTAAATATATAAGCTAATAATTTTATTAATTAAATATAAGTCTAGAATATTCTAATTAAATTTTTTATTAAATTATAATATTTTAATAAATTAGATATTTAATTAGATCTTCTAGCTTTTCTAAAATCTTAGACTAAAATAGTATCTTTTATTTATTTATTTTATATATTTAGCTTGGACTGTAATTATCTCAGCTTGTATAAATTTAGTAATTATTTATATTTTAATAGTGAATTATTCCGCGTCTCTAGCGGCGGATCAGTTTGGTATGGATATAAATTCAAATCCCATGCGGGGATGGAAGCTGTAATTAATAAAAAATAAAATAATTTTAATAATATTAAAATAAATAATATTCAGAGTAAATTTAATTAGAAATAATCAGTTGAATTAATTATTCTACAAATAATTTATATAAGCGCGGAGGTATTATTTAAATATAATATTTATTTATTTTATTTATTTATTAATTTCTAGATAATAAACTATTGATAGCTTACTTATAATATTTAAATACTAGATTAAATATTTCTAGAAGTTAATAATAAACTAAAAATCTCTATCAGAGACGATGGAATAGGATAGTCTATATAATTTTTATATATATTAAATATATATAAAAGCTATAGCAGTAGTATTAGCCATAATATTATAAAAAATTAAATATTTTATTTTAATTAGATAATTAATAATTATTAGTATTATGTTATAGCCCCCGCTTTCTAGTAAATAGATAATAAAATCTATAAATATATTTTATTAGATATACTTTGGAATTAGTAAGAATTTTAGAATATTTTATTTAGTTTTTTATAAGAAAGTTATTCTTTGGTAGATATAATAATTTTTTATTTATTATTTTATATAATAATATTAATTTAGCTAGTAGTATTCTCGGGCTAAGAATTTATAAATATAAAATTTTCTAGAATATTCTAAGAAAGACTTATCATAGACTAAATAAATTAAATCAGTTTTTAAATTAATATAATTAAAAATTTATAAATAATTCTTATAATATAGTAGATTTTCTCTTCTTTCATAGAAAGCTAAGAAAATATCTAAATATTAATTCTTATATATTATTAATATTTTTAAAATATTTAATATTTATTTATTCTTCTTATATACGTCTCGCAGGATGATCTGGATTTCGGAAAATAATTATAAATCTTATTTATTTTTAAAAATAATTTAGATTAATTATCGGATTATTAAGGCTAAAATAATTCTATAGAAATCTTTTACAGAATTTTCTAGAATAGCTAATAGATTAAATTTTTATAATTATTTAAATTTATTACTAGTAGAATAAATAGAATCTAAGAAACTTCTATAAAAATTTTTTATAAGATCTCTGTATACAGATAATAGATTAGTATCTTTTTCTATAAAATAAATAAAATCTTAATTTTTTTATTTAAATATAATTTAATTCTAATATAATAATTATTTATTTTTTTCTTTGAAAAGATTCTCTGATCTTCTAGTTAAATTATTAGATTTAATTCTATAGCGTCCGGGATGGTAAGTAATACAGAAGTTAAAATAAAATAAGAATTCTAATTATTAGATTTAATAGTAGTTTAAAAGCTTAGTAAATATAAAATATTCTAGATTATAATAATTTATAATAATTTAAATTAAAGACGGAGTTTTTTCAAGCTCTGAATATTATTATTTAAAGTAGTAGATAATTATAAGAAATTCTTTATTATAAATCTTATAATTATACTCTATCAAAATATACTTTTTAGAGAAGAAGATAATAAAATATAATAGATGTTGAAACGACGTTTTAGGTCAATACTGAAGTCGTTGAAAACGCTTGATTCTTCGCTATCTAGGCGCGCTCGGAGGAGCAGTTGAAGTTACGGAGTTCGGGTCACGTGACCTCGACTACTAGTAATCTACTGAGATTACGTTCCAACACGGCCCCCTAGGCGAGGGAGCGTTCGTAACGAGGCTCTAGGCATTGCCTAGATAGGAAGGAACGGCTATCTCAACCGGTGTTCCCTGGATGCAGGTTCGGGGAGGAGATGGGGGTCATTCCGAGGAGGTGCCTGAACGCTTTGAACGATTCGTTATCAAGCGGCTTGGTGAGGCCGTCCGCCGGGTTGGTGGTCCCTGGGATGTGTTGAATGGTGATAGCGTTCTTCGTGATCAGATCGGCTACGAATAGGTAACGATTATCGAGCCATCTAGTGGACCTGGTGTAGCCTCCGTGGTTCAGGATCCGTAGGGAGTTGGCGGCGTCGGTGTACAAGGGTATCCTGCCGTCAACGGAGGCCTTGAGGTCAAACGCTTCAACCAATTTCTTTATATACAAGGCTTCTTTGGCGGCGGAGTCAAACGCGCAGTATTCTGCTACCGTAGATGACGGTGCAACTAGCGATTGCTTCCTGGATGACCAGCTGATTGGGCCGCCAGCGTAGAAGATGACGTATCCCTCCGTTGATTTGCCGTCTTCGTGGTCAGCGTGGGCGGCATCTACGAAGACTTCGATGCCTTTGGTATGGTCAGTGGCGAGGGTGATCCCGTACGGGATGGACCTTTTCAGATATCTGTATACAATTTTCAATGCTTTAGCGTCGGCCGTAGTGGGAGTGTTCATGCGCCTTTGAAGTCTAAACGTTGCATGACGTATATCGGGGCGGGTCTTTGTGGTTAGCCAGTTCAAACGCCCTACAAGGCTTTGATATTCGGCTAGGTTGACGTTTTCGGTAGTCATATTCGAGCGATCTGACTTTTTGTAGGCAACGGTCATCGGAATGGCGGAGGGGGTGCAGGATCCTAGGTTCGCTGCATTGAGGCACTCCTCCACGTACGTTGGTTGGGATAGTGATATCGTGCCTGCTTGGTAGTCACGTTGAACGTTGCATCCTAGTAGAACCTTTGGTTCCCCCATTTCCTTCAGGCCAAATGCCTTGTTTAGGTGTTGTTTGACCTCGGCTAGGTCTTCCTTCCTGGGGCCAGCGATAGCGGAGTCGTCAACATAAATAATCAACCAGATATCACCCTTTTTGTATACGCAGGGATCCTCCCTCAGTGGTTCGAAACCGATTCTTTTAAGTGTTTCGTCAAACGTTTGGTGCCAGAGGTGGGCCGCCTGGCGGAGGCCGTAGAGGGCCATCTTTAATAGGCACACCTGATCCGGTGGTCCTTCATGGTATCCGGTAGGTTGTTTCATGAACACGCGTTTGCCCTGTATCTGCGCGTGTAGATAAGCAGATACTATATCACATTGTTCCCATTCAAGATCTTTTATAGCGACGTTCGTCATGAATAGCTTCAGGGCCGCTTCGCTGGCGACAGGAGCGAACGATTCGTCGTAATCGATGCCTGGTATCTGGCGGTTGCCGCAGACTACCCATCTAGCACGGAATTGGGTGACGAATCCGTCAGTGTTGACCTTGAGGTCGTACACCCACTTGCCTGGGATTGCGCGAGCGGTTGGAGGTCGGTTCACGATCTCGTAGGTGCCCATATTCTGTATCTTATCGATCTGTGTATCCATAGCATCTTTCCAGT